TTTTTTCATAAATCCTCATCCTTTAAAACTAAAATTTAATTAAATTTATATTCTTCTTACCATTAACCAATTATTACTTAATCTTTTTTTTTACAATTACATCAATTTTATTTAATAATTATTTAATCTAAATAAAAAAAAATTTCAAAAACATTTTTTACATTTTTATTTTAATTTATCATCATCAATATTATTAAAATTTAATTTTATTAAAAACATCATTATTAAAATATATAAACCTAATATTATTTCATCAATACTTCTTAATTTATATATAAATCTATAAATATATTCATATTATCTTTTTTAATCCATCAATCATAAATAATTCTTCAATCTTAATCAATTAGATATTAATAATCCAGAGAAAATTTAGTTAAATTATTCTATCTTCATTCAAAATGAATTAACAAATGGAAATGTTTAAATTAAAGAAAAATTTGGTTCTACACATTTGTGATTGAAAAAATAATTTTTCAGTTCATAAATTAGAAATACGGCTATTAGAATTCATAAACTAGAATAGATGCCAAATATTTATGCACTTTGAGAGAGTAGATATATAAAATATGACATTGATAAATGTAGCCATTTAAACACATCGTGAAGGCCTAATCTTAAAGACTTGCTAAGAAGAGAATATCCTAGAACTTGGAAAATTGATATAAATATTATTACAACAAGCAAAATAATTCCACTTTGAAATTGAAAGAAAAGGAATCAAAGTTAGAAATTAAAAATTATAATATGAAAAAAAATTCTACCAAAAAATGACATAAGAAATTGATCAATAAATAATTTTAAGATAAAGAAACATTTAAATCATTTATAATCTCTATTGAAAACTATAATGATTAAGTTAAAATGGATCTGCAGAGAAGTTTAAATTAATGCCAAAACTGACTATATGGCATTTATTTATAATTTTTTCTATGATATAAATAATTCCCTAAAACCATAATAAAATTTATTAGCACCTAATGACTTAGAATGAATTTTTATTTTTTCTTTCCTTTGCTGGATTAAATAATAAAAATAAATGTTTTGCTCTATTTTATATAAAACAATTTATTATAAATTAAAAATCGATTACTTATTTACTTATTCACCAAATTAATTCTTCTTATCTACATCATATTCTAGCTTTATAATGCATTCCCATCTAATTTTTGAATTTTTCATATATAATATGATTAATTAATATTCATAAAATAATCAATTAATAAAGCAATTAAATTGTAATTAAAATTAGTTTTATTTAAGAATTATATAAAAATAAATATTCAAAATTGATGAATGTTGAGGCTGATTGATTGCAAAAGTTAAAGAAGTGTATACATTATCAGCTTACTAAATAAAAAAATAGATTTTATCTAAAATAATCATAATTTTGTTATAAATAAAAACGCAGCGATGTTCTTAAATTAAACAATTGAATATTAAAAATAATGGTGATTTATCGTTGATTTTTTTTATAGAAAAGTTAAATGCAACAATATAAATTTCCTTAGGTATAAAAAGTTTTATTAAATTCTATTTATATTATTTTTTGTATTTAAAATCATTCATTCATTGAATTGACTAAATATTTCTGCTTTTGAATAATAATGTAGATTAACACATGGATAAAGATCTTAAGTTGTGTCTATATTGAGTTTCTTAACATATAGTTTAATATTTACATATGACTCATTAGTTGATTACTTAATCCATTTAATATACTTATTCTAAATATCAACTTCTACAATAACGATATCATTAAAAGTAAATTTAAATGATATGCATTTGTCATTTTTATCATATTAATCATGATTGAAACATTTACCATCCTTATCAATAAAATATGCACTAGTATTATTATTATAAAATAATATTACCCTTTTCCATAATTATCATAATAACCATTCTTTTATATCATATCTCTAAAACATATTCCTATCATTAAGTAAGAATTATTTAAAATTCTAAATGCGAATTTAACTAATCCATGTTTTGGAATAATTTAATCACAGATGCAACAATACATACCACACATACCATGCAGAATAACCATTTTTCCATCTTAAGATATTTAGCAAGCATCATGTTTAAATTATTGTGAAAATGTTAGTTTAAAAGGATATTAATTTAATATTTAATTCTGCTCTTACTACTGCAACAACTATTACTAAAATTAAATAAATAATAATCTACTATTTAAATCTATAATTATAAATATTGGACATCTTTGCAATCTCTTTACAATTATGTCAATTACTATTCCTTTTATTATAATAATTCATTAACTTTGGTAATATTAATATTTTTTTCCTTTAATTGTTAATCGAGATTATTAATTTATAAAGTTACTTAAATATTTAAGAGAATAATTTACAATTTTGGCAATCCTCTTTGAATACCTAATATTTCTCTTTAATAAATACTTTTCCATTTCTTAAAATTTCATTTGATTTGATAGAATCATTTAAAGTTTCTGCGAATGAATTATCTTATCCTAAAATTTTCAATATTTCTTCTCGTTTTAGTAATCCATATTCAAATAAATTAGTTAGATTATTAGTTATTAAATTATATCTAATTTAATCTTCTTAATCTATATTAGCTTATAAATCAGATGAAACCGTTAGTTTATCTTTTTTACATAAAATTAGGGTGATCTCTTCAATCTATTCTTAATTGAACTCATAAATATCTGTTTGATCTAATTAATTTTATAATACTTCTTGAATTGATTATTATTCATTATTCAATTTTTCAATCAGTTCACATAAGATTTTATTATGCTATTCTCTTATTTCTTTAAGATTTGATATTATACTTTCCTATTAAAGCAATCTTGAATTCTAATCTGCTCTAATTTTATCTTAATTTTTGTATTTCCATCTTAGGTTGGCATTTTATAATGAAGTATATTTAATTGGGTCATTATTATGAATACAATCAACACATATCAATCTAGATGATTCAACTTAATTTTATTCTAAATTCAACATTATAATCTCTTTTCCATGTTTATTGCATTTTATATTTAAACAAGGTGTTTTCTAAATATCAATAATAATTACAGATTTATCCAATTCTTTTTAATTTTATATACCAAATGCTTTTACCTCTTATTATTTATCCGTATTCCTATTTTATTATAAATGATCAATAACTTAATTGTATGATGGATTGCTTGTGAATGATTAAAACATTTATTCGATGGAATCATAGAATTGATTATCAGCTTCTAATTTATCCAATTCCATAGGGATTTCATAATTAAAACTTCCTTTGTAATTTTTTGATAGAATTTCAACCTCATCTTCAAATTTATCAATTTTAGACTTTGAATCATATTCCTCTAAGTCTTTTTCAATTGTCCTTACTCTTTATCAAATGTTAGTTAATATCTTGTCAAATATTTCTTCAACTTAAACTTTAAATCCTTTTATCATACATTCCATCTATTTTTATTTTTCTATTCTCTTTTATTTTTCCTTCAACTCAAATGTTTATTATTTAAATTTCATTTCTTTAATCATAAATTGGGTCTCATCCATTAAAGCCATGTTTTAAATATCTATCTTCTCAATTAGGCATTTTGTACAAAGATATTTATCATCTTTAGGGGTAGATTGTTTTAGATCAATTGTTGTTATTTCTAATTAATGTTTTGAACAAATCCTTCTCTATTCTTTTAATGACATATTTATAAATACAAAAATATTTAAATTATAAACAGTATTAGAATAATTATTTGTAAAATTCTAAACCTCAAATCTAACTAATTTGTTTATCAAATAAAACATCACATTTTCTAACCTTATAATATTTTATATTATGCATTTTGAAATATAATTTACTAAAAATTCATTAAACTCGATCTTACATATAAAAACTATTGCTTGATTTCAGAACCAATCTCTCAATTTAGACTCTTTGAGAAGAAGGTTGAATAATTCAAAAATAAATTCTTTTTTGATATCTATAGGACTTCATAGAAACATCATTCTTAAATACAAGATAAATGAAATGATGAGTAAATATTTAATTATTACCTATATTTTTGTAAAAGTGAATGAGGAGGCAATCATTGCCTTTTTAATTTTAATGAGAAGTCTTTAGATTACATTAAACTTTAATTTCTTAATGAATATACCAAATGATGGATCAAATTGTTTACGTTTGCAATATATTCCATAAGATATTGGAACTTAAAGTGATGCAAAGAAAATTTTTATATTTTAACTTTCTCATTAAATTCCTCTAAATAGAATTTTGATCTTATCTATTTCTTAAAATTTAATACAGAAGACACTGATAAATTTCAAAATAATATTAGACAAACCAAGAAAAAAATAATCTCTATTTTATATACTTCTATTTTCATCCTCATATAAAAAATAAAAATGTTGAAAAAAAACAATTAATTTGAATTATCATATTTTTTATTACTTTTAAACATTCATCCTATTTTCTTATGCTAAGGTCAATATATTGGCTATATTAAGAATAAACACTGGATTTTATTTTTTCTATTGATAATATAATTTGATTTCTTTGTAGAAATTAATTCCTAGTTTAATTACAGGCCCCAATAAACCAAGTACCAAAATTAAAATTTGAACAAATCCTAGTAGAATTTATTCATTATATTTCATAACTCTTATAAAATCAGAGCAATATGTTAAACTTGTTAATGTAAAGAACATTACTGGAACCTCCATCCAAATTATTCCAATAAATTCTATCCTTTCTATATTTTACTTGATTGTTGATAGCAATCCAATGTACCATAAACTCAACAGTGTTAACATGATGCATTGAATTATGTCGTTACTTTATTAATCAATTAATATTAAGATAAATAAGAGTTTTTTTATTAGGGTTATACCCTCAAGCTATTAAAATCTTATTTGTGAAAGTTTCAAGTTTTCATTCAATCCTTTAATGTTCAACAATAAAATGATAATTGTCAAACCCAAAACTAAAAAACAAATACTATATGATATGGTTGATCGATATCCTGTTTCTGTGTTTGAGGTCATAAACAGAACCACTTTAAACAGCAAATCCCAACAGTTTGCGTAAAAGAGTTGTATAAAGCCGTTTTTAGAGTAAATATTCCTTAATTTTAAGATTTTTTTATTAATTTGATATAGTTTAATTATTAAAGAACCGAGCCATTAAAAATGGGTTTGCCTTATAAAATAAATATTTTTGAATGTAAAAAAATAATTATGCACGATTTTTGGATAAAATTATAAAAATAAGTAAAGTAAACCAATGAAGACAATTTAAGAGATTTAACTCTAAATATTTAATAGCAAGTCAGCATTTATTTGATACTCTTAGAACTTACCTATACTTGGAATGAAGTTCTAATTAATTAGATTGTTAAGAAGATCTGTTATTTAAAAGTATATTAAGATTGGGCTAACCGTTACAATTTCTGAAGATTGAAAATAAATCTATAGATTTTAAGGATAAGAAATATTTACAAATTTCAAATATGATTAAAATTGTAAAAGGTCAAATATTTCAAAACATTATAATGGTTATTTGAACAATAACATCAGTATGCTAATAGCTCCTAAGCCTATAATTAAAATATTTCCAAGATTTTGAAACTTATTTGCAATGCTAATTTAATCCTAATTGATAATCTTAGGCATTTTAAGTAATAATGATTATGATGGGAGACCAACCAACATATTGTTATTATCAACTAAAGAAGAGTCGAAAGAAATGGAAAAATTTGGCTCTAATGACATTTACTCAACAATTACAATATCAAACTCGAAAAAAGCCATAGTAAACTAAGTTGAATTAATATCCACTACAGGGTTAATTGTAATTTGATATTGATTTTAATTTAAATTGATTATTTCTGGTTAAATTGTTTGAGTAAAATTTATATTTGAAACTTATTTCACTTCATTAGAAAACTTTAGAGAAACAAATTAATGTTCAAATGTTTGATTTGAATATTCTAAGGAATATTTAGTTTATAAAAAACAGGAATTAGGTTGATCTTAATTACAATTCCAATTTTCTTCTACAATGCATTAGCTGGAACATCCATCACCATTACCCTAATTTCCATCATCACATTACTCTAAAGTTGATTAATTTCCATCTCCACATTTTTCGACATTGATTACAAGGATTTCATCATTTTCATCATTTTCATCCAAAGCATCAATTAATACTTTTTGACATTCTTTCTTAATTAAATTATATCCTTTCTCACATTCTTAGCACACACCTTGTACACAGTTAATACAATTTTAATCGCATTAAAAGAGACATTAATAACAACCATCGAATTGAATATCATTTTAATCTTCACACTCTTCTAAAGTTTATATAATAATTCCATCTCCACATATTGGTTTGCATTAATTTTTATCAGTCAACTCAAAGTTTTCTACGCATAACAAACAATTATTTGAACTATCGCATTAGAAACAATATGAATTACATTCGAATTTGCAATTATAACATCCATCATAAGGTTGATAATTTCCATCATCACACTACTCTTATGAATAGATAGCCAATAAACCATCTCCACATATTTGATAGCATTTTTAATCTATCAGCTACCAACCATCAATACAAGAATAGCATTATTATTGGATGCATTTATGACATTCTAATTAGCAACTTAATTTGCATTTATAGCAACCGTCAAATTGTATATTATTTTTATCATCACAAATTTCATTCTCAATAACAATTCCATCATCACATATCGGAATACACTAATTCTTATTTTACGATAATTTATAAAAAGTTTAACATTCCAGACATTGATCAAACAAACTAATTAAGCAATTTTCTATTGTTTTTCTCTTAAAATAATATCCAAAGACATCATCCGTTTAAAAGGGTTAATTCGAAACATATATGGGCTATGTCATCCAATCAAAAAACTAATATCGCAATTACTAATGATAATAACTTCCATATTTTGATAAATTAGATATTGAATATTAGGGTTCATGCAATGGTTCTAAACCATTCATATTATTTATTTCTGAACATTTATTATCAATTAATTCATAATTTTATTAACACTTTAAACATTTTCTAAACTCACAAAATTAGCAAAAAATTGGGCAAGAAAACCTACATTAAAAACAGCCATCATTTGATACTTGATTTGCATCATCACATTGTTCATACCCTTAAATGATACCATCCCCACATATTGGCTGACAATTCTATTGTGATACATCTTAAATCCAACCTTCTTAGCAAAACAAGCATTAATCACCAACTTAATCTAAACAGCCTAAAATAACATTTTGAATTATTATTGCTGGCAAACTGTAATATATTTCAAAATCTCTTATGCCTCCTTGACTTCTAGCAGATCTAATTTTCAGTTAGAATAGAAAGTCAGGATGATTTTTTATTAATATTTCTACTGCTCCATATTAACTCGCTATAAATTCTTCACCATAAATATAAGCTACATAGATATCACTCCATACGTGATAAAACCTTATTAATATATCTTAATGGGGAGGGAGTATTGTAGAATAATTAATTGTATTAAATAGTTAAAATTAGCAGTTCCCGCAATCCCAAAACTAATAAACGCTAAGGTTATAAGCCCATCCATCAGAATTTGTTTCGATTGTTTTTTAATCAAATGAATATTAATGCAGTTTCCATGATAAGCAAAAATTTTAATTATAATCAATGCATCCTTTACAATTATAATCACATCTGATAATACTTAATTATAATTTTATTAATCCTACGTTTTCATGGTGAATGTTCATCCATAAATTTCTTCTGTTATGTAAACGATTTATTGAAATAGTGTGAATTAACTAATTATCACAATTTGGATTTGGCAATCCCACTTAAGCAGTATTTTCATAAATAAAATCCAAATAAAAACTCCAATTAAATTAATTAAAACTATTAATAGAAAATAATAATAGTTACAGTTAAAGTTCTGCGTCCACTTTAATATGAGAATGAGGTTCTAGGTCTAAAAATAATCTGCTAATATAATGAGAATTTGACAAAAAATAGGGAATTCCTCCACAAGTCAAGAATTAAAAGGAGCCAGACTGCTATTTCCAACCTATAATAAATTTCAAATTTAAATAGTTACCATCACTATTATTATCATTTGCATCAAATGAATATATCACAGTTTGACTGGAGTATAGGAGTAAATTCATAAATATAATCTTGATTAATTAACCCATATTTAATATATTAAGAATTCATTTTACATATTTTCAGATTAATATTAATTATAAAATTTTTTTTGTTTTTATACGATTAATTGGATGAATTAGAAAATTTCTTTTTTTAAAGAATTATTACATTCACAATGCATTTGGTAGTTTATCCCAAAGAATTCATTATTTACAGTAAAAAATAACTTACAAATCAGAGAAAAATCAATTTAAATCAATTATAGAATTAAGAAAAAGTAAATGAAATATACCAAAATCATTCTTATTTAAAGAATATTTTAATCGTCCAAAACTATTATGAAATTAGAAGTTAATTTTAAACTCTTTATAATAATCAACAATAATAACAAAAATAAATTCCATTAGAAATAAAAATAGTACTGTCAAATATTTAAAAAAAAAGAAATACTCATCTATTTTGTTCATTCCATTATAGCAATTTATCTAACTGTCAACCTCTAACTTTAGAATAATAGAATTGCCAATTATTAATAATTTATTTATGAAATTTGTTATATTCTAATACAGAATTTATCAGGTAGTGTAAAAAAATAATAATGCTTTTTAAAAACTAAAACAACCCTTAAAATCAGGTATAAAAGAATGGTAATAACCTTATTATTCCCCTTAGTTTATTGTTTATTTGGAAGGAAATTGAAAAATACACAAAAAATTTCAATGGAATCCTCAATATAGTAGATAAAAGAAAGAATAAATTTTGTTAGTTTGTGATCTATTTGATAAGTCAATAGTAGTTCAGCAAAGAAAGGTTTAGGATATTACTTTATTCATTTAGAATAGTTCCTTTTAAAGGAAATAAATATAACCAATCTATATAATACTTTACTATTCGAACAACAAAAAATGAAATAAAAAAGCTTACATACATTCTTCTTGAAAAGAGGCATCTTAAGAAAAATACAATTAAACTAGAATTGGAAGTCATAATGAATTTTATCGATTTTAAATAATTAATTTGAATCTAAATATTAGATAAAAATGACTTATTTTTTTAAATAATATTCTTCAAACTCTCTTATCAAGATAAAATAGATATAAATAAAGGGTAATTGAAAATATCAAAGTCTCTTTTAAAATCCCATTACAAAAATATTGCTATCCTCCTTATATATTAAAAATTAAATCATCGATTCAACTTTTTAATTTTTTTAGAAACGCAGAGTCAAATAACTATACAATCTCTCTAAATCTCAATTTATAAATGCACAGACTTATGTTAATTTGGATTTCAAAATCTATTAAATAATTATTCAAATAACTAAAATTCTATGAGTTGAGATGAAAAAAATATAAACGAATAGAGGCTTTCTAAAAGTATGGTTCTTTTAGCAATTGAAAAAATTTTTTGAGAGGGTAAACCAGATTAATTTGCATCTAATATCTGCGTGTTTTAGAGTTAGTTTTTCTAGTAGCAATTAATCAAATTTAAAATTTTAAAGACAAATTTAGACTAAAAAATTACTAGAACTTATATCATTAATGATTATCCAACATATTAAGTGATGTAAATCTTCTTTTCAAATAAATCACTTAGTTTTCACAGATAGAATAGCAATTGAGCATTTTCGATGAATTTGATTACATTTCTATTCTGATCGTATAATTTCTTTAGATGAATCGACTAATTAAGCAGATGGAACTTTCAGATAGTATTTACACCAAAAGATTTTTAACTACCTTAAGAAAGCAAATCTATCGAATTATAAGCATGATATTCTTCTTTGTTGAGTAGAAAGTGACTTCTTTCTCTAACAATCCAATTTTATAATCAGTTGTATAACTATTCATGAGATTACTAATAATTAAAGAGAAATAATAGTTTAATAAATTACTATTAATTATAAGTAAAAAAATTTAGATTTAGAATTAACGCAATAATTAGTGTAATATTAAGATTAATTTCTAAAATAAACCATCCAAAATAAAAGTTACGAGAATAAGTTGATAAATAGATCTATATGCATTATTTTCAGGACATACAAATTTTATATAAGAAACTTAATTATTAATATTTTATAATTAATTTATTGTATGGCTAGGAGAAAAACTGTCAAACGAGCATAAAGATCTCATAAACATCTATTTACAAGGAATAAAAAGATAAATAAGACATAAAGGGAGTAAAATAAAATTCCAGGTTGGAACAAAAATATTTCATTTACTCATAATCTAAATAATTTGGGAATGAATACAGGTTATTAGATTAATCAAAAAATAACCAATGAATTAAAATAAAAGGAACAAGCTCCCTAATAATACATAGAGGCAGAAGAAATTTCTATTGATTAAATAAAAGAATTGCAGAGGTAAGCAACAGCAAAATTACCGTAAGAAGAAGTTGAAAAAAAGAAAAATAAAGTGAGAATGAATATTGATGATGAGTGGGCAATTGAAGGGCTTGTTAAAAAATACAAATAAGATTGGGAAGCAATGAAAAGAGATCACAAATTGAATACATTTTAATGGACGGCAATTTAATGTTAAAAAAAATACAACGATTACATTAAAAGATATGGTAAATGTCCTAAACCATAATAATGATTGTATAATATGTATATCTTAATATATGGATAAAATTGTAAAATATACATATTATTCATCCTTTATATATTTGATTCAATTGATCTATCCCCTCTTAAAGGGAATCTCAAATTAAATCAAAATCGTTGTTTTTCAGATTAATTTTTTTGATATTGATGAATGATTAAAGTGTATCTAAGTATTGACACTCCTAAATTAACTCAAGGATTAATATTTTGTTTTCATAGTAAAGCTAAGATTAAACATGTTTTTTACTACTATTTCTCAATTATTCTTATAAATTAAGTAGAATAATTAGAATATAGAGTTTAGAGAACTCTGAGTTTGAGCTAATAAAATTCAAAATTCTTCCATATTACTAATTTTAATCATTTATAGAGAATATTAGTTAAACTTAATCCATATTATTTTATTCTTAATACTTTAATCCTCAAAAGGAAAGATAGTTTATTAATTGGATTCATGGATTTAAGCAGATAGAATAAACTACTTTATATATTTGCTTTGATACTTAAGTCAAATACTATCTAGCTCATCTTAAGTAGGATTATTAATTGATCTAAAGTATGATGCGAATGTAATTTAGAATTTATTGGGTATATGAGTTAATTTTTTTTATTTAAAAATTGAAATGAATTCTAAGGGCAAAAGGACTTTGGGTAAATGTTATAGTTATTAAGGTAGGTCCAATTCAAAAAATAAGCAAGCCATCTTTTGATTATGAGTCAGCTCTGAAGGAACATCGAGAGGTAGAGGAAAGAATAAAAATGGAAACTGACACTCAAGATCCGAGGTAATAGGAGTGATTTATGTTTAAAGGAAATTTGTGATGAATCTGTTGAATGATCGTGATAATTCATTCGTATTGGATAACTCTTTTACTAATTCATAAGTGGCAGCAAAAAAGCAGGTATTTTGATAATTAATTTGATAGGTGTATGTACGCTCTAGGCGGATTAAGAGTTAAATACCTTGCTTGTAAGGGTAAACAAAAAATAACTCCTAAATTCAATATGCATCTCCAGCGCAAAGTTTAAAGTTTGATTTTGATTTGAAACCAGATTTCAATTCCAAACGATCAAATTTTGTTCCCAAGTTTATAAATTCTGGAATAAACTTTGATGTAGAAGTAAAAGGAACACTGGGAGAAGAATTTACAGAGTTTCAGAAGTGTAAATAAGTGATTCAATAATTTAGATGATAATGATTCATAACCAGAGGAGATTCCAAAAAATAAAAACTTTTCTTATGGAGGCAGAATGACTAACAAGAAGTTAAAGGAGTACGATTGTTGGGATGAAGATAGAACTCCTCAAGAATGGATAGAAATTTGTAAATAGAGTAATCCTCCACATGCAAAATGTCCAATGTTTGATGAATCAGACAAATACATTTGGACAGATGTGGAAGTGATCGGTTTTGAGAATGGTAAATTCGAAGTTAAAATATTGAGATCAAACAAAATCAAAAGGATTGGCAGATTATCATTATAATTTTACTCAGAAGACCCTGTAAAGTTTGAACAAAGAGTAGAATTGTGTAAACAAAGACAAAAGAATGCAAATGATGAATTGCGATTCGTAAAATATGTGGATTCTCTGCCTGATTCCATGACGTCTACGTTATCTCTAGAAATGTAGAAAAAGATTGATGAATACACAGTGTTTAGAGATTTGCCATTCCTTACAAAAGAAGATCCAAGTAAGATAGCTCCTGGATTCCCATAGATATAAACATTTAAGGATGAAGCAAAGTAAATGGTCACAGATCCAGAAATCAGAAGGAAACAAATGCAACATCTTGAGTTGCTCAAAAAAGACTTAGTGAAGTAAGTTCAAAAAGAGTATACCATGCTTATGAAAAAATGTTCAATTCTCAAGGATATGGAGGTGAATAAGAACGATGTCAAATGGCTTCAATTAAGAATCAAAAATAGATTTGAATAAACCAAAAAGCCTTATTATGGACTAACTAAATAATTTGGGAGTGATACTAAAATTCTGAGTTTTGAAACTTTGGGGTAACAACCTGTGAAGCAAATCAAAATTCAAGATAATTGGGGTTTCGTCTAAGTCAGATAAAATGTATCTCAATTGCACTATTCTAAATTTGCTGTAGTAGTCAACACTTTGAATGCTTTAACTGCCAGATCCCAATTGTATTAGAATTTCCCACTCTTGAATGTATTGCTTAATCATTAATCATTGCCAATGACCTTGTCCAATTTCGAAAGCTAACAAAAATAGCATAATGTCTAGGGAAGATAAACACTGTAGGTTTAATGGCGTAGTACTATTGTTGGAGACATCTAAGATAAATTAAGAGAGAAATATCGATTCTATTAGACTGAAACTGAGGATTACTTGGATAGTGAATTGTAAAAATTGCTAATTCGAATCGACTATATGTTTACCAATTTCATTAGAGAGAATGTTGTTCGCTAAACTTGTTAGTCTTGGGTGGATTTTATTAAAAGGTTTACTACTCCTAAGGAAGGAGAGCAGTGGAGGATTAACGATTATCCATTATTGATTTTAAATCTCGAAGTGAATCTCACTTTCAAAAAGAGTAAGAAGAACGATAAAAAAAATAAGTAAGAAGATACTCCTTTATTTGAAGAGGATTTCAATAGTGCCATTTACTTCTCTCCTAATTACTTAGCCATCTAATAGGGTTTGTTGAAACCATTAGATCTCTTATTGGAATCTGTGAATTCATTTAATAGACTTGAGAAAGATCTGGTTCCGTTGGTGGACATAGATCAAAGAAAATAAATAAAGGGAAAATTGAGGGCTTACGAAATTGAAAACGACAAGGATTAAATGTGGATTAAGTGGGCCAAGGAAAAGGTTTAAGCATACTTAGAGATTGGTTATTAGAAACCAAATGAAATGCTATAGAAATTCAGAGAATTTAGTTTTCTATTAGAAAAGTCAGTGGCAAGTGTATTAAAAAGCTTGTTTGGAGATGTGTCCAAAAAACCGATCATAACATCACTAGACAAAGATGAGATACAAAAAAAGCTATCTGATTTCATTAATGCTAAATTTTAAATACAAAGATTATGCTTGGATGAAAAGAATGAATAATTTTTTTAGATAAGAACTAGAATAGCCAAGGAGAATTTGATATCTAAGGCCAATGAATTTATCACATCCATCTTGAAGCAGTGTTCAGATATTGTGACTGACAACATAAGTCGTTTAAGTTAAGAATATAGTGACATGAGCGAAAGAATTACAAAGCAACCAAAAAACGAGGCTGAATTAATCGAATTAAAAACGTACATTGCAGAACACGAAGTAAATTTGGCAAAGAAGAAATAAGAAGTGGATTTTATCTACGATTACTTGACTATGTTTGAAGATATGAGTCATAATTTTGAAGATAAAAATCTTTATGAGTTTTGGAACTTATATAGTTTTCCTCCTGAAATTAAAAATCATGTGATTGAAGGTCAAAGGAAGGCTAATTTATAGGAGTAAAAGTTTATGGAGAATTTGGACAATGAGAAAGATAAATTCTAAGTAGAATTGAAGGAATTGACTGAGTTGTTCATAACTGTTTAGAAGTTTGATGACTATTCAAGAGTTAAGGATGTGGCTAATGATGTTGTGTCACTAAATGATAGATTCTAAAATGCCCTGAAGAAGGTTGAATCCTTCAATGAGAGAGAACTATTATTCAAACAGTAACCATCAGTCTATGAAGACTTGAATTAGTTGATTAAGGATTTCACTATTTACTACAATTTGTGGACGAATGCCATAGAATTCGAGTATGACAGGAGTGATTGGTGCACTGGGTCATTCTTAAAACTTAATTTCGCTGAAATTGATAATAAAGTAAGAACCAACCAAAGAAATGCCAATATTCTAATAAAGGCTTTCTCAGATGCACAAGATGACGTGGCTGTGGATGTGGCACGTAAATTGAAAGGTTAAATCGATGAGTTTAAAGAGAAATTGTGGTTGATTGAATTATTGACTACGGAGGCAATGAAGACTAAACTGAATTTGTGGAAAGACATTTGGAAGGTTGCAGGGATTGTTGATTAGGAAACAAATGATGATTTGTCATTGGATGCTTTGGTTTCTCACGGCTTAATGAATTTTAGAAACGATATAGAAGAAGTATCAAGGAAGGCTGAAAAGTAATGGCAAATAGAAAAAAATCTGAATTTAATTTAAGAGAAGCTAAAAGATCAGAAAGTTGAAATGATTCCATACAAAAAGACAGGAACTTTTGTATTGAAATCATTAGAAGAAGTAGTTTAATGTTTTGATGATTAATTCAACATTCTATTGATGTTAAAGGCATAGCCGTAGATCAAAGCTGTATTACATAAAGCATAAGCCTTGGAACAAAAGATAGTTTTAATTTAGGATTCACTTGATGGTTGGATAAAGTGTTAAAGGGGATGGATGTACTTGGAACCTATTTTTACATCAGATGATATCAAGAAGAAAATGCCATTAGAAACTTAAAAATTCTTGAAGGTGGATGCTCATTGGAAATTAGTAATGGAATAATTTAGCAAAGAGCCCAATCTTTGGGATGGAATAGAAAGTGAGAAGATGAAGAATGAATTCGATTAAGATAATAAAGCGTTGGATTAGATTTAGAAATCTTTAAGTGAGTATTTGGAGACAAAGCGTAACTCATTTCCAAGATTTTATTTCTTATCAGATGAGGAACTATTGGAAATCTTGGCATAAACCAAGGATCCAGAAACAGTGTAAAAGCATATTAATAAATGTTTCGAAGCCATCAATTTATTAGAATTTATAAATGGATAGGAAGTGGTGGCTATGATTTCAGCGGAAAAAGAAAAAGTGCAATTTTCAAAAGGAATTAATGTTAATGATGGGGAAAAGAAAGGGAATGTGGAAAAGTGGTTAAGTGAGATTGAGTCTGTTATGATAGATACTTTGAAGAAGATAATGAAAGCCTCACATTTGGACAACGGATACAAAGAGAGTTGTTTGGGTAAGGAAATGGCCTGCTTAAATTGTCTTGGCAGTAAATATGATTAGATGGACTAGAGGTAGTGAGACAGCTATAAATGATAAAGAGAATCAATAAGGAGGATTGTCAGGATTTTTATAAAATATTGATTAATGAACTAAGAGATATTGTAGATTTAGTTAGATAAGATCTATCACCTTTAGAGAGGTTAACATTGGGTGCACTTGTAGTGTTAGATGTGCACGCTAGAGATGTGATTAGATAATTAGTAAAAATTGGTTGCAATGATATTAATAATTTCTAATGGATGGCATAATTAAGATATTATTGGACTGAATAAGTAATGAAATGCAACGTAAAAATGATAAACGCTGATTTACTATATGGATATGAATATTTGGGTAATAGCATGAGATTGGTTATTACCCCTTTGACTGACAGATGTTATCGTACTTTAATGGGAGCATTCCATTTATAATATGGAGGAGCACCAGAAGGACCAGCAGGAACAGGAAAAACTGAAACTGTAAAAGATTTGGCTAAGGCATTGGCAGTCTAATGTGTTGTATTTAATTGTTCTGATGGTTTGAACTATTTGGCTATGAGTAAATTCTTTAAAGGGTTGGCAAGTTCAGGAGCTCTGGTGTTGTTTCGATGAATTCAATCGTATTGATTTAGAAGTGCTCTCAGTTATCGCTTAATAGGTGCTCACAATTTAGGACGCTATTAGATAGAAAAGACCAGAATTTGAGTTTGAAGGCACTATAATTAAATTGATTCCATCTTGTGCTATCAACATTACAATGAATCCTGGGTATGCGGGTAGATCTGATTTACCAGATAACTTAAAGGCCCTATTCAGACCATGCGCTATGATGGTTCCAGATTATGCGTTGATTTCAGAAATCTATTTAGCCTCTGTAGGATTTCAAGATGCAAATAATCTAGCACGTAAAATTGTCGCTTCTCTAAGATTATCATCTGAATAACTGTCATCATAGGATCATTATGATTTTGGTATGAGAGCTTTAAAAGCTATCTTAACAGCTGCAGGTAATCTAAAAAGAGTCATGAACGACATTGAAGATATCATTTGTTTAAGAGCACTCATGGATGTAAATATTCCAAAATTCACAATAAATGATGTGCCCCTATTCAATTCAATTACATCAGATCTATTTCCTGGAATAAAGTTACCTGAATAGGATTATGGAGCACTAGAAACAGCACTCAAAAATACAGCTTAGGAGATCAATATTCAAGCAGAAAAGGGATTCATTGAAAAGTGCATTCAATTGTTTGATACTATAAATGTTCGACATGGTTTGATGATTGTAGGATAGGCATTTGCAGGTAAATCAAAAGTGTTGGAATGTTTGGCTAAGGCTATGTCATCATTAAATAAAGTGTAGCCATTTGTGAATGTTGCTGTTCTCAAATTGAATCCAAAATCCATCACTTCAGATCAATTGTATGGTAAATTGGATCCAGACACCAAATCATGGACTGATGGAGTCATTGCCATTATTATGAGGTAGTGTGCATAAGATGCTGAGGTGGAAGAAAGGAAGTGGGTTGTATTTGATGGACCTGTCGATGCAGTTTGGATTGAAAATATGAACACCGTTTTGGACGATAATAAGAAATTATGTTTGACTTCTGGTGAAATCATTAAGATGACAAATTGGATGACCATGATGTTTGAAGTTGAAGATCTTGCTGTTGCATCCCCTGCCACTGTAAGTAGATGTGGTATGGTCTTTTTAGAGACTCAATAAATTGGATGGTATGCATTAGTCAAATCATTTATCCAAACAATCCCTGAAAAATACATAGAACATCACTTTTTGGATGATCTATTAAGAGTCATTATTGATTGTAGTTAGGAGTGGTTAAGGAAGCATGGCAAATTCCCAATTTACAAGAGTGAAATGACTTTAGTTAAAAACATGTTACTTATACTTCAAACCTATCTACAAGAATGGACAGATATGGACGAAAAGGCTCAATAAAAATAAATCAATCATAATGAAATCAAGGATGTAGTCTCTAAGGCCATTCTATTTTCTTGTGTTTGGAGTTTCGGTGCAGCCATAGATGAAGTGTGCAGAAAATAATTTAACTAATTCTTGATTAAGTTGATTTCGGCTGAAGATGTACATGAGACTTTCAATCTGTAATTGCAATACAAGTTTTAACCCATCACAATCAATGCTAAATTACCTGATAAAGCTAATCTATTTGATATGGTCTATGATAGAACTAAAAATAGCTTCATAAGTTGGACTTAAACACAACCTCCATTCGTCATTTAAAAAGGATGTGATTATCATGATTTACTTATTCCCACAAGTGATTCTATTAGAAATAATTATTTCTTGCATTTATGTGTCAGAAACAAGATTCATCTATTAGTAACTGGACCAACAGGTACTGGTAAGACATCAAACATTGTAAGTGAAATAAATAAAAACTATTTTAATAATGAATACACTAACTTGATAACTGCTTTTTCAGGTTAAACCTTAGTAAATTAGGTTTAAAAAACTATTGAAGCTAAGGTGAATTCAAGGAGAAGAAAAGGGTATTTCGGACCTGAGGAGGGCAAGAAGTATATTGTTATATTTATTGATGATCTGAATATGCCAGCCAAAGAGAAGTATGGTGCATAGCCTCCAATAGAATTGTTAAGATAGTGGATGGATACTGGTGGTTGGTATGATTTAGAAACTAAGGAACCTAAATTCCTCTAAGGGATTACCTTTATTGCTAGTATGTTACCGCCAACAGGAGGCAGAAATGTTGTTAGTATGAGATATTTAAGACACTATGTTCTCTTGTATGTTGAACCTTTCGAAGGAGATTCATTGTAAAGAATATTTTAAAATGTGTTGGAATGGTATTATGCTCGCTAGACAACTCCATTTATGAAATCAATTACAAATATGAGGGACTCAACAGTCAATGCCACTCTTGACATTTATTAATTAATACAAACCTGTAAGGAGCTCTTGCCAACTCCAGCTAAATCGCATTATATCTACAATCTTAGAGATATTAGCAAGGTGTTCTAAGGAATTTCAAAAGGGATTGTGAAATCCTTTAGGGATGAAAATGATTTCATAAAATTATGGGCACACGAATGCCAACGAGTCTTCTAGGATAGATTGATTAATGAAGATGACTAAGGAACCTTTGATAAGATCCTAAAGGAAACTATTCTGAAACATTTCAAAAGAGATTGGAAACAATTGGTGCAAATAGAACCACTCCTATGGGCTTCCTTTGTACCCACCCTCTATCCTGATGATGATAGAACAAAGAGACCCATGACTGATATCTATTGTGAATTGACGGATCGAGAAACTCTTAAGAAAGTATGTCAAGAACAATTAAATGAATACAATTCATAGTACACAAGTAATCGAATGGAATTAGTGTTATTTATGAATGCAATCTAACATGTGCTTAAGATAGTGCGTGTGGTTAATACAACATTTGGTCATGCTTTGTTGGTTGGTGTAGGAGGTTCTGGAAGGAAGAGTTTGGCTTAATTGGCCTCCTTCATTGCATTCCAAAATGAAACTTTGTAAGTGGACTCAAGAAATTGGATCGAAGAATTGTAGAAGGTGATGAAGATGGGAGGAATAGATCAAAAAGAAATAGTGTTCATGTATTCAGACACTTAGATTATTAAGGAATCTATGGTTGAGGACATTTGCAATATCTTGAACAATGGTGAAGTGCCCAATTTATTTCCTACTGAGGAGAAGAGCAAAATCATAGAAGAAATGAGTAGTTACACATCTGGAACTCCAAATGAGAAATATGGTTATTTTGTAAAATAATGCAAGAAGAATTTGCATCTCGTTATTTGCATGTCTCCTGTGGGAGAAGCATTTAGAAGAAGATTACGTACTTTTCCTGCTTTGGTTAACTGTACAACAATCGATTGGTTTTTGCCATGGCCTGAAGAGGCACTTAGATCAACTGCGAATGCTGTATTTACAAGGGACATGAATATCAATGACAATAAATTGAGACAAGGTTTGGTGGATATAGCAGTCGATATGCAAATGAGAGTATCTGATCTAACCAAAAGATATTACAATGAATTAAGAAGATATTATTATGTAACACCAACATCGTATTTGGAATTGCTTAACACATTCAAGAGACTCAAATCAGATAGAGATCAAAATATGTCCAAAATGATATCTCGATATGAGGCAGGCGTAGATAAGATTATCATTACAGAAAGTGAGGTAAGCAAAATGTAAAAAGGAGTTGGAAGATTTGTAACCAAAATTGGAGTAGGCTACTAAGGACAACAGTGTGATGTTGATAAATTTGTAAAAGAAATAGAAAGAAGCTGATGCAAGGAAGTAGGTTTGTCAATAAGAAGAGAAGGATTGTAATGTACAAAGAGATGGGGCAAATGCTTTAAGAAATGATTGCTAAAATGATCTAGACAAAGTGTTGCCCATCTTGGCTTAAGCTGCTGAAGCTTTGGAAAAGATTGATAAAAATGATATGGTTTAATTGAAATCATTCCCTAAGCCTCCTCCCTCAGCTGCCATTGTCATGGAAGGGTTATGTTACATCTTCCAAGAGGACCAAAATGTACCTTGGAAACCAAAGGAACCAGGCTCTATGGAGAAGGTCTAAGACTTTTGGGAGTACTCAAAAAAGAATCTGTTGAATGATAAGTTGATCAAGAGAATTAAGGATTTCAGAGATGATTCTATCAGATAAATTCCATAAGTGAAAATCAATAAATTAAAAGCATTTTCTCAAAATCCATTGTTTTAGAAGGATAAGGTGTTTAATGCATCTGTTGCTGCAGGTAATCTCAGCTTATGGGTTCGTGCAGTCGTAGAGACATATGATGCCTTATTGGTTGTGGATCCCAAGAGACAGTAATTATTGGAGGCAGAAGCCAAATTAAAAGAAGCCGAAGAAACTCTAAGAGTAAAGCAAGAAGCACTATAGGAAGTGCTAGATATGTTGGCTAAATTAGAAGCAGATTATAATAAGGCAAAACAGGAGAAAGAAGATTTGGAAGCCAAAGTTAACAAGTGCAAGGTCTAATTGAGTAGAGCTGAAAAATTAATCACTGAATTAGGTGGTGAGAAGGAGAGTTGGAAAAAGAAGGCTGCTGATTATAGAGTCGATTCTAAGACAATCGTTGGTGATTGTATCCTATCCTCAGGAATTGTGGCATACTTGGGAGCATTTCCAATTGCTTATAGAGATGACACAATCAAAATATGGTAGACATTATTAGAAAAGTTAATTATTGAATTCGATCCAGAATATTCCTTATAGAAGATATTGTGCGATCCAATAACTATAGGACAATGGACTAATGTTTAAAAGTTACCTAATGATTCATTCTCTATTGATAATGCTATTATTCTGAAAAATTCCACTAGATGGCCTTTGATGGTTGATCCTCAGACTTAGGCTAACACTTGGGTTAAGCATATGGAGGCCTAACAATTAGTTATTGTGAGACCCACATAGTCTTCAAATGTATTGTCAAAGACCTTGGAAAGTGCTTTGCAGTTTGGATAGAGTGTGCTGTTAGAAAATGTAGGTGAAGCCATTGATACTATTTTCGAATCGATTCTATAATAAAAGATTATAAAACAAGGTTCTGCCTACAAATTGAAATTTGGAGATAAAATGATTGACTATTCCAAAGACTTTAAGTTTTACATGACTACTAAATTGGCTAGACCTCATTATCCACCTGAAATTTGTGTGAAAGTTACTATGTTGAATTTCTAAGTCACTTAGGAGGGATTAGAGGATCAGATGTTAAATATTGTCGTTAAAATAGAAGAGCCAGCTAAGGATGAATAAAGGTAAAGGAATATCAAAGAATTCTTTGAAAATAAGAATAAACAAAAGATGACTGAAGACAATATTTTGTAATTATTGCAAGATTCTAAAGGCAATCTACTGGATGATGAAGTCTTGATTGATACGTTGTAGAGATCGAAAGCAGAATCAATCACAATATAGGATAAGTTGAAGAAGTAGGAGTAAGATAGGGAATAATTTAATTAAATTCGTAACTTTTATAAAGAAGTTGCCAAGAGAGTAGCAAATTTGTATTTTGTTGTTTTGGATCTTTCATTGATTGAGCCTACCTATTAATGGTCTTTGGAGTTCTATATCATCCTATTTGAGAGAGCAATTCGAGAGTCAATTTAAGGGAAGGAGAATAGAAGCAAAAATATCATAGATAAATTTTAGATCTCTTTATATGAGAGTATTTGCAGATCCCTATTGGAGAAGGATAAATTGATTTATTCATTTTTGATGACTATGAAAGTGATGTAAAGTGAGGGTAAGATTACTCCACAAGAAATACGTTTCACCATGGTTGGAGGAACATACACAGATCCCACATACCCATAGCCATAACCAGAATGGATATCTAAAAGGATGTGGTGTCTAGTAACAGAAGCTGCTGATACTTTACCATTTTTCAAAGGATTCCCTGAGTCTTTCTCTAACAATCTAGCCGATTGGTAAGAAATGTATGATAGTAGTGAGCCACAAATGTAAAAATTACCAGAACCTTGGCATTCATAATTGAGTGCTTTTCAAAAACTAATTGTCTTGCGTATAATAAGACCTGATAAATTTGCAAATGCAACTTAAAATCTGATCATAACAGAAATGGGCAAATAATTTATGGATCCTCCCCCATTCAACCTAGAACATGCCTATAAAGATGCAGATGCTTACACTCCTCTTATATTCATATTGTCTCCAGGTGCTGATCCTCGTTTGGAAATATCAACATTAGCTGATCGTCTAGGATTTAGATAGAATTTCATCACTCTCTCCTTGGGATAAGGTTAAGGAGAAATAGCTACTAATGCGATAAAGGGAGCTGTTAAGGAAGGCAAATGGGTGTTATTGTAAAATTGTCATCTTGCCCCTTCATTTATGCCTGAATTAGAAAGAATACATGAATAAGAGATATGTGCAAAACCTGTACAGGAAGTTAATTCTGATTTTAGAATTTGGTTGACTTCGATGCCCTCAAATGTATTTCCAGTGACTCTATTAATGAGAGGTATTAAAATGACATATGAGCCACCAAGAGGCTTAAAAAATAATATGTTGAGAAACTTCTCATCAATAGACGCGAAGAGTTTTGAATTATGTAAGAAACCAGTAGAATGGAAAAAACTGTTTTTCGGTTTGAACTTCTTCCATGCAGTTTGTCTAGAGCGTCGTAAGTATGGACCTCTGGGATGGAATATTCCTTATGAATTCACTTCAGCAGATCTAGCCATATCTGTATCTTAGTTGAAAAACTTCCTTGACACTTTCGAGGATATTCCTTGGGAAGCTCTCAATTACATGGTCGCTGAAGCTAATTATGGAGGCAGAGTCACGGACCCAAAGGATAGAAGGTTAATTGCTATACTCTTGAAAATAGTTCTACACAACAGACGTGTTATAGATAGACAAACATAAATTAAGTCCGAAGTGGTACTTATTATGTGCCTCCAAATGGAGTATTAGAGGATTACAAGGAATACATAAAGAATCTGCCTTTGAATGACTAGACTGAAGTGTTTGGACTCCATGATAATGCAGAGATATCATCAGCAATTATTGAAACTAATTTCATTACATCAACTATATTGTCCTTACTACCTAGATCAACAGGAGGTGCTGGTGCATCTGCAGAAGATCTAATCAAAGAGAAATGCAAACTAATCTTATCTAAATTGCCAAATCAATTTAATGTGGAGGAAGCAGCTCGGAAACACCCTGTACAATACAATCAGAGTATGAACACAGTTTTACAATAAGAGTTGATTAGGTTTAACAAATTATTGCAAGCTGTTAGATAGTCACTTATTGATTTAGGTAAGGCTATTGATGGTTTGGTTGTGATGAGTTCAGATCTGGAATAAGTCTTCAACAAAGTGTTTGATAATTAAGTTCCAGATGTTTGGCATAAGGTGGCTTATCCATCTCTCAAACCACTGGGTTCTTGGATTAATGACTTTATTGATAGATTGCATTTCATGTAATTGTGGATTGACAATGGGGCACCACCCACCTTCTGGGTATCTGGATTCTTTTTCACTCAATCATTTTTGACTGGCACACTCCAGAACTTTGCTCGAAAAGTAATTTAATTATAATACTCAATTTTAGTACCAAATTCCTATTGATACCCTCTCATTTGAATTCATTGTGATCCCTCCTTCTTCTTAAGAATATGATCTTTCCAAACCTCCTGATGATGGTTGTTATGTCTATGGTCTCTTCCTTGATGGTGCTCGATGGGATGAGGAAAATAGATGTCTCAATGAAAGCTTACCTAAAATACTGTAATATAGGGTGCCCTACTTGTGGCTATTGCCAAGCGAAGAGAAGAAGGATTGGGAGGCTGACTTATCTGTAATGGCTATAATATTAAACTAGGTTTATGAATGTCCAGTATATAAGACATCGAGAAGAGCTGGAACACTGTCCACAACAGGTCATTCCACTAACTTTGTTATTTCTATATATTTACCTATATCTCCTGATCATCATCCCTACCATTGGGTCAAAAGAGGAGTGGCCATGCTATGCTAAACTGATGACTGATTCATTATTGTATAGTGTTTGGGATTAATATATATTTAATTACTTATTTTTATCAAATATAAATTTTGGTGGCTTTGCGTCTTAATATTCTGGGCTCAAATGAGACTTTCTTTTACGTTATCGCCTACTTTAGTCTATAAAGCGAATGATTGGATTTCGACTTGGATTTAGATTTTGATCTATTAGTTTTTAGAATCCCCTTTAATGTTTGAGTTTCCGATTCACTCGAATTGAATTTCTAAATTACTGAACATTTTCTTTGTAACTCTACTTAAAATTAAATTTGAGTTACAATCTCATTTAGTCTTTGAATCGCCTCATTCACAGCTATTTTTTATTATACCTACTCATTTAGAATTGTTGTATCATCATTTTTTACTTTATCTTCGCTGACCTCTTTGTCAACATCAAAATCTTCAAGAATGCCTTCCAATTACGTTAATTCTTGAGCATCCTCAGTTAGTTCAGAATGAATTAATGGTTTTTCCAAGGCATTTTACCTGTCAGGAGCGAACTTTTAGATTTTTTTAATTATAGGGTATTGAAGATCTTCTTAAGGTTTAGATGATGATTGATTTATACAGATCGATCCCATATAAATGAACACTTTATTAAATATTTATATGAAACAAACAAATAAATAAGTCATTCTTATTCAATTTAATTAGGAGGAACAGTAAAATATTTAATCTTTCCCTAGTTCCAATCCTGTAACACAATTCTAGCTGCACATTCCAAATCTGGAATGCCCCCTTTCTACAACTTTCCTCTAGCCAAAGCTACTTAACACAAAAACTCATTCACATTATTGAATGTTTGAATTTTATACAGTAAGAGCAACTCATTTTTAGAAACCTTCTTCAAGATCTCTCCAATTGGTTCTCTTGGATCCTCAATTTATTCAATCTTTGAATATTACAAATAGATGATACTTTTATGATATTCCTTAATAAAGTGCTCTCCTTGTTCTCAGAATCAAAAACCACTCCTGGACAATCAATAATCTTCACCTAACTGTCAATTACAACCTCTTAGAGACCCTTCGTGAATCCTGGAGTAGAAGAAACTGCACAAGCCTTACTTCTCTTGAGACTGTTAATGACTGAACTCTTTCCAACATTGGGATATCCAATAACACCAACAGTCACACTACTTTTAACTCCGTCATTTTTTGAATAATTTTTTATTAATTCCAATAACTTGTCAGCTCCTATAGCTTTAGAAGATGAGGTCAAATCATCAGCCAAATCCTGTCTTTAAGATAAGGTTTTCTTGTAAATGGAGGCTGAAGACAAATTAGATTATTATTATTAGGTATTGGCTTTGAAGAGAACAGTTGCAAATTCTCTTCTCAAATGAGCCAACCATGCATCTGCATTACCTGGAGGAACTAAATCGATTTTGTTCAACACCAAAATTATCTTTTTATCTCCTGGCATACCAAGGATTTCTCTCTCCAAATGCTTGCATCTACATGCCAATGGATCTCTGGCATCCAAGATTATTAACAATATATCAGCAGCCTTAATTTAAAATGATTAAATTACTTCTGCCACTTTTTTCACTTAGGTAATATATTTCTTATGCTCCTTAGTTAGTTGAGTCAAATTCTCTTATTTGATTTATTCTTCTTCAACAACCACTTGAGCCTTTGTCTCATATAGATTTGATTTGACTTCAGCCAAATTAAGATCGAGTTCCTCTTTTTATTATAATTTTTATATTTTTTTCTCCTGCTCCTCTTAATCCTTCTTCCTTTTTAAGGTTTCAATAACATTCTTCTTAAATGTGATACATATTGGGGATCCCTATTTCTTTGGACGAAGCTATGATGCTATTAAGATTGAAAATACTTTTCTTTATTTATCCCAAGGCACTCATCTTTCTGGCTTCCTTTTTGAGCTTTTTGTGATGCTATTTAACCTTCTTCTCTATTTTGTATTTCTTATTCAACGCCAATCTCTTACTTGTACGACCCTTAGGTTTGTTTGTAAACTTAGCCATTTATTAAAAATATTTTAATTTTATAATATCTCAAACACCTGTTGCATACATTTTCACAATATCAAGTAATTCGTTTGGCACCTCACATTCGCTGCCTATAAACTAGGCTATATTAACCACACTCTATGTTATTTCAATAAAGTATTTACATGGATGTCAATCAATTTGCTCAAATATAACAACAAATGGAAATCTGCAAATCTATTATGACTCGGTTTCTTTTAGTGTTTGTGTAAGAAGGTCTTTAGATCCTGCTATTTAGCAACTGCAGATCTATTCTCAACTGGGAAATCATACAACTTTAGTATACTATAATTTGAATTCGGGTTATATCCATGAGCAACCTTTAAATATTCAATTTAACTTTACATTCACTATAAAGAAGTCTGGCTCAAATTCTTTGACTGACTTTCCATTGTACACAAAAGATGGTAAGACATCTAATTCATTTTTTGCATCTCTAACTTATAATACCTTCCTTCTTCCTGAATTCTAAAATATTCCATCATTCTCTAATTGTTATCCCTAATCAGACACCATATAAACCTCTGGTACCACTTCATCAGGGCTATCTTTCTTAGCTAAATACTCTTGCTAATACTCTTACTTCTTAGCACAACAGTTAAGAACTTGCTTACTAAACAACCTTCTGGGTGTTTAATAGAATAAATTTATTAGTATTATGCTGCCTATCTCAATTCTTCACTTGATAAAAAACAGTCATGATTCACATTTGTAAAAATCCAGCCTATCTTCTCCATTCCCAAACTAGTTGCTATTTCATCAGCATGACTTTAAGCAGGATCTTATAATAAATCAACATGACCAAATGTTCCTTTTTGAGGAGGTTCATATATGGCTTCAACGATAGCTCTAACACCATTCTGATAATTAGGGTCTGCAGCGTAATATCCATACAAGAATCCCATTCTTTATTCTGTCTTACCTTTACTTGTCCAATATTACACTAAATTCGACATTTCAGGTATGTTCAAGAATTCCACATAATCTACATGTCTGTAAACTTATCTTTTCAGTAAGATTGAGGGGGGAAGACAATTATTGCACATAGCCTTAGGATATGGAGCATGATTTTTGCAATCTTTCTTTAATTTGTATGATATCTACCATCGATCTCAAATGATTACCATAGTTGGAGGAAGACAATTGTTGCATCTTCCATTATCTGGATGCTATCCACGACACTTGAATTTCATATCATGCAAAAATTAATCAAATGAAACGTGTTTTGCTTCTATTTATCCCTCATCAATACAGTGAGGACATTTTCCATTTGGCCCATGTTGACAAAGGATTTTGTTGACTGTTTTTGTATTCTGCTTTTCTTGTTCATAAGGAGCACAATTTAAACAACGGCCACCTTCTCCATGTTTACATTTGTTAACTTCTGTTTTCTCCTTTTATTCTACTTTGGTTGATGTTGAAGATAAACAATTAATGCATTTTGCTTAAGGGCCATGCTGGCAAAATTAACTTAATGCACTATAATTATGACATCAATTCAATACTGGTCTTTATTTTCATGGATCTTATGATTAACTTATTATATCTATTAATCATTGGCTAATTATCCATTTGCCATATACACTTTTGGTTGTTCTGGAGTTTAAATCTATTATGGTTTTTTGTAACCTTTTTTTTAGTCTACATTGACTTGAATGAAAATCCCATTCCTTATAATATCTCATTATTAATTACTGAAAATTGGGGATCATTTTAATTTACTAATTTGGAGATATTTTTGAAGAAATATTGACTCCCTCTAAACTTAATATCAATGCTTCAGGAGGTTTATTGATAATTTAACCAACCTTGTTTACAAATTCTTAAAATGATTAATTAGAGAGAATAGAAACTCTGCTCATTCCTATTTCTGATCTTATCATTACTATGATTTCTGACATTTTGCACCTAATAATTATTATTGAAATTTCATCTCACATCAGGATAATATTAATGAAAAATACATGGATTCTGATAAAGAATAACAAGAATAAGAAAAAGAAAACCTTATAGAAATAAAAGAGAACAACTCAAAAGTTCAATTTTTAAGTAAATTCAATAAAGAAGAAATAGATTTGCTTGAAACAAAGATCACTTTCAAAATTAATAAATTCTATTAATTGTTGTTCTAAATACTTTAGTAAGCTGTCTAAGGTATATGATAATCTATTTCATATTCACATTATTTTTTTATAATATAATTCATAGAAATGACTTGATATACATTCCCTTGTTTTCTAATGAAATTCTAATCTACTCTTTCTGATAATTCAAGGTAATCCCCTATCTTTTACATTAGGTCTATAATAAACTTTAAGAATAAACAATAACTCAACATAATAGTATAAAATTCTCAAACTAAGTTCACTAATTTTACAGATACTATAGATAGATTGCTATCCAACTCAAATTTTATCTTTCAACATCATTTATCCTACATATGACATCTTTCTTATTACTAAATTATTTGTTTTCAATGTAAACATAATGGGCTATTTTTTTACATAATTGAACTAATGAGAAAATAGTCTCATAGAAAAGTAAAGAAACATGTTTAAATCTGCAATTTCTAGGAATAAAATGTACACCCCTTTAATCTCATAAGTAACAATGATTCTCCTAATAGAGTCATAGTGAATACTTACTTTATTTATTTGTATTTTAATTGATTTAATTCAAATAATATATATATATAATCAAATAATAGAAAAATATATATCATTTATTGCTTCCTTGGCAGTAATTCGCCTGGTACTATCAATTTAAAGCATTTTTAATAATAAATCTTTAGCCTCCCTTCTGATATTGTAACTGGATAAGTGTTATTCTGCCTATGCATGAAATTATGGAAATCGAGCTGAATAATATGGCATAGATTTAAAGCCTTCCCATTCCAGAGGAGTACCCATAAATTAAAAGATTCTGAAGAGTTAATCAATTTCACTATTCCCTTTAAACAATGCATCTCCAACTAACATTTCATAGAAGATGCATCCTAATGAAAATATATCCAATGCTGGAGAATACTTAAAGTGGCCCAAAAGCAGTTCAGGAGCTCTATACCATAGTGTCTGTACTTCCTTGGTATGAGTTCTATTTATTGGATAACCTATAGGCTTCGCTAACCCGAAATCTCCCAATTTGGCCACTCCATTTTGGACTAAAATATTAGCAGGTTTTAGATCTCTATGAAATATAAGTTAACTATGTAAAGCATAAAGACCTCTTAAAATATGAAGGAGTAGCCTTTTTACGAGGTGCTCGTCCATTAAACCTTTTTCCGTCATTTTATGTTTATCAATCATTTTCCTAAGATCTGTATCAATAAACTCCATTATCAGATACTGCTTATAATCAGTCTCATCTAAAATCACTTCTTTCAATCTTATTTATTAAATAAGTCTTACTCAACAATATGGGGATGGTTCCTGAACTATAGCAAAACCGACATTTCTCGTAATGTAGTTGATTGTATTCCCTCCTTTTTTTCTTCTTCCGAATGAATTATCTCTTTGATTGCGACAACTTCTTAAGTTTTTTTATTTATTCCCTTGTAAACCTTTCCATATGTTCCTTATCCAAGGTTTTCACACTTTGAGTATTACTAAATTGAGTTCATTAATTTAATTTCTTAAAATTTTTAGACTTCAATTTATAATATGTATTTAAATTTCTTAAATTTCTTAAAGTTTTTACTAACAAAATGAAATATTTAAACGATGATTATAATAAATCAATTTATTACGATGACATTTATATAATTTTTAATTATATTCTCCTATTTTATTCGCGGATATTTAAAGTTTGACATGAATAGGCAAATTTATAGATTAACTTTACAAATTTGGTATTATTGAATATAACTATAGTGATTAAAAATATTCTAAAAGGTCCTATGAATGCTTATCATCTATTCAATTTCTAGAAGAAAAGTAAATAAGTTGAAGAGAAAATAAGTGATAAAAAATAATAATAATAGACTTTTAGTGAATTAAAAATTGATTTATAATGTTGACTACGTTTAGGATTTTTTTTCTTGGAAATTGAAGAGATTTACTTAAGTTGAGATCTTTTATTTCATTTAAAGTGGATGACAATTAATTAAAAATTATTGGAGCCTAAAGAGAAGCAATTACAGATAGGGTTCAGTCTAAATTTAAATAATATTATTTTTTCAATACTCTTCATTTATTCAGACCAACTATTTCTTCTTTGTATTCTGATATACAGTTCTATAATTAGACTTTAATATTAGTAATTTTATCATAATTTCATATTTAGCGATTCTTTAGAGAATATTATATTAATTGACAAAAATGATTATAATGATGCAATTGATCATTTAAATCAAATTGGTGCTTCAAAAAGTTACAAAAATGTAAAAATGAATAAACTATTATTAATATTATTGTCATATCACTACTAATTAAAATTTCTTCTTTTGTTAAATTATTATATTGGATTCTCTTATAATAAATCTAACTCTTTCTTGCTTGTAAATCCATTGTGTTAAGGTTATCTTAAATAACCTAAATTTAAAAAAGGTGTAGTAGATATCTACTAGGAAAACGTCTAAGATGGTTGAGGAGGAGGCATTTATTCATCATTCTACTAAATAAACTGTTCGTTATTCCAAAATGGAGATTGTAACATTGAAGGTAATAAAAAAGGCGATGTAGAACTCATTTTATACATATTATTTAATTTTGGTAATTGCAAGGAAGAGTTTTGATGACATTCTCCTTCCTCAACTATACCTGGGGATAATTGTTTTAAGAATTGATTCTCAAGAAATTGATATCCAGGAGAAGTTAAACATTATAGCATCATCAAAGGTGTTGTATTTTTTATATCTTCTTAAAGAAAATTTGATTGTAAATTTAAGGCTATCTTCATCTCTTCATTGTTAAAATTCATTTATTGTTGTAATTATTGCAATTGCATTTATTGATGAAATTATAATTATTATAATTATTATTATTAAGTCTGCTGTTATTATTGTTAAAATTATTATTACTAGGCTTATTGTTATTATTATTATTATTATTGTGTTTATTATTATTATTATTATTGTGTTTATTAAATAATTGGTTAAACTTGTTATACAAATGATTAGTGTGATATTTATTCTTCCTGTTTAATTATCTTTGGAAAATTTCTTTACTTTCTTTATTCCACACTTTACTCTTTATTTCTTAATCCTTTTTTATGCCTGCCTCTTTTTCCTATAATTCCTTATTTATTGGAATCGACATGAGCTTAACTAAATTTACTCATTTAAAAAATACTTTTTCCTTATATATTGCTTAACCATATCAATTTCATCGCATTCATCATCTTTGCAGATTTTATGAATTAAAGATTTGTAACTTGATATAAGTATATGAAATACCGGTTTTTTACTTAGTTTTCTGTTCTTCCATTTAACTATTGTGAAATTTAGGACCATTTCTTTCCATTTTTGACAACGTTATTGAGGATAATCAAATCCTCTTTAAGCATCCATTGATCTCTAAGAGTATACAATGAGAACTATACTTATTCAATTCTGGATTAAGATAGTTCATCCATCTCTCTCTAATTTATTTAGGAGTACGAATGTTTCCTTGAAGATTTCTTTCATACAATGAAACTGCTATCTAAGTCCATATATGTTTATGCTTTTAACTAAGTTTAGATGGATTAGAGTACTTCATTTGGGCTGTAATGAATTCGTCCTCCTCTTAAAGCCAATTAATTGATTTCATTTATGGATTTATGAGGGTGATCCATCGTTGCTTCAATGAATGCTTGTCAATTTTAAGGATGTTTTCAAAATTTACCCAGTCATTCTCATCCTATGATGTATTTTCTCAAGATACCGGATGAATAATAAGTAGGTTTTTTTTCTCAAAGTATTTAACCAGAAACCAAACCATAAACAATTTAAATGAGTTGTCCCACTTTCTTTTGCATCTTAATTTTTCATCTTCTAAAAAACTACAGATAAGCTATATTCTAAACCTCTTACAGATTTGATCAAACTTTTTATTAGATGGATAAGTGAACTCCCCTCTTAGCTTAAATTATTTTCGATACTCATCTGGTATGGGAGTATTTAACCTCTCTCCCAAACTAATTATAAAAGCCTAAAATTCGTTCATACAATTATATTTATATATTTTATTATTGTTTGATATAATAATTATTTTTGTACTAATTCTCTACAGACCTAATAATACAATTACAATAGTAAATAGATGTAAATGTCAATTAGAATATGATAATTAAATATTCTAAAATAGTAATGACTTGTATTTTTACAATTACAGATAGCTGATTTAATTAACATATGAAAATAATGACAATTTTAAATACAAATGAATTGTTCACTTTTTTGGAAAAGATAGACAACAAATCAATTCATTTTAAACAAATCAAATTTTGATTACCAAAAAAATGAAGAAATACTTAACTACCACTTGCTACTTCTTAGAAGCAGGAATCATCAATATATAATGAGATATGTAAGTATAGAAATGTCTAACATTGATTGTAAGTCTAAATTGGAGGACTTGAGAATTTGAAAGACAGTATTTATAAAAATACTGAAGCAAGTTCTTGTTGTCAATAAATATCATTTAGAGAAATTTTATAATTTCTCATTATTGTTCATAATCATCAGTAAAAATGAGTAACTGCAGTTAAATAAATGTAAATGTCATAATAAAAAAAGAAGAAGTATTAACATATTATAATACTATAATATATATTAATATAATATAAATAGACAGAATGATCTAGGAGTTACTCTCTAAAAGAAGAATTAAATTCGCTACTTATAATATAGAGAGAGAATCATATTGAGATTCTTAATTCTAATATTGAAATACAATAACTAATCGTTCATTCATGGTATTAAGTTATTCAGATTAAATCAATAAGACATTTGAATTGGATTTCACAAATTTTGTTATTATTTCTACTTATATCTATGGATATCATTTAAATTTTTAGCACTTAGAGTCAATGAAATTAAAATTTCAATGTCAGGAAGGTTGGAATCAATTTCATAATTTTGCAAACACAAGAAGTCATGTTTACTTATGGGAAGCAGTAATTCTTAATGATTAGAATAAGGGAATGTGGTTTGGTTTATATTCTATAAAATTTTTTAACATTATATAAAATAACTTAGTGAGTTTTTTCATGTACTCATTCATATTAAACTGATTAGTGAGAAGTTGATTTATTTCAATAAATTAAATAATAATATGATCAATAGACCTCCAGTACCAAAATTTAGTGATGGATGCTCTACTCCAAAGAGATCTTCTGACTTATTAGAGGAAGTTTCACACTTGGTGTTCAAGATGAATCTTGATGATGCAATTGAAAAAAAAGCAATTGCAATTCTAAGTGACTTAACTCTACCAAACACTTCTTTTCATGCTTAGGCAATAGTTCATTGTGCCATGAGGGAGCTCAATTATCCTTTGCCTAAAGCTGATGCTAAAGTAGAATACCTTTCAAAATGTATTTAAAACCAATATTCCTCTTTGATATCTACCTTATGCTAAAAACTCAAATTAAACTCTAAATCAACTAAAGTTTGCCACGTTCTCCATTAGTAGATATCACCCCTCATTAATAAGTTACCTCAACCACTTCAAAATGCAATTTCAGTAAAAATTGCCACTGATATTATTTATTTGAAATAAGGTGGTGTAAATGCTAAGATAATTGCTCAAATAGCAAATATCAAGGCAGATTAGTTGTAACTAAGCTTAAACAGAATCAAACCATTTGCTTGCAAAATTATATAAGACCTATTCAGCTACTTCAATAATAATTTTAAATGACTTTTATTTTATGTGTATTACTTTATTAGTTTAATAAAATGTTAAATTTCATTTAATTATACATTTATAGATTCATAATATTATTCAATAATTTGCTTAAAATTAGGTGCTTCATGAATATCGTTTTAATATCAATCGTTTATAATTTAATTAAATTAAAATTTTTAATAATTTATAATTTTCACTAATTAATAATATAATATAATATTTTAATAGAAATTCTTTTCCAATTATTATAGTTTGAAATTTTTAATAATTGAAAAATTAGATTATTCCAACTCTCAAAGAATGCTTACATTTTCTCTTGTGATTCTAAACAAATCCAATCTGGTGGCTTATAGTAATTTAAAGTTTAATGTTATCTAACTTTATAAGGGATTAGTCGTCTCAGAAATTTTCAATTTACAAAAAGATCATTTTATGAATTGAATCCTTTTTGGTGAAAAATTAATAAACTATCTTAAACTTACGATAAATTTTTAAATAAATACAATTACTGATCGCAAGTTGCAAGTTGCAAGCAAATTATTTACAAATATAATAATAATAAGATATAAATGGATATTTATCAATATTATCTTCGACTTTTGTGTCATCAATAATACCCATAGTGATATTAGTGATATGGCATTTACTATTATACTTAATTATAATTGGGGTAGGACAGGTATTGTTGATTTTATTGTTGATAATTGGGATAATAATTTGGATAAATATTATTATAAAAATACTAGTTAGATGACATTGGCACTTATGAATACTACTGTTGTTAAGGAGAGGAGAAAAATATGTTTTATTACATAGACGTCTACTTCATTTACTATTGCATTTCTTTACATTATATCAATTTCTCTTGTAATAAGATATCTTATATAAACATCAATAGTACTTGTAGCAGTAATGCCAGATTCTTGAGCGACAGGGTCGGCACAGATTTTCTTTTACATAAATGACTCTGTAAGCTATTGGAGTTGTGGGGATTCTACATTTTTCGACGCTTCTTTTTTAGCCAAGAAATCTGACATAAACTAAGTTACAGTCAAGCTTAACTTTTGATCTGGATTTTCAATTATTGCTTTGATCAACAATCTTTCTTCACTTTCTTAAACCTACTGATTTGATATAATTTTTTACATTAAATCTTTTTAAATTTCTTATTATTCCATTATACTAGTTTTTAATCTAATTTTCACTCCTTCCATTTAATTCATCTTAGATTTTGGACCATTTTTTGCCATATTTCAAAATCAATTATAGTAAGTTGATTTTTTCCTCTTTGCTCCAAGTTGACCTAGAGATGCTGGGATTCAACACATTGTTCCATCTTTCCCGTATTTACTTAGGATATCTCTAAGTTGAAGATATTGAATTGAATTTGATTGTTAATTCGGTCCAATTATTTTTATAATAATGGTCACTTGATTATAAATTAAAAGGATACTTGGCTATGTTAATCAGTATTTGATCTTCTTCCTTTGTCCAAGGGGAGATTTTTAAGTTAGAATGGAGAAGCGAAATCCACTTCAATTCCACTAGATTTTTATCAACACGGAGAACTTTAGACACAAACTCCCAATCATCGTCATTCTTATATAATATACATATGAATTACAGGGATGAGTTCCTAGCGATTCTATGACATCATGTGCTTAGCCATGCACCAAATGAGTAGATTTTTATCTTATTGATGCCACTTTTTCCTGTTTACATCACTTGTAGATCTAAATATAGTATTGATAACATGTTACTTTGAAAAGACTTCTTCGTAATACTCTATCATTTGTTAATCCGTTGGAAAGTGGTTGACACGTACTTTTACATATTAAGTTACTGTTTCTACATCAATTGGGTCGATGGTTTGAATCTGTTGTAAGAATTCGATCCACTCTTTTGGGAGATGAGCTTGTGTTTATTAAATCATAAATTAAATATAATCAAGATCTGTTTAGATTAATCGGTTTATAAATTATTGGTCAAAGTTCAATAAGATAATATAAATCATATTAATTGATTTTATGTATGTATTAACAATGTTCTATTTTTATCTTCATATGTTAAGATTTTTTCTATTTTGTCGAATGTCCTAATAATATTGATTATATATACAAAAAAGAGAACTCTGTAAATTAAAACATAGTATAAAATATTCTTTAGTAGAGATTACAATTTTAAAAGTTGATGTTTTTTACAGATAAGATTCTTGAAAGTGAATTTGAACAACATCCTACTTAGATGCCATTGAAATATCTTTTAAGAAAAAGGAATCTCTAACTCTATAACATCAAATATAAACATACTATTCTTCACCAGCTTACTTTATATTCGTTTATGATTTGAATACTCTTGTATCATATTGATTGTCACCTCTGTCTCCCGAAACTATATGTGAGTCTAGTCTGATGGCTTGCAATTAAACTTTTGAATTGTCGAAAATTTATTAATTTTAAGACTTTTTTCTCTATTAGTTGACGACAATGTACTAGAGAAAAAGAATTTGATTATAGTTTGCGAATGAATACTCCCCTTCTAATATGTCTAGGTGTTACTAAGACCTATTTTAGGAAATCTATTTATAGTACAGGTGATTCTTGAATTATTGTATTGTTTCAATTAAGTCTTGACTAGTTTTATTAGATGAAACTAGAACTTTGTTCATGCGGATAGATATTAAATACAAATAAGTAGTTTGAGAAAGGTTATAAATTATCATTTTAAAATCAAAATAAAGAAAAAGTTTATATAATCAGATTAAAATAGGATTTAAATTAATATTACTTTAAAGATGTTATTTAGTGCGAATTTAAAATATATTAGAAAAAATTAAATTGGGTATTCATATTACAAAATACATTTATTAATTCGATTAATTAAAATAATTATGATAAATATTAAAACATTAAAAATTCATAGTTGGTATTTTTATCTTGAATTTCTTTTTTGATTATTGCCTGAAGATTGTTATTTAGAGAAAAATAGTTATTTTTCTGCTTTCTATTATTATTAATTTTACACCTAATTTGAAGGCTGTGGTTAACTTGATTTACTCTTTTTTGGGACTGTAGTAATGTTTTTTTCAAGACTTTAAGCAATTTATTCTAAGGATTACTCATTAAAACATATTTCAATTTCACTGTTTTTCAAAGTTTATTATTGTGGTTGATTACTTAAGTCTTGTGAGAATAGTTTGTTTTTAATTTCATCATTATAGGCTTATAAGTCTTCACCTAAGGCTTCTTAGATATTAACTTTGATTTTATGTAAATCTTGTTATTATTAAGTTTTTGATTATTCATCACAATTATTTTAGTCATTTTATATTATGATTTTTTTGCTGTCAAACTACAATTATTATTCTAAATTATTGATTTCCTCGATTTTATCAGCATTTGCTATTTACTTTTTGATGTTTTATTAGGAATCCATCATCAAAATATCGCCTACTTACATTTGTAAATTTACTTTAAGAGCTTTTATTGACATCCTTCTTGCCAATATTATCTGACTCTATTTCAAGTTGAGCATCATCAAAAGGTTTGATAGTGATCTCATCATCATTCATCAAATTCTATTTTAGATATAAATTAACAAACTTTTTTCCACTCCTCTTCGTCTGCTATGTCATCAATATCGATAGGTTTAGTAGTTCTCCTTTTCTTCTTTGGTTCTGCCTTTGCTTATATTTACAGTTGCTTATTGACCTTTAAAATTTCTTTTTCAATAAACTAAAACTTCTTTTCAAGTTCTTCTTTATAATTTGTTAATTCTTCCACCTCTCGAAATCATTAATAATTCCTTATACCTCCTAATCTTTGATGATGTATATAGGTTTCCTCTTGTTTTTGACATCCCTCAACTCTGCTATCTATTTGGCTAACTAATCATTTATTTATCCCAGCTCCTCTAATTTTTATTTCTAAACTCACTAATACGATTTACATAACTCTTCAATCTTTCCTACTGTTATTTCGAAGCACCGCATCCCATTTCTTAAATTAAATTAATATCATATTAAATGAGAAATTATAAATATAATTATTCATCAAACTTAAACAACTTCCTTGCTATACTTTTTATGAATACTACTAACAGCAGTCGACATCCTCCTAATAATCTTCTCGTTCCCCTTATTTATCCTATTGAATGCCTTCTAAGTTTTATTGACAGCCTAAGTGAATGATTCAAATTGAGTTTGCAATCTTGATTTTATAGGACTGTTCTATTCCGAATCAAATATACTTCTAGTCTTTCTTAGAACTCTCTAAGTTTGAGACCCTTATTTATCCTTTTGATTGAAGATCTTCGCCTTCTACCTCGGAGATGATAAGGAATTGGTCTATGACTTATTCAACTTCATTGACGATCTGCACATAATTGTATTCTGATTTTTGTGAATGATTGCATCTCTTACGAAGTCCTTCTTTGAAGAGCATCCTTCACTCTCATTCATCTGACTCATTACACTTCTTCTCCTTGATTCCAGAGCCACATCCTTTACTAATGATTGGCATTACTTTTGAAAGTTTTAATAGTATTGCTAAATCGGTACTTTTCTCAATGGAGATCGCTTGTGATTCTTTGAGCCTTACTTCTCAATTAATCCATGCTATTGAAGAAATTATCGAGCCTTCTTTGTCTCCTCTTCATACTGTTGTATTAGTTATTTTCTTTCTGGAGAAGGACTTGTTTTGAATACTGATCGATAGAATAGATTTGTATCATTTTTAGGAGAGACCTCAAAGTTTAAGAATTCTTCTCCTCTTATCATAGGTTCAGTGTCTTTTGGAGATTCTGGCTAGGATCTTCTTGGCATTTATAGTTACTTCCTTTTGATAGGATCATAATTCTAAGTAGCCAAAAATTATAATTTGAATTCATCATCCAAAATTAGTGGTTGAGAATTTAGTGACGGCATTTCTTGTTTTGGGATATCAGTTTTAGTTGCAGTATTTTTATTACTCTCTTGGTATTTTTGAGTCTTCTTTATCACTTAGAGTTTCAATAAGAGACTTCTATCGTTTAGTAAATTTAAGCGATTAATGGAAGATCTTGCATCCACAAAAGTACTGAGTTGTTTCATATCCTCTAATTTCTTATTAAATTGTTCTTCTCTCTTTGATTCCTTAGTGGTCAACCTAATGTTGTTAGGATTGAATACTTCAATTTCAATTTAGTTTTGTTCATTAGAGATTCAGCTAGGTTTTTAATTCTATCTTTCCTCTCTTGTTCTTTCTCAATTTGACGAAGGTAGGGTTTAATTTTATCTTCCTAGATTGAATCTGCGTAAAACATTTATTTTTTAATAATTCATTTATTTTATCAATTATATTCAGCGAATATTATATATCATTCATAAAATATTTTAATATATTTATTGAATAATTTAATTTAAAAAGAATGTTGCTATCAATTTATAGAAATCACCCCAAAAAGACTTTGTTGTTCTTGATTTTTCTTTTGGGTGGAGTTACGTACAAATTTAGAGCACATTTGTTTAATGCTTTCTTATAAAAAATGTAAAGCAAACTCACAAAGGAGATGGAATTATAAATGGAAAAAGGGCAGCGAATTAATTCAAAATTGGATAAAATCCAATAGATTGCTGAGGAATACTATGAGAATAAGGGATTCTTGAATACCATCTCTGAAATCTTAAAATTAGAAGAAATCACTTTGATTGCTAATCAATTACAATCGAATAAAGCGCTGACTCAATAATAGAAGGTTGAAATGTATTAAGTCATGGCAGAGTAATTCTTAGCTTTCGAAGTGTAAACTGTTCTCTTCTTAAGAAAATTCGAATGCCTCCTTCTATTATCTAAAATTCTGATGTTGACAATCAAAATTGAGGACGAGGAAATGTTTATTCACAATCTACTTGAGCAAATTTAATTACTCATTTTCAAAGAATAATAACTTCACGTATCTGCCATCATCATAGAATAATACAAGATAAAACCTCAAACATACAAATATAATGAACAAAACAATGCATAAGAATTAGTCAAATCCTTGGTGTAAACATGTTAAAGAGAATTTATGGATGATAAATTTCAAAAGAGATTAGAAAATTAATGCAGGGAAGAGTATAAGAATAAAATGAACTAATTTCAATCTTATTATTAGGGTCAAAATCTGAAGAAATTACAGGAGTAATCAAAATACTTGGTAGAACACCTTTTAAAAATTAACAAGTCCTTGGGATTGATGGCATTTTCTGATTATGCCACATCTTACACCTTCTAGAAGTTGAACAATAGACTGTTGTTAATTCCTGAAATCAATGACATTAATAACTAAATTCTTATGAAGTAATTGGCAAAACATCATAAAGTGATCAAAGAAGAATTCTATGGCAAGGAGAGTATTCAAAGCAATAATAATTATTATTAGAAAATATTAAAGTAAGGTTTAAAGATTAAGGAAGAGCAATCATCTAGCAACTAAGTAGATAACAATATGGTATTAATACAGAAAGTGTTACATGAGTTTAAGATTTTTGAAATTCTTAAATAGTCTTAAAATTAAATGATCAAGAAACTAGTATTTGGAAATGAGTTAGATGAATAAGCAAGTTCATAAAAATAATCTTTGGGTCAATTGATGTAAGGACTTTGATTATTCATATATTATTAATAGTGTATTTATTAGTTTATTAATACATTCAATTAATATAAATAGGGCTTATAGAGAATGAAATAATATTATTCCCCAAAAATTTATAAACATTCAACTTCTCAATAATAATAAACATGTTAGGTAAATAACTGAGTATGAAAGTGAATTAGAATTTAATTGATTATTAAGTTATCCATACCATTCTGATCATTATATTCTTTAATATTTTAAATAACTCAGAGATGTAGAATCTGTAATAGTTTCAATTATAGACAGCATCTAAATTAATTCAATCATTTAGAAATATCCAAAATTAATTAGATCAGACAGCAAGTAATTTGCCTAAATTTTAAAGAAATCTATAATATCTAATTCATCGACTATGAATGTGATATCATTATTCTTAATTAAATATATTTGTTTATTTTTATAATTTTAAATTCAAAAAAGAGAAGGTATGAGTTTCCATTAGATCAATAAAATTATAGAGAAATTACAAAGTTGCAGTTTGGATGTTCAATAGAGTGCAATTCGAAATTTGATATCGAAAATCTAATGTGGGTTGGTTGGGTTGAATGAACTATGTGACAAGAATCCAACAATCGGTTGTATACTCTTTAAATGGATCGTTAATCAGTGTATTAACACCTAATTATAGTTGATTAATCAAGTGATTGATTTGATCAAGGATCTTTCTAAGGTATGGTTATGTTTAGATAACAATAGCATCATTTAGTTAAACAAAATTTGAAATCAGACATACAAATAATTTGTGAGTTTAGGAATAAATTGTTACAATACAATTTGCATAACAATAGTTTGGATCTATTGATTCAAAATGTAATGGAAGGAGAATCAATTCAACCAATTCAAAATCCTGATAAAATGAACCAGGTAGTGAAGAATTAATTTGACGATTAAATTAAAATTCTTGTTAAACCAGATCATAAGACAATAGAATATGAATACTTCCCATTTGTCAAATTAACTGAACAAGATGAGAAGTTCCTTTTTGATATCAGTGTCTAGTTGAAATTTGGGAATAATTAAACCATTTTATTTACAATCAAGGAATAACTATGGAGAGCATTAAAAGACTTCCCGATTGAAGTCTTTCGTTCAAGATAGGAAATCATCGAAGAAGTCCTGATTCTATGCAATTCATAAAAAGATGAGAATATTATATATTACTCGTTGATTGCCCTTCAAAAATTCATAACTAATCTAACCACTAGATTTAGTAAGAATTAATCAGAATAGAATTATAACAAGAATCAAGAGGCTTACGTTAAGGATAATAGAGATCACATAGTATATTCATATCCAACTTTGGACCCCTCAGCAGGGTAGCAGAAAATGGAGATCAATCAAAAAACCTTGAAGGGTTAAATTGATTTGATAAGCAAATAGATATTGCGTAATTTAACGAAGTTCATGGGGAGAAGAATCAACATCCTTTTCTTGATTGTGAAGTTATTAAAGAAAGTCAGTTAGATAAATTAGGATGCAGCATAAGATTCAGTCTTAACCTTAATAAATGAATTAACACAGATATTTGATACAAATGATGAATCCCTGCATTAATAATAATTAATCCCTTTATATTACATTTCATTTGAACTATTGACCTTATTGCCTGAAGATTTCAAGATGCAGAGCATACCAAGATTTTGCTCATACTTATTAGAGGCTCAATATGCTAATCTATTTAGCAGTCAATAGATGGAATACCTATTTACTAAAACAAATGCGCTCTGTCCAAATTTAGTTTAAGGGAAATAGCATCAATAAATAGCTTTGTAAACTTTGGAGTTACTCTTTTCTAATCATTATACTACCCAACATATGAATAAGACTGCATGCGAAGGATATGTGAAGTAATTAGAAGATTCCCATTACATTCTCAGTCTCTAATTCACAACTAATTAAAGTATACTAAAATATATTAAAATTAGAATCATTTAGAGTACCAAAATAGTCAGTATCAATTGAGGAGTTGTCGGTTTTGGAGACAAATATCATTTCACAAAAATAGAGTATCCCTTAGAAATTGGTTTACTTAGATTAGTTAATTGCAATTCTGATTTATTACTCTAAACAATAGAAGGAATTCTTAAGTTAGGTGTAAGTTAAGGAAAGTCTATTTAAGTCATACATGACAGATTTGTTGACAAATGTATAGAAATATTCAAAGGAAAAGTTTGAAAGCTTTAAGAATGAACACAATTATAAGATAAAAGGGGAATTATAGTAATTGTTGTGCAAGGTAAAATCTAATATTATCTAATAGTTTCTTGATCTCTCTGCAGTCAGTTTATAGATCTTAATGCAAAACTAATTTGATATGGCAATCTACTTATTACAACAAACAAAGGAGAAACAATCCTAATTGTCTGCATTTAGATACCTTATTGTTGCTGTTCTACAAGAGGAATTGTCTAGCAAGGATCACTTTTACTCATTGTCAAAATTAATATTCGATTATAAAGGTAAATCAGATTAATTCTGGGACAATAATATACCTTTGTAGAACAGAGTTACTCATTTTTTACAATGTTTCTTGTAATTAGTTTTGGAAGGTTTGAATTATCAGAATTACAAATAGCAATAAATCTACATCAAAAATTCAGGAGACTTCATCTAAAGTTTAGATCTGTTGTTGGCATTGAAAGCAAATGAAGTTGATATATCTTATGACAATTGTATTTTGGATGAGTTGAAGTAATTAATGTCAAGCACTCTGTTTCTCTCTTCAGGAAAGACATATGTGTTGAATTTGATATCCACATTCAATGAAACCAAATCATTTTGGCTACCTCTCCTGAGTTATGTTCATCAGTGTTTCTTAGAAAATGTTGGAGAAGAGTAGGTGGAGTATTTAAACCTTTACATCCAATTGTTGAGTGTTGTGAAATAGCATTCTGAAGTGGGCAAATATATTGTGAAATATCAAAGCAAGTACCCATTCAATATCAAAGTATCTTACTATGTATTGAAATTGTTGAAGAACAACTTGTTAGATCTTCAACCAGATCTACTAAAATACTTACAGTCAAACATCTTTCAGTATTACAATCATCTAAATTTTGAGAATTCAAACTGTTTGATCAAATTACTCAAGTTATCAAGATAATTCAATTTATTCTAATCATTAGAACCACTTGACTAGTAAATTCTATTTTCAAGATTAATTCAATTGACTAAGTCTCACTTGTAAATTATTCGTTTCTTATCACTCAACATTTTGTCATTAAATTTAAAATAACTGAATGCAGATCAAATCAATAGAATAGAAGACTAAATGGTCGATGACTTGTACCAAAGTAATGAATCCCAATATATCTACTCTTAATCGATAACTATCATTCTCAAACTCAAACCCTTGAAGAAACTCACAAGAGTGATTTCATACACTGAAAATAGATTAAAATCGGATATCGCATCCATTTGTAAAGCTGGACTATTAAGACTTGTTTATCTGTGTTTGTAATATCATAAGGATGAGGCTATCTAATAAATGTACAACCTATAAATAGATCATCAATGTGCTTAATTCTTAGTCAAATTCAAAAATGTCGATCAATTATTTTTAACTCTTCATGCTGCTGAAATCCTTAATGTCCTAATGAGACAATCTGTATCTAAGGCACTCTCCATTTTGTAATCTTATAACTTAGTTGAGACTGCTATTCACTCGATTCATAAATTAAGAAAGTACTTGAATTGCAATCAACCCAATCTAATTGCTGGTATTTTACTATAACTCAGTTTGTTATTGTAATTTGCCACTCACTACCATAAAGATTATGTGGAATTCGAGTATAACAAAGCTAAACAAACCAAGCCAAAATGGAACATTGTGTCGGTTATCAGTTTGGCCCTTCAAAATGATAATTTCAGCATTGATAATAAGATTGGAATAGCAAAAATACTTTAATGCATTTATTAGATTGAATTTACCAAAAGCATAAATGATGATCTCATCTATTCATTAACCTCCATTTTCAGACCACTCCAATTAAGTGATTCCCCCAATGAGGAAGACCAATCTGATCTGCAATATCAGTCTATCATCTAAATATTAAGTGCCATAGTTTCTGTGAGCAATAGTGCTAAACTCATTCTCTGTAAAACAGGAGTGGCCAAAACTATAGCACTCTACGTAGTCAAGGAATTGGAGAAGGTGATCAACAAAACCCAATAGAAACCTTAAAAAATGTAATCATCCTAAGTTAAGAATTTGAATACCTCTAATGTCTCATTTGCTCAATAGAATTAACTCCAACAATCCCCCATTTTTAAAGTGCATGTAGTGTTCTTGAAATTGCTGTTAAAGTTCTCAGAAGAACAAGAAGATTATTCTCTAAACTCAAACTCGTAATTAGTTGAAGTCATAGGATTATGCATCGATGCAATCTTGAAACTCCTCTTCCTAGGGTTTACCACTAATAGCTAGATCTACTTCGAATTGATGAATGATATCCTAATCAATTTGGGTAGCAATCAATTGTGGCAGTCACATCTGAGTTAGCAATTGAGTGAATAGAAGTGGCTGTTATTGGTGGAACTCAAAAAGCACATTTGCAAAGATCAATTGACCTTATTCCAGAATGAAGTGTTACTGAAAGCCTTAGGAATTTTGGGTTAAAATTCAGACGTTAGACAAGTGTACATCAGAATGAAGATCATTGAAGAAATCTAAGAGAAATTAAATAAAGGTATATATCATATCCTAATATCATTAGTTTGGAGCGATAAGAGGAAATGGCAAACCAATACATAATTCAACGCATTGATTGTGCAGTTTATGTTGAGTCTCTCATTCTACAAAGAAACACAATTGAGAATCCTAGCAAATAATTAGTTTGTCAATATATTGCAAGAGATCTTAGTTGATAATGACATCCAATAACCAATATGCCAAGACATTCTGCTTATTTATAGCAATTGTTCATTGAATGGGAAACTGAAAAAAATGATCATAAATAATCAACAGCTCTCCTGTTTGGTCATGAACACCATATCTGAGACCACCTTAGGAGCCGATCTCAGATACAGAGCTTCATAATTCTTACTGAATTTGATGTATAAGTGTACTCAAGCCGTTTGTGTATTCAACAAGTAAATTAATTGATGTATTGTTGTAGATCACAAGTGTTTGATTGCTTCGAGATGTCAATGAAGGATAGTTAGAGGTAAATTGATAAGATTCAGTTAACCCAAAATGACAATAATTAATTAATCAGCAAATAGGAAGACAACAACAATAAGATAAGACATCTACAGAAATTCTTGAATAATGTGAATTAATTACTTAAAATCCTGAAAATAGAATGGTGATTTCCTATAGTTATTTTACAATTTTAATATAAATATAACGTCAAATTAACTTGAACAGGTTGGCATGCCCTTGTTTGCGATGATGCAATTGAAATTCTCATGTATCGATAGTTAGTTGACTTGAGTTATAATATTTTTGGAATTGATAAAATATATCTTAATATATATTCCAATAAAATAAAATTAATTTAAATTTCCTTTTATGGATCAGTTTATAGCTTAGTTGAGTGATAAGTAAAAAGCATTAGACATAGTGAAGGCAGTGGAAAATAAGTAACTAAATGGTGTCTATTATAGCTAAGACGTGACTGATTTTTTTGAGGCAATGAAGAAAATCATGAAAGAGAAGCATCCTCCCAAAGAGTGCTTATATGGGTTGAAAATAGTAAAGGATTGCATTGAGAAATTCAATACTGATTTTAGGAATAAGGTCAAAAGTGAATTGTTGGAACTTATATACGAAGTGGCCACGTTCAGGATTAAGGACACAGATGATTCGAGAGGGACTACATATTTCAAAAACCCAGAGCACGAAAAACAGATCGAATAGTATGGAGCAAGTTATATACGATTGGCATTGGATTGCATTAGAGTGTGGGCCCTATGGTTCCCTGACTTCAAAGGGTATGGATAGAGATTGGAGAAAGAACAAGGATATCTACCAAAAATAAACTATTTCAAGTAGGAATTGATTAATGAACACATCAACAAGAACCAGGTCTCATCAACTCCACATGATGATACTGGTTCGATTCAAAATAAGATCAGACAATTGAATTAGTAATTGATTAATTACTTGCAATCTCACACTGAAGTAAATTCCTTCCTCAAGGATGAATTGGAGAAGATAAACGTTTAGATTGAAGACTTAGTGGTTTAGGAAGTCTAGGATTAATTTTTAGATGAATTTGTATTAACATATCCAGAATTTTAAAGCGGAAAAATTTCTTATTAAGAATTTAGAATGCAATTTTTATCAAGTTCTTAATTGAAGAAGGGATCATAAAATATATTAGATGAATCCAATATGTCTTAATCAATCAATTAAGCATCTAAAGTCTAGAAACCATTATAATAATAATAGCAATACTAAAGTTCCTATGACTAAAGTTATGTTTTGAAAAATGAACAATAAAATGAAATCGAATCTCTCAGGAATCAATTACAGGCAGCATAGCAAGAATGTCAAAGATATAGTCAAACTATTTAATAAAATGATAAAAGGACATAAGAATTACAACAAGAATTATAGAATTGTAGAGTATAAATTGAGAATCTCAAAAATTAAAGGAAAGAAGAATAATAAAGTCATGATAATACTATATTGAAGGAATATTAACAATAGATTGATCATTATAAGAATTTATATGAATTATAATTGAAATAATAAAATTACGAATAATAATAACCATAATACTAATAGTAAGCTCAGCAATAATCATAAATTATTTCGTAGTAATAATACGATTAATAAAATCAACAAATTCAAAATTATTAGGAAGAAATAGAAAACCTTAGAGTTTCTTACAATATTGTAAATGAAAAACTAAAGATTCATGAATAAAAAGGAAATGCTACTTTTAGTGAATATGATTTTATGAATTTGAAGAAGAAATATGATGAATTAGATAGCAAATACTTCATATTGAAACAAGAAAACCACAGATTGAAGTAGACAAATTAAGAGTATGGAAATTAATAAGCTAATTAAAGTAGAATTAGTGAAAGCTTTGCTAGAGAAATAGATTAGAAAGATGAGAATTCCAATGTTGTATTCTTTAATTTCAAAGAAAATGACTTATGGTAGGGAACATAGAATGCAAATTAAAGTCAATCTTTAGTGAATTCAAGGATGAGGGACGTTTCAGAATTAATCTACCCTCACAAGACTGCAGCTGAGTATTATAGGTAAAATGGAAAGAAGCAATTTAAAGGGACTCTGATTAATAGAAGTGCCTTACAATTATAATTGAATCCAGCCAATCTCCTTAATTATAAAAAGGCCAGTTTAAATCAATTAGCCACATTATTTTAATCTAATAAAATTGAAATTAAATCAAGATAGTAATTAACTTATGGGCTGAATAAACAAGAATTCATATCTACAACAATCAGCATAAAAAATAAGGAATTAAAGTCTATTCAACTTCAGATTTTTAACACCAATAAAAACATTTGGTGCAACAAAGAGACTAAAAGCACTCTGTTGTAATCACAGTAGACCATCCTATATGAGTTTATTCGAGAGGCAAACGTTAAGCTTCATGAATTGAGCTTAATTAAAGTATCTGTGAGGTAATATTAGTCTATTAAATTAGTTTTGAGAATTTCATCCTTTATCTTCCAAGTTTCTTAAGAAATTGCATACAATATTATCATATTGAAGCTAGTACTTACAAAACAATGAAGAAATAGTTTTAGGGTTCTATTTATGCAACTCCATTGCTACCCATATCTTGCAAGACAGAGTTAAAACAATTGAGTGAGTAAGGGCAACTGTTGAATTAATGGGAATAGGAGAATGAAGATTTAATAACTGAAAGTAAGTATGCCTTCAAAGCTGTGTTATCCAATCAATTAGAATTTTATTTAGAATTGATTATGACACCTTGTGATGAGTTTTTATTCAGGGGATTCACCAGTTTCGATGAAGAAACGTTGCAGTTCGTTTTAAATGGACTATCAAATTTATACAGTTGATTTTGAAGTATATATAATATGAAAAGAAATAGAATATTTATATCAATTAATCAACCTAATTATAATTTCAATATATGAAATAGATAATCATAATCCAAATCATAACTTAATATGAATAGCATGAAAATGGTAGGTAACTCATGACTTTTGGATTCTAACATGCCAAACATGAATTAGTATAAGTCTTTAAACAAGTTAATTTATCATCATCACAATTTTCAGTAGCACAGACTTCCTAAACAGTATCAGGACAAGTTTCAGGTTTAACGATACTACATTTTTAAGTCACTTCCTCCATGATATTGATAGTTTATATATAGCTAAGATTAATTAAAATTGTTTACTCCAAGTAGTCTTGACAACTGCCTTAATAATAGGTGACAACATCTGTATTGGAACATGCTGCACACCAGGATTTGCTCTCAGAGTAGCAATCCTAAGTTAAGCAAGGAGATGTAGTTTACGAACAAACAGTTAAACCGTTTTCATTACAGCTGGTTGGTCTATTAGGAGGACAATAGATGATTCTTGATTGGCTAGTGAATTAAAAGGATACATTACGTTTACTCATTTCTACAATAACCATCATAATAACTCGTCACTGCTGAATTTGCACAAGCTACACAAGAATTTGAGTATTCCTACTAACAAACTGAGCAATTGGTAGTAGATTCACCACATACCAAATTTTCCTGATTACTACAATCAGTCGAATATCTTGTTTTTTCATCGCAGTATTTTGTTACTTCTTTTTATACATCCTATTCAGAGGTAGAACGGTAGGTGAAGGTGTTATTGAAATTAATCAATTATTAGCATTCTCCCTCAAAATAGTATAGTGTAGTAGAAATTTTACAAGCCTCGCAAGAATTTTAAAATTATTTAGTTATCTATTTAATTAGACCAGATAATTACTTTCTCGTTTGAGCCATAAGCACAAACAGGATGATATAGATCATCGCAAATTTATAAGGTTTCTGCAGGACAATTCATGAAAGAACTATAAGTTGAAGCTATGCAAAGTATCAAAATAATAAACATTAATTTTATTATTATTACTAAATTTAGTAATTCATTTAAATTAAATTTAGGCATAATAAAGTATCATTGAATTAACAATTGAGATTTATTATTTTTAAATCTGCTATTTAAAATGTTCTCATTAAAATAATTTTGGTTTTTACTAACTTTAATTAATTTATTTTAGAGTATGAATTGAATATAATGTAGTAGGAAGCAGAGTTCATCAAGTAGAAATATTCAATTATCCTATTTATTTTACTCTACTCTAGAGATTAATGGTCAGATCTATATGGAGCAATTTTCAATGCAAATGAAATACACTGGCGGATAAACTTAGGATTATCAAAATTCAACCAAAGGTATTATTTTTATAATTTAGTTAGATATATCCCAGGTTTTCTAAGAGAAATTAAACAAATGTTAAGGTGTTAAAATATACTCATAGATATTTAAAACATATTTATGAGAAATTCTAAGATTATATTCACACATGATAATGTAGAAAAAATAAAGTTAGAGAAATCATATGGACTAAAGTTATTCAAAATGGATAATTTGATATAAACCATTTTTTGAAATGATCTCTTTATTTGATCTAGTAATATAATTTTGAATCATAATTATTAGGATAGTTCATATAAGTTAACTTATACAATCCAATTGATTTGTGTTAATTTGAAGTGTTTGAGTATTTTAGTTGAATGAATTGCAGGTAACACTACCTGTATTCAATTGATCAATAGAATGGATGATAATTATATTTATATATCATTGAACTGAAATGATAATAGTTAAAAATTGATAAAATGTTATCATAATACTATATTCTATAAATAAATAAGTTTAATTTTCTCTCAAACCGAAAGACTTCTTTTGTGTTTAATTTCCAAACAACTTGGAACATTCGATTTGTATTTACACTATAATTAATTGATACCTCCTGCGAGATCGTTGTGATCTTGCAATTGAGCCTTTCTTATGAAACTTGGGGCAAAGTCTCTTGTCTAATTTGGATTTTCATATCTTCTTTTTAAACTAATACAACCCATTATCACTTTTAATTTATTATAATATTGTTTTTCACATTGATTATATCAGTCCAATTATTTACTGGAATGATTTAATTTGGCTTCTAAGTTGTCAAGAATAGGTTTATTTGCAGACATAAATAAAAAATCAATCCTTTCACTGTGGTTATTGCTGATGTAGTAGAATACTTAGGAATATTGTCTTAGATGTTTAAAGATAGTGATAAAGTGTGATATTTAATTAAAAATGTTTAGTACAAAACTTAAAAATATAAAATATTAAGTTTTCAAAAATAAGAATAGATGGGATGTGTAACTTAGAGACAAAAGAAGGATTTTATCTTTTCTACAATTCCCGTATAAGAATAACGAGAGGAGGATCTAGACGAGTGGACAAAAGTCATTCAAAAGTAGCAGGGCAGGCATGGGAATCATTCAGGAAGGGCGATTCTGACTAAAAGCAAAACTCTATCAGCTAGATATCATCAACCTCTGGAACAAATTGATGAAGAAGAAGTGTGAGTAGTTCTGATTTTTATATTTCTCAATTTCCTTCATTTTTACCAATAACCTGAATAGAATATCGTCTTCGATCGAATAATGATATTTAAATATGTTGCATCATAATAATATGACATAATTGGAATTGCTTTTAAGATTTTCGTTGTTTAATTAAATCATAAAGTTTATGTATATTCACATATAAATTTGAGAGTAACTAATTCTCCCATTATTTATGTCAGAGTCCTTAATAACTAGCTGATAGATACATTATACTTGTTAACCACACGTAATAGACGTAATTACCAGTTGAATTTGAAGGATTTTAAAAAATAGATAATTCAGTGTTTATCAATTCGCTACATCATCACAATCCAGTCAAGGTATCAGGTGGAAAAGTATCGAATTTAGAGTTCAAAGAAGTATTACATAAGCTTTTGGGGATGTTGGAGTGGAACTGATATTAATTATCACTAATTATGTGTTATTTGCAAGATAATTAAATGGTTTTGGATTCTATTTTGTAATCAGTATTTCTGATTTGAATAACTATGAAATTAAATATGTCAATAACTAAGGTTTCAACAAAAGAGATTTCAAAATGGAGATGCTAACGTCTATAATTGTAATTACTAAGTTTGCGTAGTTCGATTGCTCGATATTTTAATATCATATCATAATTTTATATAATATATATAATTATTACATATATATCTTTTAGGGAAAATGGATGTAGAATATGTTGGGGTAAAGCAGGAATTCCTAGAAGATAGTATCATTTACTCAATTGCCAGAGTTTTAGATGAAATCGTTAGAGAGACTGACATAATTGAGAGTCCCTAACAAACTGCATTTCATACAAATAAAAAACCTGCAATAAGTCTGGCAAAATATTTAGAGCGTATCCAAATGTACTCTTATTGCAGCAATGAATGTTTCATCTTGGCATTGATCTACATTGACAGGATCTAATAAAAGAACCAAGATGTTGTTATCAATAGTTTTTGTGTCCACAGGTATGCAACACTTCTATGTTAGATTTATGTTCGCATGCATCATTCTGAGCATTAAATATAACGATGATGATTACTATAAGAATGACTACTATGCCAAGGTCGGGGGAATCACAATCAGCGAGATAAACAAATTAGAATAAGAACTGTTAACTTTGCTCGATTACGAGCTTTATGTTAGTTAATAACAATACTACTTTTACAAGGATAAATTGATGAAATATGCAAAACTATGATTATATAAATAATATAATGGAAATGACTAAGAGATTGGAACATAAATTCAATCATGCATTTGAACCATTTTATCTCCTTGTGTTTTCATGATGCACATATCAATGCTGCAACCATGAACTTCTAGTACGAAAATCCATAAAGAGTGACTCATATTCTTATTTTCTACTATTAAATCGATTGATTACTCATTAAGTAAAATTTTGAATAACATATCAATTCATTTTAAACTAAGATTTCTTTCTCTCTATACTACTTCAGTTCTTCTAAATCAATTATATTCACATCTTTCATATTTATCAACACAACAATTTGATCTCGAAATTTCTTAGAATTTATCAACTCATTCGAATTCATAGCATTTCAAATCTAGATTAAATAAATGTCATTATCTCTCTGATTTGAACATTTATTCACCTTAAACAGATGATGTCAGTTACATTCATAATTGTGGATTAAATTGCTTTATTAATCAATAAGTATTATGTATAAATCAAATTAATCTTTTATTTGTGATTCTGTTTGAAACAACTAAATTGATTAGAATTTGTTTGATTTATAACATAAATTATACATATCATCAAGCCTAGATATGAAAAATGAGATAGTTGAATTAGTGCAATTAAAATTATTATTAAATCAAACAGTTGATTAAATTATTAAATTCTTATTTATTAGATGGTTTGATAATTAAACAAGAATAAAAAATTTCTTAATGAACAAGGAATTATTATTCATAAATTCCTACTTAAAATTTATTAATAACCTTTGATTATAATAAAAAGTAATCTAATAATATTTAATAATCTATCTCAAATTTTTATCGCTTACTTAAAGATGTAACAATATTGACCAAAAAATTATTAATTTTGATGTTAAATTAAATTGATTTTCCATCGATAAAGGTGAATAGTCCTAGAAGATTTTATATATAAATTATACTTTTGATAAAAATAACATAAATTTATCAACAAAATCATTGATATTAATTATTATTTTCTGTATCAATTTTAGCCATAGCTTATCTCGGAGGTCTTTATATTATTGATGTCGAAATATATTTGGACTTGGAAAACGATTCTGAAATAATGTTTTCCTATTCAGATTTTGGTATTTATTTGGTTAAGGAAGAACTCTATTTAAAATTGATAAATGCATTACACGAACAACTGAAGATTGCAAAGTTGAAATATTAATTTTCTATTCATACTTGATTTTCATTTGATCAATTTCTTTTATTTTCTCACTCAATTCTTGATTCTTATTCTGCACTATCAAATCCCTATCTATTAAACAATTTTATAAGTATGTCATTTAGGATAATCTATATTTATGAAAAATAATTACAGATTTTCATTCTCACTGTAAACTTTGTGAAGTTGTTCCTATAAACATTGGATCTAATTCTCTAGGTTGCTATTTTATTATTAGAATATAGAGAGAGTCTTACGATTATTTTCAGCCTCTTTGTTAACTTATTCACTTTATTTCCTTTATTTATTCATCAAACTATACGCCTCCTCCATTTCTTTGATTTTTCCTTATAGTTATGAATCCAATAATTAATTTTATTTTTCCAAAGTAAGTGTGTTAGCCTTTAATTTTAAGTTAATTTATTCGAATTCCATAAGTTGCTAATCTAAACGAGTGTATTCCTATTTCAACTCGTCATAATCATTAAACTAGTTTTAATTTCTTAATTGCAATCTTAAAGATTCTATTTCATGAAGTCGTTCCTCTGTAACAATATTCAACCTCTTTGTTTCTTGAATTTATAAGAGTAATCTCTATTCATTGTCCTATAACTAATTATTCAATTAGTATTTCTAAGTTTCCCATGACATCCTTTCAGCTTAGAATTTCATTTCCAAATCTCTCAATTCCAATCCATGTTTTTATAAATTTGAAATCTCCTATTAATACACATCAATTTATGTATAGAGTTCTTCTATTTCTTAAAGGTAAGTCCTTTGCTTACCATCAAAATCTTGAACTTTTACTTACTCTACATTTAACTGACCTCGAACTCTTTCTAATTCACTCGCTAAAAGTGCGATTTTAGATTCCAAAGATTAATTAATGACAACACTTTATTGCTTCCTATCCTGATCTTGCTAAGATATGATATTTTGGTATTACTATATCGATTTTGTTAATGAATGAATTTTTTCATTCTATAAATTAGATTATTCCTCGTAAGCTTTTAAATTATTAGTAAAATCTTCAATTACTTTCCATAATCGATCTATTTCACTTGCAAAAATGACTATTTTCATTCTCTCTTTGATTAAATCTTCTTTCATTTTACTATTGTCTTTAACATTAATTTGCAATTATAATTAATAATCTTTAATTTCTGAAAGCAAACTGATTCTTTCATTTTCATTAGCCTATACTTTTCGTTTATCATCATCCTTTTATCCATCCATGATTGTTTGTTCTTATTTTAAACTTTGTATTACTTTTTCAAGTTCGCTGTTTTAATGCTAAAGTTATTCAAGCTGTTATTCCTGAATTTAAGTCTCTCTTTTAAAGTTTTGAGTTAATTCCATAATTTATGCATTCATATCTTCTTCCAAATTAGAAATTCTCATATTCAAATTATCATTATCACTGTTAAGCAGCATTGATTCTTATTAATAATTGCTGATTTCAATCTCCATTTCCAGAATTGAGTTCTATTGCTGCTAAAGTTCTTTCTATTTTTATTCTAGTTATCTGCTCAAGGATTCAATTTCATATTAATACTTACTATGAACGATGTCTTTTTCCCTTAAGATAATGTTTAGTCTCTCAACCTCGGTAGTTAATAAGGTGCATTTGTTTTATAGTTCTTTCTGATTTTGTGTCCAAAAGTCTTACTGTTATTATAATAGCAGAATGTCTTATTCATATTGCAATTTTCTCATTGACTCCTGTTCGAATTATAAGTTTCGTTATTCAAATAAACCCAATTATTGTGTGAGATGTTCTATCTATTGAATTTATTCTTAATTTCTATGTTCACAATCCTCAATCACTGACCATAATCTCTCAATTTCAGTATTCAGAACAATGATTCTCATCCTATCCTTAATAGAATTGTCTTCCTTGATTTTAGATGAATTCTATATATTTTTGAATTGTTGTATCTATAACATCATCTATTATAGGTTCTACTTCAATTATTCATTTTCAATTTTAATATGTTGTATCTCATTTTGATTGCTGTTAAAACGCATTCTTTCAATTTCCTAAGCCAAGAGTGCACATTTATTTTCCAATTCAGAATTTCTATTCTCTAATTTTGTGACTTAATTGATTAAATTAATTTCTTTGATTTGTGGATCAATCTATGATCTCTTCTAAATCTCATAAGATTATAAGTTCTAACTTTCGGCATTGGCCACTCTATCTTAAAGTTAAATAAGTTCTTTTTGTTTATTTTGAACATAGATTTGTAAATTGTCATATTGTAATTGTTAATCTTTGAGTTGTTTGGATAATTCTTCCTTTTGAGAGTAGCATTCTTGATATTTTTGATTACCCAAATTAATTTCACGAATATACTCTTCTAATTGGACTTTTAAATGATTTGTTCTTTATTTGTAAGCATCCATTTATTCTAGCAGTTGTTTTAATTCAATTTGGTGATTCTAATTGGTCTCCTAAAACTAAATCGAAAGGATTTTGTATTAATTTTCAGTTTATCTTAGATATTATATTTCTTTGGTCTTATCCTCTAATTGTTTTTTGAGATTATTGAATTCGAACTAATGGGAGGAAGACAGTGTATTATAAACAAGAGAATTGGAAGATTGCTGTATAGGATCCGATTTATGTGAGTTAGGTTCTAAATCAAAATGAGGATGTTTGGCTTGATTGGGAATCGGAATATTTTTGTGGAGCATGTACTCAAGAGGAGTCAATTTGGTTTGGACATTGGTTTTGGGCTAAGAACTGAGACCGATTCATAATAAATAATTTGAAATTTAAAATAATATCTAGTCATGTGAATAATTATAAATATTAATATAATGGAAAGTGCTTTTATATTTGGATGTCTATTCGGAATGGGTATCAGAATGACAGTGAGTAGAGTCATACGTCAACCGTTTCTATATAGTAAGGAGTCCTATAAAATAGTGTAGAGTGTCATTAGTATCCAAAGTACATGTTGTACACAGGAATTGCATTCTCTGGATTTGATTGGATCCGTCGTCTTTCATTGGAAACATTATGTGAGAGAGAGGAATTGTCTGAGTATTTGGTTCGCACTGCTCGAATCAACTAGCTTGCAACTGGAGCTGAATCAGTGGGAGATTACAAGAAGGAATTTGTCTAAATAGCCGTAGACGAGCACATATATTGATTATCATGTCATAAATCAAAATCATCGTTGAATTCACTGTTGGGATTGCTCAGACTTTCCATCAACCCTTTTATCTTCGCCTAATCTTTCATATCAAGTGACATGGCCATATTGAAACAACTAAAAAAACATAAAAGTTTAATTTTACTTTTATGCTTCTTGGATCTTATTCAACTTTTTTAGTATACGACCCATAAGAATGTAGATGGCAGCTTCTTTGGGAATAAATTGACTCAAAGTCTGCAATTCACTCAATGCTTATTCGTATTAATCCAAATTTAATCAATGAATTTGCCTAATTTGATCATAACCAATATATACTTTCTAGTATTTGTTAAGTCCATTCATGGGATCTAACCTCTCACTCTATTCGAAATACTTCAAGGCTTCCTTATGTTCACCCTTGGCAGCATAACTCATAGCTAAGAATGTAGGGAGAACAGGGTTGTTGGGATTTATTCTGATGGCTTGGATAAAACACTTAATGGCATCCTCAGTATTTATCCGTCTTGTAATACATGTTGCCCTAACCCCACCAAGCATTGTATTATCTCTAATCCAGTGAGGTTGCAGTCTCGTATGATTTTTTGGCTTAATGAAAATTCTCATTCTGTGAAAACTCATGTCCAGACAAAGTGTAAGCATAAGAGTAATCCTTTCTTAATTGAATGGCTCTCCCAAAGAATTTGATTGAATTGTCAATTTCTTTGATCAAACTAAAACAATTGCCTATTGCAATCCAAGTTTCAGGTGCTTACATAGAGATTTATAAACAAGAATGTGCTAAATATGTTAATTCTGATTGTTTCTTCAAATGCCATAAACAAGAGGAGTAATAATCCATCCCCTCCAATCGAGTAGGTTCAATTTGTCTCATCTCCTTCCAAACTCTTTCCGCATCTGTATATTTGACTTAATCCATGAAACTTCTGGCAACTTTCTCCAAAACCCATCCTGACCTGTAATGCTGAGGTGGCAGTTTCTAAAAGTTGGCTATTGCCTCTACAGAATAGTTAGTCCATAATTGATATGGATGGGCAAATAATTTTAAGAGTTGAGGTAAGCTTCCACTAGAATAATTTCAATACCTCATTAAACTAGGCGACGATTGAAGAGTTACACTGCCTACTTTCTAAATGTCACTCTTTTTTGCATTATAATTCTTATTTTGATTGGATGATAACTGGAATGGTTGACTCAATAGAGATTGATAATTTTATAATCCAATCCCAGGAGTTGGGATCATCTTCGCACTAATCTTCTTCTATTGAAGTTCTTAAAATATTATCATACTAAACTTACAGGTAAACTTCATTTAACTATTAGATGAGTCATCCAAATGAATGATTTAAGCCTACACTCCAGTTGTTGAGAATGGTTTCACTCCTTGAGTTTGTCTCTTATTTATCTATTTACTTATGTATTTATTTGAAATTACATTATCAATAACTAGAAATTCCTCTTTAACATCATCAACTTCTTTTTAACCAGATTTTGTAATGTTTGACTTGTTCTTAAGTGAGTTTGCAAGTATTTTATAGATGTTGCAACTCTATTGTCTGCTCATTTCATATTGTCTCTGCTTTTGATCGATAAACACTTTATTTATTGTGACTGGCTCATTAATCTTGGACAACCTTTCAAAGGCCACCCAAAGAGTTGGATTCTGATCCAGTGCTTTATAATACTGTATTTTAGCATCGTCTATTCGAAGCATTGATTCATATATCTATCCCAATAAAAAATCACCAAAACTTCCATTAGGTGTATTTGATGACTGCAACAAGAATTGATTGCCAAATGAGGGACCTATTAATGCCATTTCAGCCTCCTTGTACTTTTTGATCCTAAAATACGCCACTGCCAATTGATAACTACAATCCTATTACACATTTTCACATACCGATTAAACTCTGACTTGCATTCCTTCAATATATGGCATGCCTTATAAGGCTGATTCTCATGTAAATAGCATTCTGCTAGTATTGATCTGTGCTCCTCTGTGTCGTGTTCATACACTAATCTCTCAGCTATTGAAATTTGAACTCACACTAATTACCCAAAAAGATAGCATTCTATTCCATATGATTCTGCAATGAATCTAGAATAGCTTCTATCAATTATTATTCCAACTAGCTCTTTACTTAAAGTCCCTCCTCTTCAATCATCAATATTTCAAAATTTCAAATAATTATATATACGTTCAATCCAATATAAAAACATGAACATTTTGTTCACATCAAAATAACCATATTCAATTTATTATTCAATCGACTGCTCCCCAAACAGATAGCACTCATGAGTTTAATTTTTCCCATAATATTAAACCAGAACTAAAATTTCATATAGATAATTATGACCAGTCTAAAATTAGAGTGATATTCGAAGCAATATATTCACACAAATGAATCTGTTTGTCAAGTTCACTCTTAAACAAAAATCAAGAAAACGGGTGGCAGCTTAGCTTAAAATAGTTTATGCTTGTCAATTAGATTTTCATACAATTATTTTTCATTTTTTATCTAAAAATAACTTTATTATTACTCATTTATTTTTACAATATCTCCTTTATGCAAATAAACTAATTATATCTGAACGATCTACATTATTTATAATATTCAATTTAATCTCAATCTTGACCCTAGCAATTCCTTTTTAAGAAAATAAGAAAAAAATGTAAAATTTATAATGTTAGATTGTGGGGTGATAGAAATCATCCAAAGAAACGACTCAAAGGACATTTCAATACTAAAATCTTTCAAAAGAACATGTCATTTCAAAGTTAAAATGAACCTAGCTCCTTCTGTTTTCCCTGTACCTTTGCCTTTGAGCTCATGAATTAACCAATTTGATGAAGTCTAAATTCTTGAATTACTTGAAAAAGCCAATTATTTCAATGATTAAATCTTGATCCTCCCTTTTCATCAACCATATCCTCATTCTATTTAATACAAATGACCATTCAAAAGATTAAAATGTCTGAATAAATTTTAATTCTATGTTGAGATGAAATAATCATATTCTTAATTTTATAACTAGTTGATTCAAGGAATTAAGAACTTATTGGCTAGATTTGATTTTTTTTGTATTTTAGGCATTAGTAAATATTTTCATTGTCTTAAAATCTTACTTAATTGAAATTGATTGCTTTACATTATATTTTTTCAAATTAAAATAGATAATGTAGAAAATAATACTTTCGAGTTTATGGGTGCTTAGTTTAATACTTGTAGATTATTTCTATGGGGAAACAACATTTGAGATAAGTGATTCAATTACAGAGTATCTGCAATCCTTGTTTGATTATGGGAATGAGAATGGATTAGTAGGTATAATAGAATAGATGAATTATAATTAGAAAGTTTTCTGTTAATCTTTTATGTATTTGGGGGAAGATAATTTATGGGAATGGTGTTCATAATTCTTTGGTTGAAATCAGGATTGAAGGAGTAGATTTTAAAATTAATTACAATGTATTCGATTACTTCATTTCTTGGCCATTTTATTAAAATGATCTTAGCATAGCCAAGACCCTTTTATGAAGAATCAGATGTTCGACTAGATTTTTGTAAAAAGGGTTATGGAGACCCAAGTGATAATGCTTTAAGGTCTATTGTGTTTTATGTAATTTTATCAGAAACTTTATTATTTAAAAAATATAAGGTTTAAGCAAGTGATTTAGGTGTTCTTAGTTCAATTAACTAAGATAAAAAACTTTAATATCATTCTAAATAATTATCAAAGTATATCATTCTCATATATTAGTGATGATCTTTACTCATAACTCTATCCAAATACAATGCTTAGTTATAATCAATATAAATTTATGTTGGCTACTTTTTTATTCATTACCGGTATTTCCAATTCTTATTTTGGTTTGAATTATCTAAATTAAGTAATAATGGGATGGATTATTGGTGGATATGTGCTCTACCTCTATTATTTTTGTGATCTTGAGAAATAATTAGAGAGTTTATTTATATAAGCAATCTATAATCAGTCTGATTAACTAAATAACAAACTTCGTCATGTGGGAAGATTGGCTATTTTCACTGTGTTTCCAATGTTAATTTCAATATTACTCTATTTACTTAGAACTAATAATGTAGAGCTCATTTAGCAATAAGAAGAATGGGGTTTATATTTTTAAAGTCATTAAAAATGTGAAAATTAATTGGATCGTTTCAATAGGTCGTTTGAAAATTAGGAGATAGTTGGGGCTTGTGTCATCTTTTTGCCCTTTTATCTTTATTTATGCTGTTATTTTACCCCTGGCCAATATAAGCCTGATTTATACAACCATTAAACTCTTACTCTGAAAGGTGTAGTTAGGGTTTTGATACTTGTTGGTTTACTTATTTCTCAAGTGTTCATTCATATTTTCACAAGAAAAGTCGTAATGAGCAATAGTTTAGATATCAATGTAGCCTACTTAATAGTAGGTTAATTATTCTTAGAACTGTATTTCTCATTATTGTTGATTACAATATTGCCTTTGCTCTATAAATTCTGTAAAGCTGATATCGATGGGGATTTTTTAAGAAGAATCAACTAAATTGAAATACAAGAAATGGAGTTGTGATTTTAACTTATCAAATATATATATCAATTTAAGAAAATTTTAAATCTATCTTTTATATCCCTTCGACATATAGGACAAAAAGTAAGGCCTTACAGGCATGAATTGCAAACACAAACATGTTTGCAAGGCATGAGTATTGAATCTGCTAGATGACTAACACAAACAACACATTCACGATATTTGGAATCAATAAATTCTTGTTAGCATCCTTTACACCTAGTTGGTTTATTCATTTGTAGACTGAATGGTTCCTGTAGCATATTACACCTTAAACACGAAGGGATAAATTGTTCTATTTTACATTAGAAACATATGGAATTCACAATTTCAATGAATGGTCCAAATTCAGAAGGTCTCATTTGAGGTCTATCTAATTTGAGAAGCTCTCCAAGACAATCTTAGGTATTACATTTCAGAATTAGATAGTCCAATCTGCAGCCTAAGCAATTAAATCGTTAAAGTTAATTATTTTCAGCCCTTCTCATTATCTGTTTCTAACCACACAGACATGAAATTTGTTTCATTTTAGTATTGCAATGTTGGCACAAATAGCTTTTATTGTTAGTAATATTTAATTTATTTGGTTTTTTGCAATGCAAACATATGAGTCTTTAATATTGATGATTATTTGAGCATCTGAATATGAAGGGTTCAACTAAATCTCTTGAAAACGCATCCTCCTAACAAATTTTGCAATCATCAATCTAAAAATGTGAATTGCAATTTTCGCAGTAATTCTTCTCGTTCGCATTATTCAGTATTTTCATATTTTTGCATCCAGGACAATTTACAATGTAAAAACCATTTTTGCAAGAGAAACAAATGATTCTTGAACTTTATTTTAGATTCCCCCCATTAATTGCTTAAGGACATTTACAAAACAAGCATTCAAATATTCTTTGCTTTGCCCCACAAATACATTGTGTTATTGTGTTGAGGTCTCCGTATTTAAAAAATCTAAGGCATAGCCAAAATTTATTACTTAATATTTTAGCAACTTGTACATTTTACACAAACTGTTTTTATATTACAATCCAAACAATCTAATACATGAATACCCTTTTATTCAACATATTTTATGTTAAATTTTAAAATTTCTTTATTATTTCCACATCCAAAACAAAAATAATAATTTTCCATTTATAATATTAAGAATTAAGATATATTTTTCATACAACTCCTACATTTACTAATTTCAATTTCTATTAAAATTACACTAAAATCTGCATTATATTAAAAATGAATCAAAGATGAAATAATAGTAGAGCAATTTAATTAATCTATAAATGAAATAGAATGTTCTTGAAATGCTTCCTTTCTTTTAATTACAAGTTTACAGCCAAGGGGAAGAATTTTAATTATTTACACCTTGCATCTTGGATATAAGAAAATATGAACATAATTTAATATACTATTATTTATTAATATTATAAAAATAATATAAAAAAGAAGGGCTCTCCCGGGAATTGAACCCGGCTCACATGCACCCTAAGCATGCATACTACCGATATACTAGAAAGCCTTGGTTAATACTTATGTCATTTTTGAGTATTTCAAGTACAACTTAAAAATTGACAATTTTATTCAAGGAAAGATATCGACTAAAACATCCAAAAAATACAGAGGAGCATTTATCAATATTATATAATTATTTATAAAACAATAAATTTGAAAATTGAGGTTTATATTTTATTGATCATAAATATATATATTTAAGTTTTATATAAAATGTATATATATTTTAACGATAAAATAATTGAGATTTAATTTTAAAATCGAGCAAAGGTTTTCGATTGATTTAGCATTTTATGCGAAATTGCAGAAAAAGTTTGGAGGAAAATAAATTACTATAAAATCTTAGAGTGGAAGGACATTTTAGATAAGTTGGTGTAATTAGGGGATTGCGATTGAACTATGGGGGAATAGATTTTTGATTGGGATTGATGAATATAGTAGTAGTGGGTGAGATGATGGGTCTGAGATGAGTGGATCAGGATTTGAAATTATTATGTATATGGTTGCCAAATAATTGTAGGCAAAATATTAATTTTATTAATTTTTATGGTCTTTCTCTTTGCGCTCATAAAGATGTATCATTTTATGTTGAAATAGCGCAAAATTTATGTGCTTAATAATTAATAATATTTATAATGAGTACTCAGTGCATCAAAGAGCAAAGCAACACGTAACCAATTTCAATTTTTGATCCTTAAGAAGAAAAGAAGATAGAACTGTAAAAGTTCAAAAAGAGTAAAGTGTGTGCTGAATGCAAATCTTGGATAATAAGACAAAAGTCAGTTGGATGTGGAATATGTGAAGATGTATATCATCTGTCTTGTATGGTAATATTTTGTGGCATAGTTTAGAGACCTAAATTGACACGGAAACCTAAAAAATGGACATGCACTCGTTGTCTTGAGTTAAAGAACACATTTCCAGATACAAATGAATTGGAAATAGATACTTTATGTGGGCGATGTTAAAAGCATGTATAGTGTGATGATGAGGAATTTTGTTCTAAATGTTCTAAAGTATTTCATAGCAAGTGTTATGGCCCAAAAAAAGTAGCGCCTATATGTATATTCTGTGAGCAATAAAAACCGCCAAAAATAAAATAAAATAAAAATTTGGTGCAATTCCTACCGCTAAAAATCTCATTAAAAAACCAGAACTCTTTCATTTTACCTTGTTGCATCTACGACGACACTCTACGCGAAAGGTGTTTCAATTCTATTCAATATGCACTCTATTGTCAAAATATTAGTTTCAATGATGATCTAGTGTATGACTCAGTCTAGAAACAAGAGAATAATGTGGCACTTGAAAAATTGGAACCATTGACAGGTAAGGATCTTGAAGCTTTCAAAAAGTATAAATAAGTGACTAAGCATGGTTATTATGCCCCTGTGATAGTGGAATACAATACGGATTAGGGATTTTATGTCAAGGCAGTTCAACCAATAGCCAATAATACATTGATATGCGAATATGCAGGGGAAGTGTTTCGATTTGCAGATCAAGTGTACAGCACATCTGATTCTATGATGAGTTTGCTTGAAACTAGTTTTGCAGCCACTTCTTTAGTGATCATACCACAAAAATATGGCAATCTTGCAAAATATTTATCGGGAATTAATAATACAAAAAAAAATAGTAAGAAATAATAATAAAATGTGAAATCCTAAAGATTTAATGTGGAGGGCGAATCAAGAGTGATCTTGTATGCTTGTCGAGATATCAGGACAGGGGAAGTGCTCTATTATGATTATAATGAAGGTGGATTCAATTATAATACAAGATTCTTTGTTTGATTTATTATACTTTAAAGCAGAAATAATTTACGGCTTTAATCATTTTTATCTCTATTTCAACATTTTTATCAATCTCTTAAAATTAAATAAATTATTGGTTTTTTAATTTGTGAACAAATAAGAACATGTTTACTATTAATACATAAATCATTTACAAATTGCCAGACTTCATACCAAATCTTAATATTGATTTGTCATTTCCTCAAATCCTAACACCTAAATACAGACCTCCTCCCCTCAAGAAACATCCTGTTTTAGATTCGCCTGATGAAATCAAAAAATGGTTAGAATAGAGAAGGAAAAGATACCCCAATAAGCAAAAACCTACTGTGGATGAAAATGCACAAGAACTTTCGATCTTGGAAATTAAACTGAGAAAGAAGATTTTAATTTTGAGTGGAAGCAGTAGGAGAACATAAATTAAAGCTAAGTAAATGAAGGAACTCTGTAAGGTTCTTACTGAATCAAAAAGAATTCAGAAGAAAATGAATATTATTGAACCATAAATTAGTTCTGATTCAGAAGAAAATGATAAGGAGGAAAAAGATTAAAAAATAGATGACAAGGAAGCGATATCAAAAGAAATAACCAAATTATAAAAGAAGTTAAGTAATAATAGACCAAGGGAATATTATAAATAGGTGAAAGAAGCAGGAGAATAATAGTAGTTATCAAAGATGGAAAAGTAGATAATCAAAACTAAAATTAAGGATCTCAAGGTAAAGTTAAAGTAATTAAATCCAGAACCTGAACAAGTTAAGGAATACTAAAATGTAATTAGATAAGAGAACACACAGACTTTAGAAGATCATACTAAGGAGATGATTGACAATTTAGAGGAATAGAAAGAGAAGATGTAACAATTTTATTGATATAAAAATAGTGAGAATTTATTGGAGGAATCATTAAATTACAGAGTCAATCCAGCCAACTTTAGGTATAAGAGTAACACTCTCTATACAAATATGCTGATTGGGGAGATTTTTAGAGAAAGACAATATGTTTTGTAGGCAATCAGATAATTGGTGAAGGAGAACTTTTTCGAGGTGAAGGAATAAGGGGGACTTGAATGTATTACATCAGAATCAGATGAGGAGGAACAAGAAAGCAGTGAGGAGGAGAAAGGGTTTTAGGAAGAGATGGAAGAGTATTTTTGAGATTTGAATTTGAAATAGGAAAGCTTGATAAATGAATTCAATTCTTTCTGTTAATTAATTGTTTAAGTATTTTGGAATTGTTGTCTTGTTTAGGAGCATCATGTAGTCTGTTCTATATTTATAATTGAAGTTTTCTAGTAAATAAATTGAAAAACTATACTGTAAATTAGTTTATTAAAATTTAGTAGGTTTCAATTGATTTTCCAAATTGATGTTTTCCTATTGGGATTTCTACTTAGTTTACAATTAAACAGGAGTGGATGGTGCAGAAGTTTTGTGTTTAAAGTCTAGTTATTTGTAGTAATTGGTTGATTGTGGAATCAGCTTTTATTCATGAACAGATTTATGCGATTCATGTTTTTGTACTGAAACTTGCTGTAAGAGTTTTTGCAATGATTGTATTTGATCACCATACTTTTATTTAATTTTTTTGATTTCATTGTTCATTTCATCAGTTAATTGTTGAATTTTGTCTTCAATTTACTTTTATTTTCTAAGGGGAGATTCAGTGACAGGTGTTCTCATTTGATTAAGACTCTATAAGCCATATTCAGACTATAAAATAGCTTATTAGAAATACCACTCTATTCATGGCCTTCTCATAAACTTCAACATCCTGATATTGATGTTCTAACATAGTTCCAGTTTCATTCATAGGTATAGCATCAATATCATTGACAATCATGGTTCCCAAATCCTCCTCCTCTTCACATTCAACTAGAGTATCTAATTAAACTATGCCTTGTTCTTAAGATTACTCAAATTGTTATTCATGTTATTTATTCTATTTTTATCTTTTGTAGTTTTCTATAACTCTCTAATTTTTTATCATAAACTATTGGACATACTCTCTACTTTTGCAGAATCTTTAGAAGAACGGATCCTGTAACAACTCCTTAGTGGATGGCCTCTCTTTGGGATCCAAGATAAGACACTTCTTGACAAAATTATTGAATTCTTTAGACCATCGGGTTTGATCAGTCAATGAGTTTGGTGGGTTGTTCTTAATTGCAAACATGGCCCTTATTGGATGAATATGAGCATAAGGTGGTTCTCCTTCTGCCATTTCTATGGGTGATACCTAACGACCAGATGTCAGTTTTCTTATTATAACGAGACTTTAAGAGGATCTCTGGAGACATCCAAAAAGGACTTCCAATGACTGTGTCTGTGTCAGCCATTGTGTGTACTAATTAAGTTGAGACTCCGAAATCAGCCAGTTTGATGTTGCCAATGTGATCAATCAGGATGTTTCCACATTTAATATCTCTATGGATCTTCTTATGATTGTGCATGTAATCAATTCCTATATTACTTAGACATTTACTGTACCTTTAAGTGTTTGATATAGAATAGTGGCTATCAACTCTTCGGGCAAAGTAGAACCATTGAAACTCATTGCCTTAACTAAATCGATGACACTTCCTCCTGAACAATATTCCATCACCAACCACAATTACCCGTTCGAATGATATGATGAAAAGTATTTAACTATGTTATCACTTCTACAATCTCGAAGTATTTGAATTTCCCTTTTCAATGAATCTATTTCCCCTGTTGTTGGAACTATTTTTATGGCAACAACCTTTCCGTTCTCCAATTGTGTAGCCTTATAAACTTGTCCATAAGATCCTTCACCAATTACCCCCTCAAGACGATAATAGTCCTCTGGGTTCATTTAACTTTCATTCATTTTGAATTTATTTAAATTAAATCGTTGATGGATAATATAAAAAAATCATAGCACAATTTCTATTGATCTATTTTAGAAGATATATATAGTGAAAGGCATGATGAATAAGCCTAAACTTTAGAAAGCCCTTCAAATTCAGGAAGGAACCAATTAGGGAAATAGATATTACGGGATTTCATTTAATAGAAGAATTTGAAGATAGATAAAACAAGGATATAATGGAAGGACAAATTTTTAGGTTAACCTTATATCATTTGTAGAGGTGATATAACTCAATAATGAAAATATGCATATTGTTAATCTTCTCCTAACTGTTTCCTATATACATGAATTTATACTTTATCTTTTTTCTGCTATTCGTTCAGCATCTCAAAATTATACTACCTAAGATGAAAATGGAAGAGTTATCAGTTTTCCCTGTGTCCACATACAAAGAAGAGAGAATTAATCCTTTTAGTAGAAAATATGATTTGATTTATATTAATTTTTAGAAATTGTTTTGAAATGAAAGCTAAATTGAATAGGGAGGATTATTAATTTCGAAAGAAAACAGGTTAAGAATTGATTAAATATCCTGGACAATTAAATGGGTTAGACTTTGTGGTCTCTAATTGTGAAGATTGCACAATCTATATTTGTGATCATGCTGCATAAATATTTGTGGATTTGAGTAAGAATTGCAAAATCTTTATTGGACCAGTTGAGGGCTCTATCTTTGTTAGAAAATGCGAGAATATTGAAATAAGTGTTGCATCAAGTTAATTTAGAGTCTCAAATTCAAATAAGTACTAAATCAATAATATATTATCTAGCATCTAATGTTTTGTCTATACTTCAAGCGATCCAGCACTTGAGAAATCAACAGGCATCAGTTTTGCTCCATATAATTTCACTTATCCTGGGATCACTGAAGATTTTGGGAAAGCCAAGTTGGATCCCGCAAATAATAAATGGAGTTAGGTTTTTGATTTCACTCCTAATGCTGAAGCCAGTAATTGGACTCTCTTACATCCTTCCTAATTTCATTTAGTAAGCAAATCATTTGAAGGCCTTGAAGAACCAGAATAATGTCCTGTTCCTATCCCTACCACTTATGGGGGAACATGTACTAAGAAAATCATTTTGGGGAGTGCTGATTAGAAAGCCAATGGATTGGAATTCGATTTTTTGATGGGCAAAGACAATGTCAAGAACCAATAATAATTGTCTGATGAAAATCAAGTTTATTTGGAGACTCAACTCAAACCATCCAATTAGAAATAAGTTGAATAGATTTAAGGGAACTATGAAGAGTTTGTATTTGATTAGGAAAGTGTTAAAAGTACAGAGCCTTAGGTCAATTTGCAAAGTCAGACTACTTTTAATGCATTTGATGAATTGATGGCTGTCGATACTCAATCAAACAAGTAAAGAGAAGTATTTTAGAGTCAACAGATGCTTAAGGATGTAATTGATAATTTTAAACTAAATTTAGGATGCTGAAAGAAAACTAAAGGAGCAGAAAAGAAAATAGGGTTAAGAATATTTAAAGAAGTTCATGAGGTATATTAATTAATATGAGTATAGTGACTTTACAGAATTAGCGAATTAGAGAAAGATACAAAATAGAGCTATTGTCAGGGAGAAGGTGTAGAATAAGGAGGGATGGAAGACAGTGATGACAAATATAGATGTGAAAGATAATGGAGGAGAAAAAGATGTCAGTAAAATGGCTTAAGCAATTAAAAATAAATTCATGGATGTATTAAAATGATATAAGACATAATTAAATATATTATATAATAATATAAAATGGGCAATAAAGCTCTTTGTTGTTCTACTTAATCTGAACTGCAATCGTAGATGTGCAAATTAGATGGTCGACCTCAGGCGTAGATAATTTAATAGACTGATGTGAATGGCTGCAGAGTTGTTTTGAGTTTGGGAAAACTATTTAATGAGCAGGTTGACATCATTGTGTTGGCAACAACTCAAAAATTGAAACTGAATAATCAGGCATCTGAGCACATTAAGTAGGTTATTGTGATTATTTGATAGAAAATTCGGTAGTAATTAAATATTGAATGAATTGCACCAAATTCTTTTGAGCGAAGGAGGAAAAGTGTAATTGGGATCTGTAGTGCACACTCATGCTGGCGAGGTTGTTTTTTGTGTAAAGATGTTAGATGCCCTATGATTATATCTTCTTTGCTGTATTGCCAAATGCTACTGATTCTTCGATAATAGTGTTGAATGAGTCACTAGAATAAGAGATGATATCTTCGCTGGAGGAGAACTTCAGAGTAAACTCGTTTGCTGCTTATGCTGAGAAGAAGAAACTAGATTCGACAGAGTCTAGAGAAATTTAGATAGTTTATGAGGCTGTGGTGAATTGTTTAGAGAAAGCCACAGAACTGGGTGCGAAATCAATAGCCTTCTCTGTGATGGATCAGCAAATCATTCAGATAGCAAGGAGCAAATTGGCTTCAGTGATGCTATTTGCAATCAAGAGTTTCTTGAGGGACCATTGTGGCAAGACTTCCTTGGTGGAAATAAGGATTTCATCATGTGAAGCTCCGTCATTCAAAATTTATCGAACCTACATGAATTAGATTTTAAATGATTAGGGTGAAACTACGATTGAGAAATTATTTCAATAAGAAGAATAAATTTATTAATAGGAATTCAAAATTGACAGTTAGACTGATATCAAGAAAGACGATATTCGAAAATTTTGCAATGGATGCAAGGACGGAGGTTCTTAATAAAAGTAATTTAAGAGTTCTTTTTGATTAATCTGCTCTTGTGTCTATATATTAAATATATACGTATATATATAAATTTGAGTTCATCGGATGCAATATTGATAGGACTTAAGGCTATTAGAAACATTCATTAAATTAATTATTTTGAATTCAAAATATAGTAGCATGTAACCGCAAAGTGTAGATGATTGTCTTCTTTAACAGGTAAATCTAAAGGCTTAAATAAAGTTGAGACGCATTTTCAGTTTTCCAGTCTTAATCAGAAACCATTTTCTATTGAAAAAATTTGATTCCACCACAGGGTTTATTCGTCTTTCTTGCTTGGCGAAAGAGAATAGCTTTCGATAGTTGTTAGAATATCCCAATGGAATGCAGAATTTAATGAATGTATATAAGTCCATCATCATTCTATAGATATTATTTCAATTTAACTACACCAATTGGTTTTATGATCAAAACTTCAATGCAGTATTGCCGATCTTTTCAAAGGAGAGGAAATAAGTTCAAATCCTGATCAAGAAGAATCAGGTGGAAGAATTTAAGAAGTTTTTACAAGAATTGGAAGTTAAACAAGAATGGGAACCAAGGGAGGCAGAATACGTACCCAATAAAGATATGATTAAATTATTCATTGTCTTCGAAACCAAGGAAGATGCCCAAATTGGCTTTGGCAAAATTCAACAGTCTAAATCAATTGTAAGAATTCTATTTATATCAAAATAGTATGGCATACAAAATGCAAAAATGGAAGAAGTAGATTACTTTTCTAAATTCTTGAGCATAGTTGCAACTAAACAACAATAATTCCAAGAATAGAGAATCAACAACATGAGAAACTATGAAGATAGAAACTATGATGAGACTTCGAATTAATTTTAAAATTATTCTTAATAATAATAACCTCAATAATAAATTCCTTAATAATAATAATCTTAATAAGTTTAAGAAGTTTAATAAGTTTAGTAATAATCCTAATAGCAACCTCAATAGTCATATTAACAAGAACAATAATTCTACGATTATTCATCATCAGACATTGTTAGCCAAAGACTAAATTAAATAAGAACCAAAGATAAAGTCGAATTAAACTTTGCCCCATTACAAGAACAACAATTCTAATTTTCATTTGCTCCCATCTTCTATCCCCAATAAGATGTCCAATAGCAAGAGGTCCCTATTAATCCATAACAATAACCTTAACCAGAACTATAACCATAACAAGAGCAAATATAAGTAGAACAGCCACAAGAGTAACCCAGTGCAGGATAGCCTATTGAATAAACAGATTAGAAGTAGCCAAGGGAGACTGAATCCAACAAAGAGAACTCTGTTGAGAAGAACCACGGGAGAAAGTATGATGAAGGAAGAACTGAAAATTATCAGAAACCCTATTATCAAAATAGATATCAAGTACTAATGAATATTAGCATGTAGCAAAAGAGAAGACCAAATAACGAATCATATTAGCATTCCAATAAATACTATGACAATTCCTATACCAGGAAACCATAACAACATTACAGTAACATTGAATTACTAATTAGTTCAGATAGATTGGAAAATGATTTGAGAGAGTTTACAGGATATAAAAAGTATTCATAGAGACCTCAGAAGGAGTATTATGAACCAAAGAGAGAATCTTGAATTCTCTAACATTTTTGTTTAATTATTAAATTTTATCTCTACACTTTTCATATATATAATTATGAATTAAACATAGAAATTGGCATATTATCCAAATTTGCTTGTAATTCTTTAAATCTTTATGGATAGGGTCAATCTGAGAGGATAATCCAATAAAATGTCGAGAGTAAGAGAGGCTTGGAGGAATATTTGGCTATTTTACAAGAAAGAGCAAACATTGAAGATCAATATGCCAAATCCTTACACAGACTCTCCTAACAAATAGATAGATCAAGGTATTTAACTTCTTATGAATATAACAGCATAACATATTTGAGGGAATAATTGGTGAATTAGTTAAGATAGAAAATAGAAAGGTTGGAGAATTTCGTAGATTTCATCAGATCAGAAATAGCTGAACAGGTTAAAGAAATCATATTGAATTAAAATCAAGTGTAAAGAAAGATTATTGACGAGATGAAAGGTCTTGAATGGGATTTGTAAGACAAATAGGACGACTTGATGTCAGGAAAATTGGACTATAAGTTGTAGGCACGAGAGTTAGAGTAATCAGGAATTTAAGATATGATCTATTAATATAGTCTTGATATTTCAGAAGACAAAGCCATAAAGCAAGTATCCAAGTAATTATACTCTAATATATCAACAGAACTCAGCAAATCTAATAAGAATGTGTCAAATTGGAAAGGGATTTCGAGATTATCGTACTATCCTATAATGAATTCATTGATGTTTATAAAACCAAGATGGAAAGCTATTTATCTTAGATGGAGTAACAAGAGTAGTAAAAGCTGCTGGTGCAAAAGGATACCTTGATGAAGCTCTTTCTATTTGAGTCTTCCATTTCGAAATAGTCATTGCAAGATACCGAAAAATTGAATGATCAGATCAGAAAGACAAATCTCCAAGACGTCATAGAGAATTTTATTATGAAATATCAAAGACCTCAAGAAGCACCTAGAATACTTGAATTCAGACCTTATTCTTCCTTTTTATCTAAGACCATCGAGAGCATGAGGAGTCAGGAGTACCAAAAGTTAAAGGATGTCATCAAAGCACATAATGACACATTCTACAATATATATGAGGACTATGTGAAAAAGAATGTATGCAATATTTTAATAATCGATAGAATTTGTAAACTATAGAGGAGTAAGAATTAACTCATTTGATTAGTCGTAACAGTGTGTAGGCTATATACAAGATTATGTAAATTCACATTAATTGTGTATGGAATGCTAATGAGATTTAAAATAATGAGACCATTGTAGGTCTACTTAGATAAAGCACTTAGAATAGATTGCTTTGGTGCTAGGCTTTGGAGATATAGGCAAACAAAAGTAACTACAAGGTGCAATCAAATGATGCTTATGAATAACTAATTAAATGGAGTCAGAAGATAATAAATTTAGTACTTTTAATGTCCTATATAGAGTGTATAGAGTTTTTGGATGCTTCCCCATTAAGAAAGCTAATCACTGTTAGTTCGTTGATTCACATTGCAGTTTAGAATAAGAAACACTTTTTGATGTATAACATCAAGGATAACAAAGTCTTGCAGACAGCAGATTTCATAGAAGCCTCTGTTGTCCAAGCTGTATATGATGCCTTGGTTGAGGAAATAAAGGAAGTCACAACTTAGGAAGAGAGAATAAGAAAGTACATATTTGGTTGTAATGAAGATAAAAAATTAATATCCTGACTTAATTATCAAAGATCTGCTTCACTTTGTTGTAGTTCAACCCAGTAAGTGTAATTAAAATCTATGCAGAGAACTATTTGAAGTAGTTATCCGTGGCTCAAGATGCTACTGAGAATTTAATGTTTTAGATTGAGAGTTTTGAGTAATTTTGAAATAAAGTCATATTCTATAAAAATACATATAAATAAATAAATATCAAAATATAATTTAGACTAATAAACTGGGGAGACAATTCATTGATTTATAATATCTGGATCGTACAAAAATCTGAACTAATAAAAATCTCTGGATAATTGTTCCATCCTTTATGAAATTTTCTTTATGAGCTTTATTCCGGCTCGTTCGCTGGTTATTCCCAAGAATTATACTAAAAGTTAACCTGAAAAATATGAATTAAAAATTAGAATTTCCACTAATTGATAGCCTTCTCACATAGTTATAATTAGGACTTCAATTGTTATGAAGTTGAGTAATTCTGTTTCAAATATAATTTTTGATAGAATCCAGCCCTGATTACTATTCCTAAGCTAACAACCTTCTAACTGATAAAAGAATTTTGATTTTTGTTATCTCTAATTACAAAACATAGTTAGACGATTTAAATTAATATCTCTCATCCAAAGAAATTATTGTCACTTATACTTACTAGAAGTCAAGGAGGGTGTGTTCACAAAAATATCATCACTTCAAGAAACTTAAACTATGAATTTGAATATATATTTTAAAAATATGTTAAATCAAGATTAAATAGTTTAAAAATTACAAGGATATCAAAATAAACTAATGATTTTACTGAACAGAAATGACATCTAATTAGATCTTAATGATTATTAGACAGGAATGAAAATTATGTTATACTTTGAACATTTATTTGTAAATATAGTAAATGATAATATTACAAGAAACGATGTCTCTAATAGATCATTAAATCTAGTTTATAAAAGAAGCCTTTTGAAAATAGAAACTTCTAGATGATTAAATATATTTCATATATATATTCTTCTGTTGTTGTTATTGTGTATTAAGAATAATATCACCATTCTAATTTATCTAAACCTTTCTCGAACTCAGCTGCACCATCATAGAATTGGGAATACCATTATCTCCATTACAATAATGCTTAGTCAGAATAGGTCTTCAAATTGTATCTGAGTATTTCTGAGAATATTTTGGCATTCCACAATTTGACATCAAATAGAACTTATCTCAATTCTGCATGAAGCAAATAAGCAGAGAACCAATATGGCAAATAACCATTAGTAAATACTGTATGATAGACTTTTTAAGTGAATTTCTCAACAGGTTAAATTGACTATTTAAATAAGACTTCGAATATTGCACTCTTGACATACAATGCAACAGTGGAAGGACCCATTTAGAATCCAGTAGCCCAAATGGCATGGAATTTAAATCTGTTGAATAGAATCACATATCCATCTAGAAGGAGTACATTCAAATAAGGAATCAATTCTTTGTTTGTGAAATATTAATCGAAAAGCTATTTTTGATATTATCTGCATCTGGGAACTGGATGTGTCATTTCTTTTAAGAAATCGGAATCCTTGGCATTCTTGGTTTTCATTTCCCATTTCAAACTCACCAACCAATGGGGTATGATATCCATGGCAGATGCATGAATATAATCGAAATGTCTCATGTCAGCCCCATTCTCTGGTATTTCTTGAATGTGACAATTCACATAGTTGATACTCTCTGCTCTCAGGGTTAAATGATCACTCTCCTCACTTACTACATCGTACCATCTATAACATAGCATTAATAGTTTTACGGCTTGGCCTCCTTCGAATGTAACCAAACATACACTATTCCTTTTACTTCCTTCACCAAGTATGTTTTTATTTTGACTTCCCCCTCTGCAATCTTTTGTATATATTCTCCCTTTTAATTCTTTGTCACTCTTTCTATATCCGGATAACAATAAGTTGTGACTATCTTTGGCTCCAGTTGCTCTGAATTGACACATAAACCACTTTTCCCATCGAAAGTCCATCCGTGGAATGGACATCTTTTTAAGATTATCTTAATATCATTACTCAATGCAAGACCGAAACTTCACCTATCCACCAATACCCAAGTTGGCACCCATGTGAGGACAATAGGCAGCCACAGCATATACTTATTTATCAGTTCCTCTGTAATATGCGATGTGTCTTCCACACAATTTAATTTCTTTTACTTCTCTATTTAATATATTAAATACATTTTACCCTGGTTACAATTCTCCTGATCTGCAAAGACGATACCAACCATTAGGATAAGATGGTGGACACTTTCCTCTTGGTAATTTGTTTTTGATGTTCTTCTCGTCCAATTTCTCAACAATAGTGAAGAATTTGAACTTTTTGTAGTACAGATAATACAATAAGAAGGCTGTTAAAGTCAAAACCATTTCTAATGATAAGATAGCCATTTAGAAATAATAATATTATTTAATTTATTTACATTGATCCAATTATGAATACTATTTTTATATTTATTTTTCAATTCTCATTAGATTATAACTGATAAAAATTAAGACTTATCTTCACATTGCAATTAATCGATATTATCTAATCCCTTCCTGTTGAAATTTAAGAATCTCATCCTATCTTGTTTAAGAAAACTCTAAAATCTCTTCTAGATTGTTTCAATAATGATATGATTTGATCAAATATTCAAATAGGCTATTAATGAATGCAAACTTATCTTAGCCGAAAAGATTCAAATAAGTTAAATTTAGTGATATCTTAAAGAGTTTGATATAGCGATCCAATCTGTTAGGCTTGAAAGGAAACAAATAGATTAAAAAGCACCCAAAGAATTGAATTATAAATCAAAAACGAAACTCTAAATATACCCCTTTTCTGCTCACAGATAATGCTATTTTTGTTTCTTTGTTTTAGGTTTTTAAATAATCATAGTTTATTCTGTTGATTTAGTAATGCGATTTCAGAATGATTTTTATATATTTTTCGAGAATCATGTTTATGGATTAATTTATAAAGTGTAGTACCTTTTGATAATCAATTTTATTAATCATCAAAATATTGTCCTACTTAAACAAATTAGTTTATCACAGAATCAGCACAAAAATAAGAATATTAATCAACTTAATTATATATGGAATTACAACTTATATATTTGTTCGTTGGGATTTAATGTAAGGATAATTAGAATATATTAAAGGATATTCATTATTATAACTTGTATTGATTTTTAAATGCTTTTAACTTATGACAAAATGAATCTTTGTGGTGTTTATTGATTTCCCATCAAAACGTACATAATTTCTTACAATATAATTAAAGTTATTTATTATCAAGTTTTTAGTAGTGCTTTAAATTTCATTGAAAAATAGATATCTAGTTTGATGATGTCTAACAATAACTGTTTCAAATTGATTTTAATTGTATTTAGAAGAACAAAAAATTTAATTTTTGTACTTGAAATATTTAAAAAATGAGACATTCATAATCTATATTTGATTCATTGATATCTTAAAGAAAGAACTTGACATCTTTACTCATCTTATAATTACTGCACTCTATTAAAGCAATATAAGTGTTTACCATTTATACTTAAATATTGCTAATTTTATTAAAGACTTGGAGTGTTTGAACGAATTTAATTCATTTAGCTTGAATTTTGATATAAATCAAAGTGAATGGTTTTCAGAGTCATGATTGATATAATTATATGTTTAACAAATAAACTTATCGAAAGAACCACTCTTTGGTCATTTGATAGATTCCATTCAGAGGGATCTGAGTCCTTGATTATTATACTATTTCTGATTACACGTGGTTGAGAATCATGAATAGAATGGACATTACAATTAAAAACTATCTAAAACTATCTCAAAAATACATAAACTTATCAATCTAAAATATGTTTATTTTGAATACGAATATATACAGATATAGTGAATCAGATATGAGAATTGGATATCCCTAAGATTCCTTTGATTGTAATTTTATTTAAATTGACCGAAGACAGTCCAATTCTTTATTATTGTGGCTTCGAGATTCCAATAACAAATTTGTGTCTTTAAATCTGATTGTTAAATTCATCCTATTTCGGTGATAAAGTATGAGTTTCTAGGTCTGTCTCTAAAATATCCCAATCAGAAAAGGATAACTTAGTCGATTGAACTTCAATTGTAATATTACAATTCATTTTATGATTTTCAGATTATTTAAGAATCTTATATTTATCTAAGTTTAATTTAATAGTACATAGTAATATGTATAATATGTATTATATGTATCTCATTGTTTCATTTTAAAGTACTTGATTAATCATATTAGACCTTTTTATCTATAATTTACTACATTTTAAAGAAGAATAACGAATAATATGATTTGAAAATGAGTGTAATATTTTAAATATATAATTTAACACTAAAATTAATTTTATTAATAATATGCTTAATTATTTTTAAATCATTACTATATCATATTATTAGAATATATCTTCTTACTTTCATACACATATGTAAATTATGATAGAAATACCGAACCATAAGAAAACCAAAACTAAGTCAAAATTTTAAAAACTAAAATAAATATGTAAAATTATTCAAATTTCCTTATTTATTTATAAATTTATTATGAATTAGTAATCTTAATGAGATAAATAAAATTATTAATTAATGGGAACCAACAACTCTAAGGAAACAAGTAAGCTAATTTTTAACCAAATAGAAAAACCACCAATTCGTAATGAGGATAAGAGGATAGAAAAAATAATGGATTAAATGTCATTTAATTAAAAAGCTTAATCAAAAAGGACTGAGTAGAAAACACTTCCTATTGTCTACTAATATAAAATCTAATCTCAATTTGCTTAATAATGTATGAATTTCAAAAAGTATATTTAGAGAATGATATTTACTTAGAAAATGATCTCCAATTTTTAAAATATGACCCTGACAATTAAGAATGCGGAAATCTAAATTAATCAACCTTCAATCAATAGTCGGCCTTTAAGGATTAAGGATAGAATTCATTAAACGAAGAATAATCCCAAAGTTTAGATAATAAAACCATCGATAAAGTTATAGATGTTCACGAATGCAGAAGCAAATTAAGAATAATACCACTTGTCATCGAAGATCAATAGCATCCAATTGTAATTTAAATTTCGGATGATTTAAAAATTGAATTGAATCAGCATCACCCTACAGCTCAAGAGGCTATTCTCTATTAAGACAAAGAGATCCAGATTAGTAATTTAAGAATAGCTGGAATATGGAGATATCTTGGTCCTTATGAGGGTTTCCTAAAGAACAAATAACCATATTAACTATTTGACTAATCGATCTATATTGGTGATTGGTTCAAAAAGAAGAGGGAAGGATTTGGTTTATTAATAAATGAAAATTACCTTTATGAAGGATAATGGCTGGAGGATAAATATCATGGGAATGGAAGGATAATTTATGGAAATAGCAATGCCTATATAGGATAATTCAAACAAGGATTATATCATGGGGAAGGCTTTTATATTTAAAATATTGATTAAGCTAATACCATATATGAAGGAGAGTGGTTGTCAGGTTTAAAGAATGGAATGGGTAAGGAATAAATGCCTGATGGCACCATTTTTATAGGATAATTTAAAGACAATGAGAGACATGGTCATGGAAAATTATTTAATATAAGAGATTCATATGTTTTTGAAGGACAATGGATTGGAGGTATCACAGTAGAAAAAGGAATTTTGATATGGCAGGACGGGAAAAGATTTGAAGGAGGATGGTAGAATAATATGATGAATGGTTAAGGCGTGTTTATTTGGCCAGGAGGCAAAAAGTATGTAGGACATTATGTAAATAACCTAAGAGATGGTTATGGAGAGTATTATTATAAGGATGGTAAGATTTATAAGGGGATGTGGAAGGCAGGATTAATGGATGGATAAGGGATTATTATATATCCTAACAATACTCATGAAAGGGGAATCTGGAAGTAAGGTAAGAGGGTTGATTTATAGGGGAAGAAGAAGCATAAACAAAAAGTAGTTTGAGCAATTTTGATTTATAAATAATTTTTCTTTACAAATCTTTCACTAAAAGCTCATAAAAAAGAAGGGGAGATTGATTATATTAATTAAACTATTCATAAATTTAGATAATATTTTATTGAATGTTATGTATTTTGATGATAATATTGACGAATTGAACATTAAGCAATAATGAATTAATTATTATTGTTTTGCTTATAAAATTCTATTATAATTTTCAATCAATTTAACTTTGAGATTGGCCAGATAAGCATCATTTATTTTCTCTATTTCTTATTTGAGATTACTAAGAATAATAATTTTAGAAATTTTCCTATTTTATAGAGATATGCCTAGTCTCATTGGCTATCATTATAATCAATAGCTTCACAGTGCAGAGAATTGTCCTTAATGAGTAACCATCCTTTTTCGGCGAAAATTTCTTTCAAACTTCGAAAACTCTAAATCTTTGAGTTCCATATAATCCATTAATATAATTCAAATTTTAATTAATATGATGCCTAACAACTAGTACTAAAGTCCATAAAGTTCTTAATTGCCTGTACAAAGTTACAAGTTCTTGGAAGTTGTGCGAGAAGAGGAGGCTGAAGATGAGAAACCAACCCATATATTTAGCGAGAATCTAACGGAAAGCCAAACAAGTATTTAGAGATTGCATATTCTTTTAAGGAATGCTTACTGCTTACACAACCCCAATGAAGAACATAAAACGGAATGGAGGCAATTCGTCATCTTCTGGAAGGAGTCCCTTTTAAGAACTCTAAAAGTCAAGTTCCAATTAGGTATTTCAAATTACAAAATGTTTAGAAAATATTAACCACTGTAACACCGAACAAGAATTCAGTTTTGAAGTTCAGATGACATTTTTTTTTAATTTGCATTTCCCCTTATAAAAATGCATTTTTGTAATAATGACTCCTTTCTCCTTATATCTATTAATAATATAAACTTTTTCATTTAATAATGTTTAATTTAGCTTTCAAGAGGATACCATTGAAATTACAAAGTATCTGAATATGGAAGAAATGTTGACTCATGGAGTATGTAAAATTTATCATCAAATACAAGTTATCTTAACAAAAATTGATTTATTCATCACTTAGAGGCTTGTGATTGCCAAAAAATCTTTAATAGGGATTTAGAAGGCCAAGTTATCTAACATTACTATATTTGCCGTTTTCTTTATTTTGATTTATTGAGATATTCTACCTCAATATATCAGCCTACCTATTGGATTTTGCCTTTCAAGCGTCACAATGTCACAATGTTTTCGCCTTAAATTCTAATTATATTATATTCTTATTAGATAATTTATTAGTAAGATCATTCTTTTTTACCAAATACCATATACAATTCTATTTAAGGATTACTATGTTTATTACTTGTTTTCAAGAGGGCTGAAAATTGTAATAATCAAAGACGATCCTATATAAAAATTATTAATAGTCCATAGAGAGAAAGTTAGAAATAAATTAAAAAATTCACTTTTTGAAAATGATATTGTCAATATTCAGTTTTTTTATGTGGATCATAGTATTTGCTTTCTTCCTAAATTTTCTATAATTATTATTATAATAAAAATGTCTCCTGTAATAAAGCCTATAAATATTTCTCTTTAATTTCTTCATCATGTTTGTCTTATGTAAGGTACTTCAATTTTGCCCCGTAAATAATGGAATTTTTGTCAAACTTCTTGATCATTTTGTCAGCATCAAACCCTTCTTTTTTTGTTTATCTGGTTTTAAAGGTTTCCTTATACATTCCAACTTCCTATTCTAAGAGTTTCTTTTCCTCGATCAAATTTTGTATTTATCTAATGTATAAAAGTGTATTACCTGTCCTTAAGTGAATTGTCTGGTTTTAGTTTATTTTTCTGGGTTAACTCATTGGCTGTTTTAATTTTACTTACATTGACTAGAGTTGATTTTTAGACAAGTATCTAATCATTCAAACAATCATGTCCTTCGTATTTTTTGGGTACAACTACCGAACTCTGTTATAGATTAGGCTTTTTGGTTTATATTTGAGTTTAGAGTTCTGCATTCTATTTTTTCAATGCATCAACCAAAAATTCTAGTTCTCTAATGTATTCGATTCTGACTGCAGAACTACCAAAGGCACTCTCATCAACGAACAAATTGCTCAGTTTTTAATTGGTTCTAAGGATTATTGAACATGGTATTTACGGATATTTTGCAAAATCTGATGGTTTTTGTCCCAATTCTATTTTTTTGATTTGTGAGTTAGCCATCTTTTCGATTCCTGATTAGGGTCTTTTTTTGGCTTCGAAGTCATATACTCCTAATGTGGTTTTTAATGATTTGTTTTGTGATTCCAGTATTCTTAGTTCATTAAGAATAATTTAGATGAATACCTTCCTTTAAGTTTTTAATGTATAGATTGGATAGTGCCACTGGGTCCTAAGCTTATTTGATTTCATCTAACCAATTAATAGGTTTTTTAGATTATGGATGTTTATTCATAAATAAAAAATAAATGGATAATTATTTCACAATAATCAGTTTGCTTGGTTTGAGAAATCAGAATTTACCACCATTCAGGTAACTGCTCTTAGATAATCATTTAGAGAAGCTCGTTTAAAGCGTTATAAATCAATAAAGAAAATGGTGGAATTGATTGAAACAGCAGGATGGACTCAACCAAAGGTACCATTTAATGCCTTCTGTCTCAGTTCATAAGACCGTATGCAATACAATATGATTGATTAGCTGAATGGGAAGATGACATGACTTATCCTGTAATCGAATATAATAAGTTTGGATACTAAGCATTGGCATTTGGAATGAATTTGGTATGTAAATCGAATAATGAAAAGTTCCTCTATGCTTACAATTACAATGTGATAACACAAAACATTAGATTCAGAACATTTAGATACCTCTTCCCAGTTGTATAATGTGTGATCTTTAGCAGAATATATTTCGAATACAAATCAGAACTCACTAAAGTGAACTTGTTTGATGAGTATGTTCAATTGAGAGCATAAGAATTGGTAAAAGAAAATGAATTTTTATTGGAACATGAAGGTTAAAACTATAGAATTTAATGTAGACATCAAAAGATTTGTATGGTGGTATGAGGATTACAAAGAAACCTTATGCAGAGTTCACAGACAAGCAAATGATCATGCAGCCACAGACTTCAAAGACTCAGAACTAATCTTACAAGATTTCATTCGAAGATACACTAATCCAAACTCAGCTAGACCGCTCAACTATCAAGAGAAGGGAGTCTTGTTCTGAAATAACCATTTATCCATATATCATTACAATAGAAAAATTTTAATTACTCCATCAAAATTAATGCAAACAACATAATTCTAATACTCTGCTACATTTGCAACTCCATCTTATGACACGCTTTGAATGTTCTTAACTTATAACACTTTCTCCTTCTCTTATGCCCTCACAAATAAACTATTTTCTTGGTTTAATTAATTTAAATCAACATCTGTTATTGAAATCGTACCATCATAGCATCCGCATATTATCCTGAACTCTGTTGCACTTATTGAACTAAACACTCCTCTAGAAATAAATGAGTTATGACCCAGCAATCGTATCCATGACACTTTTGTATTGAAGTTTATCACGTAAGCAGAATCATCCTAGGCTCCTAAACAAACCTATTTAACTAGCTCTACTTACACTGCTGAAATTTGGATTAAACGAAAATGAACAAATCCCACAATATTCAGTTTTAAATGAAAATAATGGTTTATTAGTTATAGCATCTAGCAATCTAAAATATCCATCTAATCCACTTATCGCTAAACACAACCCCTTCTCCATTCGTTGCTCAGGATTGTTTAGATGTTCCAAAGGACTAAAAGGTAATATCTCAATATCATTAATTGACATGGATTAGAATCTAAATAAAAAAAGAGGGTTCATCTTTTGCTAACAGTACTAAAAATTCGAAAATTCCCCATAATTTAAATAGTGATAATGAAAATTATGTGCTGATTCAAATTACTTTAGTGTTTTCTAACTTACTTATATAGAATTATTATATTACCTATAGATTTATGATATATGAATGACAATTGCATTACTTTTTCATATTCGTTCGAAAATTTGAACATTTAAAGATCTTGATGATAAATGCAAACGACTCCTTCTAAAAAAAGAGTAACAAAATATTTTTGGAAAATATGAATTTTCAAGGGTCTCTTCTTGATAATAGATTCTTAATTCTGCCGATTGAATTCTTTAATTATTCGCTATGTGGATATCTATTTTTAAATTATTCTGCCATCCAAATAGCCTCCAATTAGGTTATCTGCATCTAATAATCTGAAACATGATAAATATTGATTTGGTTATTCTTCATGCTATTTATTCTAAACAGCTTTGGTGCCTGATAATCCAATATATGCAAACATTCTTGGAATCTTCAACGCCATTAGAGTGTCAGATTTTTAAGCTTTGATAATAAATGGAAGAGTAAATACTTATAAAATCTACTTAAATAGTCTCAGGATCTGTAAATGGCTCCTTACTATTAATTGAACACACTATGTATAATTTATTTAATTTTGGTGATTTGACATCTAAAGTAATTGAATCATCTATAATTTTTGATTAATCCATTATTGATAAATGTATAATAATAATATTATTGCAATTAACCTATCAATCAATAAAAAAATGCTATTCTAATAATTTGATCAGGTTTTTTAAAGATAAAAACACTTTAAGATAATCTTTATAATTATAATGCAAACTTAAATATTTATTTGATGAAATCACAATTATAGATTCTCTAATCTGTTGATGCAATCTATTCCGGATTCAAAATACACTTTCTCGCATTCTAAGTCCTTTTGCTTGATCAATTTTTCTAAGCCATATCCTTTCCTAACAAAAATGATATCCTCCTTTCTCAATATTGTTCCTGGACAGTAATCATTCTTGCCGTCTCCAAAATAACACACTTTTTCATAGTTATTAAATTAATAATTATCTAAAAGGATAGTTTTTTTGCACATGTTTCTAGGGCAGGTTGACTCGCATTCATTCTTGTGATATGGGAAGATTGATATTTCCATATCATCAATAATTTACACTGGATTAGTAAAAATTTTATCAAAAACATCCTTAAGATCTTGTTTTTCTAAAATAGAATCAATGAAAAATGTATTAGAATCACTTGCAATTATGCATTCAATTTAGTCTTTATTTTTTCTAATGTTAATAATAATACATGGGTACCTAATGAAATTCATCAATTCTCTAAATCCTTAGGTTAACTCCATTTCTTGCAAACAAGTTTTAACTTATTAAACGCTAATGTCGTTGTGATAATAAAATTGTAAGACTTTTCTCATCACTTTATTCCAATGTTTTTCTTTCTCAAATTATGGAGGCAAGCTTTTATGACCTTCTGGGAGCAATTTCCAAATGTAGGTGTCTGTATTGTCATCAACAATGGTATTGTCGAAATCAAAAATGAAGAGAAATCTTTTCTTTAACATAAATAATAATAATTCAAGTTTCAACATTTGCCTTGTATTAAAACAGATTTATCGAATTTGATCCCATTTTGCAAGCCTGTTTAAAACTCAGGAGAATTCGGTGATATTGTTTGAATTTAAACTAATATTGATTGAATTATCTCCTGATGTCCATACCTTTTATATTTAAGAATAAAGAGAAAATTTCCAAAATATAAGTAATTTCTCTAATAATTGATAATAATAAGTAGATTTAACTAATTTAATTACATCATATTCTTAAGTATCAATATTATTGATCTGTATTCGATAATGTTAATTATTCAGAACAACAACATTCTCTTTCTTTATTTGGTTAATTAAAATATCAAATACAGCTAATTCGATTTCCTCAATTCATTCTTTATGCGTCTTCATTATTCAATTATATATTTGATAGACTTGATTTAGCTTGAACTGTGTCCGCTTATAAATATTATATTATAAATTTATTTATTCATACAAAATGTCAGAGCATTCACACTTGATGGATGAGAATGTTGTGTAATCATAAATAAATTTCAAATACAAAACTAAATTGAATGGAATGTATAAAATTATGAGAATGTATTATAAGATCAGAACCAAGTGAATTTTATTGTTTTACCTGCAATCAACCAAGAATATCGAGAATAGAATATACATATAGCAAGGCAACATTTATATGGTGTTGTATATTATGCTTTTGCACAATCATTTTGGGTCTATTGCCATTTTGCATGTAGAAATGTTCTTCGAAAACGCATTATTGTCCTGCTTGTGATAAGATAGTTGGACACACAGATGGAGAACTTTGTTGATAAATAAATATATTCTAAGAATCATTTCTTCTCAAAAATTGAAATATCAAAGTTTTCAATATCCTATTTTAGCAATTCCTTTCTGTTAATATTCTTTTCCTTTGCTCTCTTCTTCAACCCCCTCAAATATTACCCTTTAATGAATCTGACATGATTGGGATTGACATCACCCATGAATTTGGCAATCTTCTTATTATTAACTACAATTTCAAAATATTTGTACAGTCCTTCCAAGAATTATTTATATTATTCTTCCTTCCATTCCTCCCTATTATCGCTATGATATATGTAGGATCTAAGAACTATAAAAATAAGACGTACCTCTTCTACTGAGTTTTGGGAGCATTGATATAATTTAGATATTCGTCGATAGCTGAATTGACTTATTCCAAAGAGGATTTCAATCCTAAAATGCCATCCTTATTGGTTTTGAGAACTCCAAAGTATTCCTTGAAATGCTCCTTCTTAGAAGTGTATACAATTTCAATGTAGTTGTTGTAGACTCTGAGTAGGTCGTCATATTAATCAAAAGGAATATCATAATACAATTCTAATTGTGCAAGTACATTGAAATAGTAGTAATCATTCTACATATCAGTTTTGTTCCATTTTTAATAAGAATTGTGAGATTTATCATTCTTTTCTTCCTCCTCGTAATCCAATTGATTGATTTTCTGATCCTCAAAATTGTAATCAATTCCTAAGATTTATTTCGCAAATCTAAATGATAGGATGAGAATGTTTCTGATTAAGAGTAATTCCTTTCTATAACTAGCAGGAGTGCTTGAGAAATAATTCTTTAAACTGATGTTTTGATTTTTGCAATACTACTCAAAATCTGTCATCAATTTATCCTTAGATTAATCCAGATACTTCTAAAATAACTTCATGGATGTCTTCGATTCAGCATTATCATCTAAAATGATGTTCTTTTTCTGTTTATTCTACTTATAATTCTCCTGATCACTTAGACACAAATACAACACCAAATTCTGAATTCTCAAATGCTATCTTGTGAATTCACAATTCTCTCCAAAGATGAATCTGTATATGTAGGGCAGAATCACCAAATCAATTTTATAATAACAATAAACTTGATTTGGGACAAATATGGTTCTTCGCTCATCAACATCCAATCTCTACAATTCCTTAATCATCACTCTTCTGTCTCTATAGGAAACTTAATCGGTCTTAGCTGATCTGGTCTCTTTATTTTGAAAGTAAGTGACTCTGCTCATCAGATCAACAGGTTAATTCTTCACATGATCGACTTGCTATTGCAATTTCAATTGATATTTTCTCTGCTTGCATTCTACAAGAGATTGGATGATTTCATTGTATGAGTCTATGGCCTATAACTGTTTGTTTTGAGAGCTAAATTTTAGGATGATATTTGTTACTTGGCTTGATCATACTCTGAGATCAAGGCTATCACTTCTGGAATCTTCAAGAATTCGCTTTTGTAATCCACCTTTGAAAAGTCCAAGGATGCCAAATATTTTCTTAGGGCATGAACATCTTGAAGTATTTCAGATAATGATTTCTTGCCTCCACTCTTTTTCACTTATTCCTAACTGCAATTCGGTTCCAGAGTGTGCAACAACTTAAAACGCAATTGCACCTCGTTCCAAGCCTCACTTCCATGAATCCAAAACTTAGAATTGAGTCTCATTTCCCTGATTATATAGCTTGTCAATTCCTTAATGGTCTTGCTTCTCTGCGGCTGGATTGCTAACTCTAGTAAGTAGGTTTGCAGTTCAAACTCAATAAGTGAGCAAAATTCTTTATGAGATATCTTATGCATAATGTGAGAAGCAAGATGAGGAAGGTAATTGATGTTTAGGTAGGTGTATGGACCCAATTTGGCTTCTTCAGGAGTGAAGATGTGAAGATCAAGAGCTTTCTCATCCATGCTGAATTTATCCATTTAATAATTTTAATGTATATATATGTACTAGATAACTTCACAATGCCTTAATTTTATCTTCTACAAATTATTTTTCATTCTCGCTGACCTCAATTGCAAAGTCCTTTACTGCTACAGATGAGCATTTTCTTGATTTGATCTTCTTTGTCTTAGTAAGGAACTTTGAAATGCCAATCCATTCTCCAAGTAAAGCACCCCCTTCTCCACCTTCCAAACTGGAATTTGGAATTGTTTTGCCAAAGCAATAACCAATTTCTTGTATGTGTCCTCTGAGCAATCATCAGCTAACACTATGAATTTGGCCTACACTCCTTCAATTACAATACTTATTTGCTTTCAATTGCCTTCGCAGACTTCATGGACTCCCTTGGCCAATTGTCCTCTGTGTAATGATGTTTATACAACTCTTTTTAAGGTGGTGAGTTCCTCTGATAATTGTTCGACTTCTGCCATAATAAAATAATTTAAATCTTATTTAAATTAAATAACATACAAAAACTCAATAACCTATTCTTTCCACACAATTAAACTCACTTGACTAGTCATTTTTATTGTCAATCTTAACAATTACGGCCCCAATGCATATGCTATATAATTTATTAATGAAGTTATTTACAAATAACATTATTCTAGGAGTATTAGAATTTATTTAAAGCTTAATTAAATATTTCTCAATTCATTGAGAACTCAGCATCTACAGTAATGATTGTATTGATTAAACCAAAAACTGTTTACTTTCTTCTGTCACAATCTCCTTTTAACTTGAATATTATCACTATGAAATATAGAATTATAATGAATGAATAAATGTAATTTTACTACATGAGATCCAAAATTCATTCATTATGTCATTTATTCGATATTAATTATAAATCTATTTGGATAATGCTGATATTTCTATTTATTAAATAAATTATTATATAAATGGGCGTTGCTTGTTCAGGAAGTAAGAGAAATGAACAATTACTGTAAGTATTATTGAAGAGAGTAGATTACATGTTGACGTGTACATATGGAAGGAGAAGGAAAAGAAATACCATCTCTATGACTACTCCAGTCATGAATCGCATTATTAGCAATTGTAGTTGATCTAGGACACAAAATTGTGCAAATATGGAGAAAACATTTTAGCTGTTCAACCAAATGTTACATAACATAAATTTAATGATAGTAAACAATAGAAGGAGCACAAGAGTTGTTTGTAATCAAGGAGAAAGTCTTGAGACCCATCACAGAAATATGGTCAATAATTAGGAATGACTAAGTGAATGGAGTTCCAGTAACGAATGTATATATAATTTTGTATGGAAGAGAGTCTAGCTAATTCCTGGGTAAACCATAAGACTGGGAAGAGTAAAAATCATATTGTGGGAGGCTTGTTTTAACCAGGCTATGGCCACGGAGGAAAGCGAAAAAGAGAAGGACGAAGATGCCAATGGGTTGGATGACAGTGAAAACAGCAATGCCGAAAACTCATGTCGAATCTGTATGAGTAAAGTAGGAACTCTCTCTAATCCATTAATAAATCCCTGCCAATGTAACTAGTATTACCTAAACATATTGCAGGTTCTGGATCTGTCAAATACATACATATTAAATGTCTTTAATAATGGATACACAATAAATTCAAGATTAGAGAACTCAACAATATTGTCCTTTATTTTTGGTCCAATCTCATTTGTGAGATTTGCAAGGAATAATATAAATGTAAGACATTACATTCATACATAAATAGTGGAATACAAGTTTTAGAATAGAAAATATCATCTAATAGACATTCCCAGACCAAAAGAGGCTTATTTTATATTTTGGATCAGCCACATTGACAAAAACAAAGAGAAAGGATTGTATGTGATAAACTTGAATGGAAGAAGCAACATTAAGATAGGAAGAGTATAGGAGAATGATATTAAGTTGCAGGATATCAGTGTCTCCAGAAATCATGCACTCATTACATTTAATAGAGAGGATGAATCAATTTACTTAGAGGATTTAGGCAGCAAATTCGGCACTCTTTTATAAATTGATCAATTGAAATTAGATTGCAAATCGATTATCTAAGTTGCAAATTCGGTGTTTATTTTTGATTACTTGAGAAAGAATCAAAAACATTATGAATTGCCGAGTTTCTACAAAGTAGTCGAAAAGGAAACGCAATAGCAGCCTTAAGTAAGCATATACAATTTTAATAAATTTAGGATTGCGTTGAAGATGACGTTTTGGTCAATGTGGATAATAACAAGTATTTGAGTGGAGATAATGAAGCCTCTTGATTTTACTGAACCAATGAAACTATATTAATATTTTAATTCATTTAATATTGAATGGCGTACTTTTTTATTATGATTTATATTTTTTAATAAGATTGTCTTATAAAGTTGCCAAATATTCAATATATGTTCAATCTTATTCTATTAGACTTAATTGACATATGCTCTCCATAACTTCAGAAATGTTGGAGTCAATAAATTGAAAACGTTTGGCCATTAGCTAAATTAAGAGTATAACTTCGAAAATAAAAGAATTGATTAAAACCTATGAGGTAAATTATTTTAATATTGTAGATTAGGTATCATAAGTTTGATATAATTTAGAACAGTGTATTTTTTAAATATTTTTGTTTACTTAATAATGATAAAAGTGATAAAAAACCTTATACTATTTTTACTATTTCTTTTTTGTTGCTTCTGAAGAAACTATTTGTAATATTAGTAAAATTATTCATAGCTCTTAGATAATGAAATGTTCAATTTGACTAACATTCAACAAGAATGTTTTATGTTTGTTGATAGTTATACTTAAAATGAAATTAGATATTTTAAATTGGTGCAAATTAAGAATTTTAAATTACTTGGAGATTAACTAATAAAATTATAATGAACTTTAGAATTTAAAAATAGTAATCAAATTTTAAAAAAAAGTAAAATTTTTTTAAGGTTGAGGTAACAAAAATTAGAATTGAAAACCACAATAATGATATATCATATATCTGCTATTAAGTATGTTTACGATATTATGAAATTTTCGAATTGAATATAAATCTTTAAAAAGCAAAATTCAGTCTAATAACTTGACATTCACACAGTCATGCATTCTTAATATATAATTCCCTCACTTTAATTACAGAGGCACCCTTCAGACTATTTGGTCTTTGTTAATTTTAGGGGTGGCATCACTTATCATATTAGAGTTTGATACCTCTGACCTAATTGCTCTTGGTCTAAGAAGCCATAACCTCATAGAATTTAAAATGAAAAAAGTAATCAGTATTATTCCTGTAAGAGATATAAGTAAATATATTTGTAAATTGCTTTAAAATTTAAATATAAATCGATAAATATACACATAAATAGAGACTTTGTTATGATAAATAAAAGGCCAGATAAGAAATGGTTGTCTTCATGCAATCATCTCTTTAAATACACACTGCTGAGAGAGACTGTAATATTTATATAAGTCTACTAATAATTAAAGTATATATTATCAATTCTATCATAATCTCCTTGTATTCAAACTCTTAATTCTATATTCAGTTTTAATTCGCTATTGACTTCGAATTGTTGGATTTAAGGGTTATTGGCTCCTATTTTCTTTGGTGTTTTTTGTTGGCAAAATAACCTATTTGTGTTTTCTATGGTTTGTCCTAACTCTGAAATAGTCCCAAAATCTCATATAATTCAAATCATCATTAATATTATATTACTAAGTATAATCCTTGAGATTCTCAAGAGGCAAGATCTTCTTATATTTTAGATAATGAAGTTTCAACTTATTGATTAATTTTTATGTTTCCAATGCCAACTATTCCTCTGAGATCTACTCCTTTTTTTTTGGGTAAGTCTCAAAGCGTATTTTGTAGAGCATTTGCAATTCATCTGTTGGTGATAAATATGAGAATTCTCCTAGATGAACTCCCTTCAATAGTATTTCATCATCATTCCAAATGTTATGTTCTGATGCATCTGAACTTGAGTCCGAAGAGGAACTGCTGTCTTATTTGATCTCAACTGCAGGCTTTTAGAATCTCGACTTTCTAGATGAAACCTTCTGATTTTGTGGAATTTTCAAAGTATCTGGAGTATTAGGCTCGCTGACCTCTTTCAAAGGTTAAAGAGGCTGTTAAATATATATTGGTTATTTAAATTTAATTTCTGACTTTGTTGAAGTGCTATCGGAATCATTAGATGAAGTTGATTGTTTGCGACTATTAGATGTTCTAATAATAACAGTCCTATGTAGGTTTTTTATCATTTCGATAATAAAAATTTAATATTAAAAATTAATTTATTGTGGATGCTACTTTTGTTTATCATCATTATCACTGTTTAAATTTAATTCAATTTATAAATGACTATGCCATTAATCAAACTAATCCTCCTGAATTTAACTTGTTTCTAATGACTGTACTTAATTCAGCAGAATTAATAAACTCTTTGCCATTTCTTGTGGTTTGGAGTTAATTTGATATTGCGCCTTAAGTTTATTGTATATTTAGATCATTTATGCTTAAGCATCCTAATCCATAAAGAATCCTTGTAGTTTTGTAAATCTTATTCAGTCTCTTGACTCGATTTTAATTTATCTTAATACTAATGTTAGTTTAATCAATTCTTGGTAATAGGATAGCCTCGATAAAGTCTTTTTAAGTGAAAATATTGATTTCTGTTTATCCAATATTGATGTCTAAGTTTTCTTAGGTCACTTGATGTAAATTAGTTGATCAAGCGAAATCATCTTAATTCATTTTCTAAGTCGCCTATTGCTGTTATCAAATCATCTAGATTTTCATTACTCTGATACCAAAAGGCCTTCTCATTTCAGCATGTGTTTAAGCCATTTCATTATATATTTTCCTAAATAGCTTTAAAATAACTCATCAAGATTTCTGTGCTCACTTACACCATATTTGAGTGAATTGAATAGTATATCGATAAAGCTATATCAAAGCTAATTGTTTTAGCATAAACCATTTATAATAATAATGTAATCCGTTTTAATATTTTATATCAAATATTTTGACTATTTTGATCAATTATGATCACTTGAATCAACCAATTATGCACAAACAATAAAATTTACATCAATATATTCTCACATATGGCATTAGAAGGAAATAACTTCTTAAGTAAAATTACAACTTGAGTAAGGGAGACAAATTTATATTTATTTATATATCTAAGTAGATTTATATTATTTTTGTTTTGAATGATTATTGTTGTTCATTTAGTATATTTCTTAAATCCATCAGTATACTGAGATTATCCTAAATTGAAATCCATGGGTTCGTCTACTCCCACATAGATCTTATTCATTGCTTGATTAATTGGGGATGGTGGGATATTAAAATAGACTTACGGAGGCACAATGAATTGCACACTAGGTTATAAGACCTTACTATTATTCAATGAATCAATCTAAGTAAATAAGAAATGGACTTACTCTGTCTTTGTTGAAAAACTTATTGTATTAATCACTTAGAAAATTATGGGGTTTACTATTGTTATTACCATTTAGTAAGCTATCCATTTTCATTAATTTGATTTGATTTGAAGAGGTAAACATTGATAGTTATTATTTAAAATCCTACTAATCGGGGGAATTTGACTAATCGTCTAATTGATTACCGCATTAATAAAGATCATCGAAATTTCTAGCTTACTGATGATCAATGATATCATTGAAAGCAATCTCATCATTTGTTTTCTTGCTTTTAGGTTACATTTTATTTTTTGATTGTTCAAATTCCTCTTATTTTGGCTCAATTTTGACAATTTTCCTGGATTCTTATTGAATTTGTTTTTCTTGATTCTCTAAAACCTTGTTTCTCAATCTCATTTGTTATTGACCCTTCTGATATTATTGATTTTGCTAAATAAGTTAGGATTATTAGATAAATAAATGTTATTAATTTAAATGTTCCTATGCTCTTGTCCTTTTCTATTCTATACTTAACTCACTTTCTGCTTCTGATTATGATTCATTATCTTTCTTTTTTTAGAATCCAGGATACTAAATATAGGTAATAGAAATACATCCTATTTTGTGAAAATCTTTTTGTGATTTGATTATATCAATTCCATTTCGGTATTCTCGTTTGACATAAATTAATAGACATTGCCACCTAAAAATAATTTATGTTTTATTTTACTTAAATCCGTAAAACACAAAAGCATTTTGATATTGCACAATACTGATAATTCGCAAGCCTTTTTCAACAATCCATTTTTTCTTTTGTTAAAAGTTATCTAAAATATAATTATAAGTTTATAAATTATATAATGCTTCTAAAAATAGTAGAACAAGCATTTAATTAAATAAAATTACATTTCTAATACGATCATCTTTTATATACTGAATGTCAATTTTATTTCTTCCCATTTTTATAATTAATTATTTAATATTTAATAAATAATGAATATTATTTTTGGCTAAATAGTAAATTTTCAATTATTTAGTTTAATAACATATCTAACAAACAACATCAGATTTGCAATTAATATATTTAAATATAAGCAATACAATATCAATATTCGAATTTTCATTCTTTTTTAAAATCACAAGCGCTATTGTTGTCTAATCTTTGATTTCTCTATAACACTTAAGATTTAAGCTGCATGCCTTTGAGTCTTCTTTGGCCTCTTCGCCTTCATTAAGACGATATCCAAATTGAAATTGACAAAATAATGTTTCGTGTTGAAGCATTGATCTATATCAAAATCTATTCTTTGTCTTGATTTATAAGAAATTTCTTCCAGTTTAGAATTGCTAGTTTCCTAAATCATGGAAAGTGAAAATTATCTCAAATCCGACCTTGACTATTATTATTAAGTTTTAATCAATTGGGTCATCTGTTAGTCAAGATTTTGATATGAATTAGAATTTCCTTTTCTTAATTGCCTAGATCTTGATGAAATACTGGCATGATGCATTTACATCTATTAAGTCGGCTAACAAATTTATTATGGCTACAATTAAGATGCATAGGAGTTTTAGGATTAGGAACTTTGTTATAAAACCTATCCCAAATTGGATAGATCTTAGGATAGAGCAGATATAGAGCTGCCCCGATGATTTTGAATTTATGATAGTTTGGCAAAGGTTCTTTTGCTTCCCCTGACACGTTTAAATTTGGAAGTCTGTTTACCAAATTCCTTAGATTCAGGGGATATTTGCAGGAATTAAACTTTCTTCTCAAGATTAGGACTTTTTGATTAATTTATTAGATGAATTTAATTGTCCTCCTCATCAGAATCTTGGCTACTTGAGTTTTAGGTGTTGCTTGTTTTCATACTTAATAATGTCTTTATCATATGATTATTCTAATTAATATTGATGACATAGCCTAACGTATCTAAATATTGATCAGTCAAGTCTTCCAGAGGTATGTAATTGTTGTCTACAATTTATTGAAGAGCTGATTCTTGTAAAAGTTATTTGTCGAATCTTGTTTTTTCGTTGAGATATCTTTTATATCTTTTTCTTTTATTATCCTCTGTTATCATGAACCTCTTTCGCAATCTATCAAGGTTAACATGATAGAATACGAAAGGGCATTTCATAAACTGGTGAGTCCATCTGCATATATAGCATACTTCTCCATAGTTTTATTTCTCCTCATTAAATAGCATCTCATCCTTCAACATTTAGTAATTCTCTTCCTCTATTGGATCTTCTTTTATGATTTTAAAAAAATCCTCATATTGGATATAAGCAATTTGACAGAACTTAGTAGTCCTTATGGAATAATCGTATCGAGATTAAATAATGAATTCCTTTTCTCCTATAAATTTACCAGCATTAATGACTGCTAATTGAGTTTCTCTGTTTGCTTAATCGCAAATCAAATTTATTTATCCTTTCTATAAAAAGAACAGCTTATTAGCCAATTCATTCTGAGCCTCCACGATCTCTTCAGGAGCCATCCTCTTCTCTCTCACATAACAACATAGCTTCTTGACACTCTTCTCTGATAGGGTTTTCTTAATAAGTCTGGAACTCATCAAAGTATTGTGATATAAATCAATAGCAACTTATTCCTTTAGCTTCTTATTTAATGCGTTCATCATATTCTCTCCAAACTCAGTATTCTCATCTTGCATTTTCAAGTAATATTCAAAATATTTTCTTACTGACAAAATCAATTGCTTGCTTAATTGCCTCTTTTTTACATAATTGTTTAGTTATGTCATCTTCTATTTGTAAATTTACTCCTTCTCTGTTAACTGTCTCAGTATATTTCCAATACTTGATATAGTGTATCCGAACAACCCACATATCACCATAGCCATCAGGATCACAAATATCCTTTCGAGATCACTTTAAGGAACTATATCCCCATATCCCACTGTCAGGGTGGTGACGGTAGTAAAGTATAGTGAATGGATGTATCTTGAATCCCATTAGGCATCAACGATACCCTTTGAATCCAACCAAGAATAATTCCCAGCATCTTATTGCATCTATCCGATCAAATTCCATAAACAAGCACAGCAATGAGAAACAAACAATAATAAAAAGACCGATTTAAATAATTCCAACACTGTTTACATTGTGATTGAAGGGTTGATTGCTTCCTCTACTGAATTAATCAAAGTCTTTACTTTTGCCAATCTCAGCATTAAAATATACTCAGTGTATTTTATTTTGAAGGAGGATAAGATGAATGGAATTGCGATCAATAGATCCCACCACAATTCATATCTTGCATAATTTCTGATGATATCCTTGTGGCTTTTGTGGATCTACCCCTTACTGTAATAAGCAGTGAAGAAATTTATGATTATATCCACAATAAAGGTCCAAGAGGGTAATGATTCAAAAAATAATTGATACAGTATTCCCTCGTTTTAAAAGCCAAATCCTATTTTCATTGGGATATAAAAAATATTCAAGATTATTTAAATTAATAGAAGTATATCCCACATCACCTTAAAATTAGAATCCGGATCCATGATCGGAATGTGGCTTAAGGCCCATTTTAAATTTTAAATGAGAATTTAAATTTTATTCATATGTTTCTACAATAACACATCTGAATCACTTGCAGCATCTGATATTAATTTAAGAATGTTTGCATTTAGAGATTTAAATTTCACTTAAGTTGAATGATTTTTCATTTGTTTCACAAATTTAGTCATAAAGAACATAATCCTAAGACCCTTGGTACCCCACTTTTTATTTTTTATCTTAATGAGCTAGTCTTGACTGCTCTCTATATCTCTATCGAGAGGCATTTTAGTTTCTCTCTTTTATTCAGTTATTTCGAATATACTTTATGCTAATTTCTACTCAGAACTAATGCTGGGTTCAAAAGAAACATCTTCGCTATTGTTATCACATTATGGTAAAGAGAAATCAGGTCGATTACTTAAAGATCGGCTTAGTACAGGGCTAACTTCAATTTCAAATACGATACACATTTTAGAATCTGTTAGAATAAGAATTTATGATGCTTGACATCCAAATCGAAACTAGTATTAAAATTAATATTGCTAAACTAAATTAATTATATCCAATAATATGATGGCTTATTTACTAACAAAAATGTTGTTTACACTTGAATGAGATCATTACATTCACGATTAATAAATTGTAATAAACAACATTAATAATTATTATTCCAAAAAACAATATCCTAATATCTACAACTTAAGTCTATAAGATTACATTAATTATTTATAACTAATTAATAGTAATTCTGTTTGCTTAATTAAATAAAACATAAATAGATATGGCTCAGTTTCATTAAATTAAATATCAAAATGACGAATGATTGTTTCTTCCAAAGTGATTCATTTCAGTATTTGCATTTAATAAACTTTAAAATTACATCAATTTGAAATTATTAATTTGAACCTCCATTTTTTGTAATTATATTCTGAATTTAATATTTAAAATGCATATGCATATGATTGTTTAATTTATCTTAACTGTATTTAGTATTGTTTAATTGCATAAGACTAGAGCTTTGGAACTTCTGTTTTTTAAGCAATTTTCAATTTAAATAATTCTATTAAGTGATACTTTACAAAGTATTTTATATACACCATATAATTATACAATCATTCTAATTTTCTATATTATTGAAAAATAAAAAAAGAAATGAGTCATGTTATAAATTGCTATTTAAATTATATAATTTTTTTAAAGGAAAAATGGAAAAGGATTTTATGAATTAGATTAAAAACTTATAATAGAATATCAATATACAAGAGGCTATTTCAACTATTACAGAATTTACCATAATCGGAGACAAAAATAATTAGGACCTATTTGAGTATGAATTTCAAGATTTGTTAGCTTGTTCATTGAAGAGAAAGTAATTGATGATTTCCTTAGGATTCTAAAAAAAACAACCGAAGCAGATATTATAATCAAAATATTGTCATCTGTTTCCATGTTATTGTAACTAAAATCAATTTAATATGGTATAGTACTAATATCAATAATAACCTAATTGTTCTCCTTTCCTTACCCTAATTAAACGAATTCATCATATTCGATTATAATTTGAAAAAGGAAGAGATCCCAGATTACTACATCAATTTTATTAAAATTATCTCAAATAAGCTAAATGCTGGTAATATTTAATTATTCTTCAACTCTGTAAGCATATATCATTTAACACTTATAGAAATATTGCTAGTTCCCATTATTGCTTTACTCATAAAACTTCTACAATTCACCAGATAACTTAACACGAATATATACAAGACATTTGCTATTACACATTTTGTAAATTACTTAGGAATCAAAACTAAGTCCAATCCTAGTAAAGTACTTGCAATCTTATCCCTTTTTATAAGTTCTGGCAAATCATATGCAATTCATGAGGGAATTGTTTGCAAAAACCAAAGAAAAACATGATAATTTTGAAGAAGAACTTGGTCTTATGGATCATTTCTTTAAAGATCTCTCTCAAATAGTTCCTCAATTGAAATAAGTAACAGCATCCTTATTTTAAGATTTTAGATAATCTAATAATGCAGATCATAATTTTACCGTAATATAAGGAAATAACAAACATAAAAGATGATTAGAAAACTTAATGTTTTAACACCATCTTGCACTTTTTATAAAATGATATTTATGTTAGTGAAAGATTGTAAGTTGGAATATTTTCATTGATTTTTTTGCACGAAATACCAGAATTTCAAATATTTGAAATAGAATTAAATTATTTACCAGTTTAGGATCCTGAAATAAGAGAAATTTGCCTAAATTTCTTTAAAAATTCCTCAAACATCTAAGAATCACGCTTTATGGTATTGGAAAAATTAAATTATACTTTATCCTTAATTCCATATTTATCAAGTTATTATTCAAAGAGTAATCCAAAATACTTATTATTTGAAGAATTATTGAAAAATGATGTTGTTTCTATTTTATTAATGTCTAACAATCTTTAATATTATAAATAGTAGGTGTATAATTTATATAACATTTATACTTTTTTGGATTGTTTGAATGAAGGTCATTATTTATAGGTTTTGGATATTATGCTTGTTTTGATAATGAACAAACATATCTTTTAGATGACTTCACTCCAAAAAGTGAGTTTTCTTATTAATTTAATTAACATTATGATAAATGAATCAGAGAACAAAATAAATACGATTGAAAATTGCAAGAAAAGTATTTAAATTGTAAAGGAACTAATTTCAAATTATGAGAAGAGATTTATGATTGCATTTATGAGATGCAATGTTTTAAAAAAAATAGAAATTCACTTTATCAATTCAGAATCCCTTTATTATAAATATTTTTTTAAGATTTAATAATGCGTAGAAGATGAGAATATAGAAGTATTTAAAAAAAAACCAGAAACACATTAAATAATCAGATTTTTTATGTTTTTAAATGTGATTTTAGAATAGGGGTGGCTAGCAAATCCATTTAAGAAGATTAATTATAATTTAACCTTTGAACCGAAGTCATTTAAAAATGGATAGATTAAACTAATTAATTGTTAAGCTATAATAGAAAATAACACTTATGAATTAGAAGAATTAGAAGTAATGTATGATTAAGAGCAGAAAAAGGTGATAATTGTAAATTTAATTAATGAAAATGAAAATTACAAGGTTGAATTCGAGGAAGCAGTTGAATAGGAAGAATTTTTAGTAGAATTCTAGATGAGGCAAAAGTATTAAGAATAACACTTTGTTCCAGAAACTCTACGACAATTGAATAAATTATACTTATGAATTTATATAATTTATTATTTTAAATAATAAAATAATTTTTAATTATGATGATTTCAACAATATTAAGCTAATATGATCATTTTATGATTATAGATATTGGAGCTGATCTGATATGGTATATTAAATTAAATAAATGATGAATTTGATTATTTTAATTGCTGATGCAAAAAATGATTACAAATTTATTGGAGTTGTTTGATAATATTTAAAATACACAAACCCATATTTTAATTTAAACTATTATAGTAAATTATAAAGCATTAAATGTCTTTATATTTACATATTAAATTATCAAACATAGCTCTGTTTCTTAAGGATATTAATTATATATATATATAATGATGAAACGATGACGAGTATGAAGGAATCGATAGACATCCATCTATTATTCCTGCATCAATGATTATTTGAGGCATTTGTCTGAACAATATAGAAAAATATGAATTAATGAAGATATAAATGCCGCCCCAGTCTTAACGACTCTGATGATACGGCTCATGACAGATTTATTATTATAGTTATATTAAAGTGATGTAAAAATATTTGCTACTCTTGAAATAGCATGATGAGACAACCACCAAGATCTCTGATTCACAATAAAATTATATATATATATACAAAGTGATGATTTTGTAGTCCATGATTAATCATGATTTCAATCTTTCGCTCCTATCTGATACACATAAATTAAAATTATATAAATATAATGATGACTATTAAGTACTAGAGTCTATGACTTCAATATGAACTACAACCCTTGGCTGTCTGAAATTAAAAAACTATATATATATATATATGATGATAACTGACACCTCTTGATTGAGCCTATTGGCATTGATCGGAATTCACCGTCTGAACTCTTTTTTGCAAAGTGTTTTATTTAGATTGTTAAAAGCATGTAAGAACGATAGTAGGAGCAACTTACACTAAATTTGATTGATTCAAGAAAGGGGAGTATATAGATAATTGCTATAATATCGCTTTGAAAGATCTGATATTTATTATTAAATTTCATAAATCTTTATTTAATACAGAGCCGAACTCCAGTTATTTAAGTGCGCAGACATCGTTTTGAATAGTTTTAATATAAAATGTAAGTTGAAACAACATAAGACATAGATGAAATAAAATAATTTGATTAAAGTATTGAATCAAAATATAGACATTTGATCAGACAGATTAGAATAATTGTGTTCAGAATGTGGAACAGCAGGTTTTTGCTGATTCCTCAGTTAACTAATTATATCGTTTCCAATTTTCAACAACATGTATATCTGCAATCGTCTTTCCTTTTTAACATTCATCTCTAAAAACCACTCTGTGGACTTTCGTTTTCTTCAGTATTGGTATGTTAAATTTGTCTAATCTAATTTATACTTTGTTTGCTGCAGTGGGTTCTGAATTGTAAGTATCATCTTGATTATTTAGTTTAGATTACATTAAAAAATAAAATAAAATATGTATATTATAAACAATGTGCAAGAATAAATGATAAATAGTTATAGGAAGTGGTAGGGCTTTGTGACTGAGAAGCATTCATTGAAAAATCTATATGCGAAGGCCAAAGTGGATATCACTTAAATTGCAAAACAAATAATCTTCACCATTCTAATAGCATAAATTTAAATAGAAACCAATCAAAGTTGTCCCATTTGTTTGAACGAGGATATTGTTTCCTCTGGAGTACAATCTGAATAATGTAAACATACATTTTGCATTGCGTGCATCAATATCTATTGGCAACATAATCAAAAAAAATAGTTAAAATGCCCTTGCTGCAGAGCCAAAATTAGCACTTTCGCTAAATCAAAAAAATTATAAAATGAATTTTAATAAGAATGTGACTAATTTATATTGGAATACAGAATTCGATGCACAGTCTTAAAATATTATCTCATTTATGTAAATATTATCCAACATAACTTAGCCATTTTAGATTATCGTTAATGTCTACAAACATTTAGGTTAACTATTTAATCTAAGTAAAATTTTACTAAAATTGTCAATTTAATTGCAACTTGTACTATGTTTTATTTTGTGCATTTATGTGTTGTCGCCTATTGACTTATTCCCAGAAGCAATATTTGGAGTGCTAGGATTGGTAGATGATCTCTTGTGCATAATATTTATAGTTTGGATAATAATTACTCAAATTATGATTAGAATTTTTTTTTGATTCAAATAAATATAATTATTGATATAAAATTATGAGTTCCTCATTTCTCAATTGTAATAATATGCTTAGTAATTAATAGAATTTGAAGTCTTAAATTGGAATGGTCTTTTAAAATATATATATCCATTAGACATTAATGATTAATCAGTCTTTACAGATTGATTATTTTTTAACTAATAAAGTTTAAAGAGAATTCTAATTGATTGCTAATGAAATTGGGATTATAATGAAATGATTTTCACTATTTCTAGTAATTATTTTTACTGTTAATTAATTATGAATTATCTAAACATTATTGAGTAATCTCAAATAGATAAATTGAAAACTTACTTGAGAAAAAAGATTTTATTTATTTGAATTAATGAATAGGAGCAAATAGTTGAAGAATTAAAAGACAAATATTTTAATTGAAAAACCAATTATAATTGCAAGTTGAAAGAAACAACGTCATTCAAATTGCGAATCAAAAAGAACTAGCATAATTAAAATAGAAGTATGAATCTAATCTTGGAATTGATAAATTTCCCTTAAGATAAGTTAAGGAACCTAATTAATTGAATGAAAGAGATCAATTATAAATTAAAAGTTACTAAAAGATAAAGAATAATAGCCATTCAATAACACAAAAAGACCATACTATAAAAGAATTAAGATTTCAGAATGAATAATTACATAAAAGTAAATAATAAATTATTGAAACCTTGACTCAAGAACTAGAAATAGAGAGAACTAACAGGAGAAAATTGCAGTAAGAAAATGATGATTTAGAATCAGCTTTGAGTAATATTATGGTGACGATGAAGATGAATTACTCAACAAATGTAAAAAGTGATGGTAAAATCATTAAAGATTAAGAGTTTATCACCTCTAAATCGATTGAATGAATACATCGAATTATTTGAAGACGAGAAGAATTAAAAGAAGAAGTTTATCTCAAAAATTAAATGATAAAACTGGAAATTACATATTATTACTTGATATTTCAATTAATTTTGTTTATTTTACTTATTTGAATTCCTAAATCATAATTTAAACAAAATAATAAAAGTGGTATAGCGATAAAATATATGAAGATAGAATTAAGAAATCTATAAGAGTAGATTAAGGAAGAGAAAGGAATGTAATCTAAGTAGTAAATGAAGATTAAGGATTTATATACTGATATTGAAGAAATGAAACATGAACTAAATATTTTGAGACAATCAGATAAGGATTGAAGAAAGAGCCAAGGAGGTTGAAGTCTGAGAGAAAAAGAAATTGAAAGAGACATGAAGCGGATTAAGTTACAGAGAGAGTTATATCTAAAGAAACCATCTGAGGATTAATTTATGACAATAAGGAAATACAAGTAAGTTGATTGAGGAAATTACAAAATAATCGTTTTACTAACAAAACTGAAAGATTATGAACAAAATAATGAAAATTCTATAACTAATAATTATAAGAATGTAATTGAAATAAACAAGGTTATTCGAATAAGGACTAATAAAGAAATTGGACGAAAAAATAAATATTTAAAGATTAATCTTATGAGGGATATTATGATTTGCCTCAGATGCAGATTATCTAGGCAATCCTTATCAAACTGAACTTCAAATGGATAGGATCTATTAAAGATTAAGAGAAGATGTTATCAAGTAAAAGAATAGTTTAGACCCTGTTGAACATAAATGTAATAAATTAAAATGACTTATATGATTTGTATTTTATTCCATATCAGTAATCTTCAGAACTCTAATCAGAATTAATTATCTGTTGCGTATATAAAAGCAGAAGCTTCATTTGATATTAATTTTAATGGATTCTAGATAATCAAAAGTAATAGAGAAGATTGAAAAAGCTGGCTTACTCGAGAAGCATAACCAGCTAATTACTTAAGGATACACTAATCCCTGGTTCAATTATAAGCTCTTAAAAGAGCATGATGGAAATCTGGATTCAGTTATTGTTTTCTACAATGAACACAGAAAGAAAAAGGATGAATAGAATGCTAAGGCTTTGAAGATATTGGAAACTATGGGTTGGTTAAACAAACATCAAGAACTAGTTGAAAAGGGGTTTGCTCAAGTGAAAAAAAATTTAAAAGCTTTGCTCAGAACTGAAGGAGATGTAGCCAAAAGCATTGAGAAATTAAGTAACAAGAAGGAAGTTTAGACTGATTAACCAATTGAATAAATTGTTGAGTAACATGGATTTAAAGTGTAATATGAAAAATTGAAGGAGATGGGATATGACAATGATAAGAGAATTGTTAGATTGTTATTGAAATTCAATGGAAATTTGGAACCAATCATTGATAAGCTATTGAGTGGAAGAGAAGGCAGACACCATCATTGTAAGAAGAGAGAAGGAAAATGTGAAAAGAAAGACAAAGACTCTTAAGAATTCTAGGAATTTAAATTGAAAAAGAAAGAATTCAAAAAGAAGCTTCAACAGCTGGAGTAGAGTGGAATTCATCGCCATAAGGCAGTGAAACTTTTGGCCATTTGGAATGGAGACGCTGATGCTGTCATCAAATGGGCCAATTAAGTTAAACCACAAAACAAGGCTGAAACATAAACTTTGTAAGAACAATAAGTTCCTGCATAAGAATGAGTTTGAAAAAACTCAAAAGTAAGGGAGGGAGGGTCGGATATATGATATATATATATATAAGAACATATAAATATTATACAATTATAAAAATATTTCTTAAAGGATCAAATAGAAAATGATATGAATGTATTTCAGATGAAATCCTCCATCAAAGCTTTGTTTTGATCTACTAATTCACTTTTATCAAATTTAATTTGAGTCGAAGAATTAGAATGAGTTTCAATTTTGTGATATAACTAACTCTCATCTTGTTCTTTGGGTTTACTTTGGTTGAGTTTTAGTAAATCTGTTATTATTTATTGTTATTTTTGATTCAATTGTGATATGAGTTATTTATGATGATTGTTTAGAGGTTATCTTTTTAATATGCAATCATCTAATAAGTAGAGAATCTATTTAGTTTCATTTTGGTGATCCATTCTTTATTGAAACTACGAAAGAAATATATCTTCACTCTTTGAATAAGTTTACCTCTTGTCATTTAATCTGATTCTATCCTCTTTGCTTAAATATTCTTTTAAAACCGACTGCTTGGTATTCTTGATGATCTAATTAGTGAAGTACTCGTCGTCTAACCCCTTTTGTTTGAAATCATTTAAATATTATGATCCGAGGAGAGCAACAATTTTCTCTAATTCGAAGTAATCTCTAAATTTCAAAACATGATCATAAATAAAAATTAAACATTACACCTAAATAAATAGTGAAGTATACATTGACAAAATTGAAGAAAACATTGGATAGCATTTTTTCTGCATGTTTCTCCAAATATTTTCTATAATAAAGCAAATCAGTTGGTTCGATTAAATAATTGGTTTTTCCGATTTCTTAAAGAAAATCAATTTCAGCATCCTCCATCTTTTCATTTTTATCGAGAAATCTTCCTAAAGAAATTTCCTCTCTGAAAAAATTCAGGAAGTAGAAAACAAGGGGTTATGAATGAAAATACAATAGAAAATATACCATCTAAACTATGTTCTAAAATTGAATACTAATAATTTACCTGAGTGCAATGGATATTTGGATATGAATATAACAAACATTGTAATACAGATTGTATAAATATTGCTGGCATGTTTTCCATTAAATCTTTAGTCAAATAATAGTCGAATTCTTTCATAGAATAGTTATATTAACTGCGAACCTATTTTTATGGAATTATGAGAATACTTAATTTATAATAGCTGGTATAGATTTCAACTCTTCAGTAGCAGCAGCTGATAAGTTTTTTTTGCTTTAGCCTAATATTGTGTAGTATTATTCAGTGAGATCCTGTTCTCGAACACTAAATAGAAAGTAACACATACTTTTGAAGACAATGTTTGAGCCATTGTTTAGTGATAAGGGAATTCTTATTAAAAGATAACTATTCTTTAACAATTATATCTTAAATATTGAGTTATTCATCTCTACAAATCTAACAACATCTATGCTAGGTTTTTAGATCATAATCAACAATCTTAGTTTTATTATTAAAAAAATACAATGGCTTTAAATCTTCCACAGTCACAACACACTGCTCGCTGACATCTCTTGCATTGATGTTATTAGAGTAATCTTATATATAAGAGGATGAATACAAGGAGAAATTCTTCTGGCAAATTTCGCATTTTTGATGCTTGGGTCTTGGCAATGTTTTTTTGATAGTGGCCATTTTAAATTTTAATAAAATTATATAAATGTATATATACAAGAAACATGATAATAATGAGTTTCATATTCAATATTCATAAAATTGAGGGATAGGTTCTTGATCATAAAAAGAATTCTTTCTACTTAAATTAGGTGATTCTGCTATTAGAAAGTTCTCATCTATTTTGTGAAATGAAAAGGGATCACTATATATCATGAGTTGATTGTCCTACTTCTTCTCTTCATTCTCTTTTTTTAAATCCAATTTCTTAGTTATTGGATATTCCTCTTCAAAACTAACCTCCTCATCCTCATATTTAAAAGCATTCTTCTTCTCCTACTTCTAATTATTAGCCACTGCATTCATTAATATTTAGATGATTTGAGTCTTAGACAATTATTCTATTTATTATTCGAAATTCGATTTGAGTATTTGTTATGGGAGTTAATCCAAAGCATTTTTTTCATTTTCAATGTATTTTTGGTGTTAGAATTCATTCTACATTTCATCATCATTTTCACTTGCTTACTTAATCATCAACAGATTGTTATTTTAGATGTTTTTATGTTTTCCACTCTTATTGTTGTTCCCTTGTAATGATTATAGCACCCACTTCATTATTTATTCTTCAGAATTCTCATTTTTATGCCTCTTTATCAATGTAATATGTACTTATTCTTCATCAGTTCTGTCCATAAATATTTATTTTCCTTCAAAATTTTCTCATTTTATTTAATAAGAATTTTCATTAATTTTTCAAGTTCTGACTATTTATTCTACATTCTGGACATTTGCTGAGATATCTATTAATAACTAAAATCTAGAACTTCTGGAATTTCCTAATTCCCATTTCTCACAATATCAGTTTTGATGAGAGTCAAGGAATTTTGTTCTTTCTAATCATTTGTCTTTCGTTTAATTTAGCTCAATAAATCTCTACGCATATTTATAATTCTAACTTCTTTCCTCTTTAAAATAACTTATGTTTAAATTCATTTTCATTATTGTCGTGTCTTGTCTTGTGAAAGTCGTACATATTTAATTGTCGAACGAACGACGCAAAGTTGCTGTGTTTGAAAGATCTTGGTAGGATTACATCTGAAAACTCATTCACTTTTTTAACTATAAATGCATTTCCTTCCTCATTCCAACTAATCACATCTTAATTGCTGGGATTCTATGAATTGCACATCAATTTTACATCTATTATCTCATATGTCTTTAATAAAAATGCAGGAATAGAATCCCCATTGTCCTTTTAAGACCTCGACCTCTTTTTCTTAACTATTTACTATTAATCCATTAAATCAATTTACATAAACTTAATAATACTTATACAAACATAATTGCTCAATGCATTAAATTCTAATACGGACTTACATAAGACATTCCCAAGTATTAAATAAACAATATATTTTTATGTGTGTTTACAATCACTTATAATATACTATTAATTTAAGGTAAATAACTATTAATATTTAATTATGATAAAGCAAAATAAAGAAGGGGAACCAATTTTCATCCCGCCAACCAAAATTTTACAAGAGTTAAAGTATTTGCACAAAGAATTGCCAGCATTTTGTTATTCTTGGGCTTGGGAAGCCAGATGTGTTTGTGCATTTGAAAAAGGAGAATTCATTGAAGCAATAAAAGAGTTGAAAGTAGTTTTTGTTTGATAATCCAAGTAAATTGGTTGCTAAAAGAGATGTGAAGTGTATGCAAAAAAACCAATTCTCATTGGCAAAAGGTTATTTAATGTAAGATTAATTTCATATGGGGCATCATCTCCAAAAAAAATGTTTTTTGGACCAAACCATTTAGCTCATGCATTTGATAAGTTGATGTTTGATTATGTCTATATATTTTTGGAGACCCCTCAGAAAACAGCTAAAAAAATATAGTTACTTATATAAAAAGCAGAAAATGCATAAAATAATAGGTATTCCTTATTTAAATGTAAGACAAATTGCAAGTTTTAAGGAGAGTTACAAATTATTACTGGGAAAGGAATATGAAGTATAGAATATGGAGGAAGAATAGAGTGAAGAACAAGATTGATGCATTATCATAATATTAATTTTGTTTGTGATATGATATTGATTCAAATTTATATAAAATTTTTGTATCAGTTTTTTTTTTCACTCTTTCAATTTTATTTGCTATCTTTGATAAGAATAATTGATTTAAAAATTAATCAAATACTCTTCTTAGACAAAATTTAAATATATGGATTACTATTTGTAATTAAATCTAAGATAGATTGAAAAGGCATTTTGATATTAATTAAATTTAAGTTAGATTATTTACATGTCATAATTAAGATAATTGATTCATATAAAGGAACAATACATATCAAATCATTTATAAGTTGATTTAAAAATTAATGATGATCCAATAATGCTTTTTGGAGTTACTGGGTTTGTCTTAAACTTTCTCTATTTTTAATTTACATAATAATGATACTTTAATTTATCTCAGTTTGATCAATGATTTAAAATTTTGGATAATCACTTTTTTTTCAAATCCATGTCCTCTCCCACTTAAAATATCACAATATTTTTATTATTCGGATGGTATTTTAGTAGTATTCGAAATACTACTTTTTGGATTTATTATTTTTTATCTCTCAGATTCTAAATAGTTTTCTTCATTGACATCCTATTGTATTCTTCTTGTGCTTCCTATTGTACTAGTAAAGGAATTGCGTTTGGTTGTTTTAGTCTTAAAATTCACTTAAACTTAGGCCCTTGATTCAATGTCAGTTCTCAACGATATCTTTTTTTGAGAAAATTCAATGCTCAATTTGCTTTTGTAGTTTTATTAAAATAAAGGGGAATCATTAAAAGAAAATTTAGATCTTTTGGGTATTTAAGTTATTGAATGTATTAATTCAATCATAGTGTGAATTTAATTGGAGTAATAATCTGAGGCTTTTAAGTAAAGTTTGATGAAAGTAGATCCAGCTTATAAAAATTAATTCAAAGCATCTTCATTTACATACAATTTTAGAATGATACTCTATATAACAATAAAGCAATACATTTTAAATTTAATGATATAGATCTGGTTGAGTAGAAGTTAGCGGGTTATTTATGAATTAATATAAGGATAGTGAATAATGTCCGATATAGGTATTTGCACAGAAATTTTTGATTTTGCTATCAATCTAAGAAGATTTCAAATCAATTGCCATTCTCTTCTAATGGATTGCCTAAAAGATATCATTGAATCTAATGAATATTAATTTTATGCATACCTCTTAATGGCATTGTAGAGATTTCCAAATACTTTAATGATGAATGACTCTGCTTTATGTAATAGATTCTACTTAAAGTTATTTTGAGATTGCTTCATGGTTAAGAATCCCATTAATTTCTGGACATCTTGAAATTGTGAATCAGACTCCTCCTCCTCATCATAAACGTAGAATCTTTCACACAATTCCTTTAATTCTTTTAATTCTTATTGTAATTCTTGCTTCTCTTCCATCAAACCCAAGCCTATTGAAGACTCACTGTCAATTTGAACTTGATATTTTCTGTATTGCTGTATGAGATTCTCAACCAAGAATGGAACTCCAAAAGGATGAGTATGCATGAAATCAGATATCTCTTTATTACAATCTACCTTATTGATATCCTCAGTTACAAAATTTTCGTTGATTTCTTCTTCAAAAGTCAAATACATTCTTAGAACATTATTATAATTTTATACCTTTCTAATTTTTATAACACCTGCAAATCTATCACTACTTTTCTTTACTCATGCAATTTAAAAATGTTGGTCTCATTCTAATCATTCAATTATTGTATAGTTTTTTCTTATTCAGCTAATGTTTATTAAGCTTACTTATAAAATGGTGTAAAATACTTTTATTTTTTGCAATAAACTATAATAGTTCTGTTGAGTCTGCTGTGTTTCATTTTTGACCTTCTCCAAATTATCTAATACTTCAACTCTTTTATTTTCCAATTACTTAATGTATTCATCATAGCTTAGTTTATATTTGGTATAACTTAAGTAACTTAATTTCTTGTTCTATTGACTTTCCCTATGCTCAATAGGCAAATCTTGATAGAAACTGTTGATCAATCTCAGTTGCTCCTCCAAATCATTAATGTACTTCTGTCTCAACAACTAGTGATATTAATGGAGCATACTATAGAGTAGAGAGTTCTATCGAAATCTATTTCCAAATACTATTTCTGTTCCACAGCCTTCTCGATCTCTTCAACATGCAATTGCTATTTCTCCTACTTAATCTGATATTAAATTTCTTCTTTTCTTAATCTTGCAATTTGATCTCTCTTGGCAATATTGTTGAAATGCACTTCATTATATATTTGTTCAATCTTATTTATTATAGCATTTATAAATACATAAGAATGCGAAAATGCTGAACTCTCTATATTACATTAAGTCAAAAATTCATTTTCCAATTCATTCATAATTTTATGTATATTAAATAATAACTCCTCAAATAGTAAATTCCATCTTATTAGCATTCAGATGGCACTTGTTTCTGCTCTGTGTGTTTGTGCAGCAAGTGTTACTGCAAATAAAAGCCTTAACAAACGCATTACATTAATGAACCAAAATCAATCTATAACATTGATTACGATTCAAGAAGAACCCCTATTAAACATTCCAGACTGCCTAATCAGAATTATCAAGGCAGATAAAAGGCTTTGTCACTCCATTCTGTTTACAATGATGACTTCGATAAAAAGCAGTTGAACAAATCATCACTTGATAATATACAATTACCATAGAATAATTCTTTCAACATTCCTTTTTGTGGCTGTAACTCTTATGCGCTCTAATATCCAAGTAAAAGTTCGATGCCTCCTCAACTATTAAAACCACTAAATTAAATTCAACTACTCCCTTCCAAATTAGACATCAAATCAAGTTATCAAAGAGAACACAAACATTACAAATTGGATCAAGATAAAATCATCAATTTCTCCAAAATTACTAATCAAAGATTGCATACCAACTCTAAGGAAAAAAACATCTATTTGAACTCTAGTTATTAAGAGTAATACAAAGGATAAACTGCAAAAAGAGTTTCATAATTGCCCATTCAATCTACCTATTTACCTTTTGGACTAAGTAACCAAGGCATTAATCTTTATGTAAGTACAAATAAAAAAGATTATGAAGAATAAAGGCAATATTAATGTGAAGCAGATGAAAAATTGCAACAATTAAGCAATTAATTATTATAAGAACATTGAACAATATATAATCAAAATTATTGAATATCTTCTTATCTTGTTTTTTAAATTATTACCTTCTTGTTTTGTAGTGGAAATTGTTGTTCAATTTATTAATATTTAAAATCTTCACTTGATATTAAAGGATTGTCTTTAAATTATGTGAAACTAATGAGTATTGGGTTTGCGATGAATAGCTAAAGTGTCGTCTACTTGATATCCAATAAATTATTTAAGAAAAATAATCTAAATTCTGGAAGTTGATTATTATTTATTCTAACCCCTTTTGTTATAAGTTTATTTATCTATCATCTTGTGATTCTATTTTAAGTTTTATTTGAAATAAATATATTTAGACTAAGTAATATAACATAACTTCAACTATTACCATCACCTTTCATATAAATATTGTATCTAAAATAATTGATTTGAATAAATATCTTCATAAATATACATAATTACATTTTCTATAAGAAATATAAAAATATATTCTTCTTTTATCTTCTTAATTAGCGAAATTATATTATAAATATCAAATTTGTGTACAATATAACATGATTGAGCATATGACTATTTTAGAGATACTTTAAACTAATACATCTAGTATAATATTTACAATACCTATCAGTCCCATTAATCCCTTTAAATTCACATATTTTAATTTAAAATAAAATTCAAACTAACCACTTGTTTGAATAAAAATCTTATTATACTCCTATTCAAAGTTTAGGCTTGAAAATTGCATATGAAAAATTATATTTTGAAAAATTCTTAAATTTCATCATCAATTTATTTCAACATCGTATATTGGTTTAAGAATAGGAACTGGAAGAATTTTGTTAAGTAATCTCTCTTATATTTTCTATCAACTTTTTAACAAAAAAATCTGGAATAAATTACAATTGCCCAAAAGTTGATTAGTATTATTATAGAATTAACTGTCAAATATTAAAGTTATGGCATATCTAAAATCTTTTAAAAAATTTATTTGATGATAAATTCATTAATTCACATTTTGATAATGATAAGCATTTATCATATATTGTAATATTCTTCTTTAGTATTTGATAATGAATTGATTTTATAATCTGATTTATATTTATTTTGTTTATTTTAATGGATACACCAAATATGTAAAGATTATTAGCTATTAAAGTCAAGCAGCTGGAGCCAGACCCAATAAGTAAACCTTTGATTAAGCTCCTTCAACTAGACAAGTGTAAACATAGCTGTTTTATTTAGAATGCAAAACAAATCAGATATTTTTGGAGTCAACTCTCCTGCTCCTGCTCCACAAGCATCAAGATAAAGTGCAAGGCCCAAAACCGATATTTTTAGTAACGAATGTTAAGCACCAAAATAATAGGAAGTATGAGACTTATCATACATATTTTAGGCAAGATAAAACAAAACTTTTTAATCTCAAATATTTTCATAAGAGGTTGTTCAAAATGCACCACCACCTGCTCGTTCGAATCAAACATTTGAGAATTCATAACAAGAAGTGAAAAGATATTAAAAAAAAAATAATGATAATCGACAAGCTGATCACGGAAAGGATTTCTTATTTGGGAAGAGTGGTAATGATAATTGAATACATTCAAGATTTTGATGAATATAAATCATTAAAGAGAGCAGCCACTCTAAGTGAATTCAAACCAAAACTAAATTATGACCCCTAAAATAGAAGAAATAAAGAACTCTATGGCAATGAAATAGCTCGCGAACATCTACCTACTAAGGAAGTCAATTTAGAAACTTCCAGTCCTTAAAAAACTAAAAAATAATTATAATAACAATAAGAATAGAATCCATCCAATAGAAAATAGATGGAAAACCAATCAAGTGTTTTTGGAGATTCTCAAACGTATAACTTATAAATGTATTTGCAGTAAGGTTGTGTAGAATCAAAAAGTAGAAAAACTGACTGCATCCACATAAAAATGGAGTACTGTTGGAGGACAGAGCAATAACTAAGTCAAAGAGTTTGATCCAGAAACATATGCTAAGAATAGAAAGGAAGCAGAATTATAATCAAGTGTATTCGGAGAATAGGCAGTAAAGGTTTAACCAGTTGAAATACCAGAATAATAGGAAGAATCTGAAACATAATAAGGTATAATTTTACATCATTTAGCTTAATAATAATAGTAATAAAAAGTCTAAAAGCCAAAAGAAAGACTAATTCCTAACAATTAAACATGGTAATAGACTGATTCAGTTAAAAATAAAAGAGATTTTGATCCAACCCAATCCTAAGTCAAAGATGATGTAGAGGCATCTTAAAAGAAAATGGATGCACTAAAGTCAGCATTGGATACTCATTAATTTGAAGCTTAATAAATTCCAGCAAACTAAAAAATATCAAACAAAAATCTTAAAGTAATTAATTTTATTAATAAATAGTAAAAAAAGGACATTATTCAAAGGGAGGAGAAATAACCAAAAGAAAAAACAAAAGCATAAGCTAAGAAAAAATGATTTATTTATATCATAGCAATATAATATTGGGAATATTTTATATAATTTTAGATATTTTAATTATTTTTGTATATACATCAATGTTTTTTATTTCTTTTAATTTTTCTCATATCGTTTACATCATTTGGATTCAATTTACCATAACCAACTGTGATTTTTTGTTGAGGATGTTTATAATCAATATCTTCAAACCCAATTCCATTTTCATAAGTTTTCATTACTTTCTTATATCTGAGCTCCTCTTGTTTCCTCTAATTATTATAAATCTATATTTTACCTGTCTCGCTAATTATTACTAAATTCCACTTTTCATTAATTGATCTTGACAAAAGATAAATGGGGCATCCTTTTTGGTTAAATTCTAAGGAATTGAATACTAATAGATTAGAAGAATAATGTACTTGAGTTCCCCTGAGATTGACCTTGAAATTCTTCTTTCTATACAAAATAATGGTTCCATCAGATTCCAGAGAACAAGAAACTTTCAGTAAGGAGTTGTTACCACAATTAGTACAGAAGAGTCTTGTTGAATCTCTGACTAATGTCTTGCATATATGACATTCCAAAATGAATCTTCTTGCACTCTTAATCATATATCCTTCGGTCGATAAGACAGGTACGCCCATTTGTAATAAGACATTCTATTGAATTTAAATTAAATGATACTTGCATAGCAAAGTCAGTTGTCAAAAGAGCAACTCCAAATAGATTTCCTTGATTATCTTATGGATTGATTTAAATTTCATTTAATTTTTCATGGATGTTTGTATTATTAATCCATTCTTCTTCATTTTCATCTTCAGAAGACTCCTCTTCTTGATCTTACACTTATTTTTCTTCTTATTTAGGTTTTTATGATGCATTTTATTTAGATTAATTATTGTAATATTTTTTTTTTGGAACAACTTCTTCCCATCCATCTGAATCATCATCATTATCCTCATTTTTTTAAGTTGTTTCTTATATTTCTTGCTCTTCTGATTTTTATTATGTTTCATGATTCTCTGGTTCTTGTTATTTTTGTTAAGTTTATTATTATTTATTCTACACTTATTCATTTTCTTCCTTTTATACTTCTTCCTCTTCTTCTTCCTCTTCTACTTGTTAATGATTTTTGGATCCATATACATTCTTAATTTTATTAAACTCTAATGGTTTTAGTGGTTCCAACTTTAACTTGTCCTTCTGACCATTTTCCTCAATCAAAGTACAAGCCAAAGCAATGAGTTCAATATCAATAGGTGACAATGATGCTATGTCTGATGTTTATGTGGCGAATTGCTTAACGATTTTAATCATTTTCTCTGATGGAGTCAAGAAGGTGAGAGGGTAGGTGAAATTTTATAATTTTTATCTGGCTCTTTCATCTCTGACTTCAGTGAGAATGGCCTCATGAGTTACGAATGAGTAGTGTTCTGAAAGGTGTTGAAAATTGATTTCTTTAATAAATGCATTGGCATCCAATATTAATTTATTCATTTATTTTAATTTAAAAAAATAAAAGATGTCGGAACCATAAGTATATAATAAATTAATTAGGTTATATTTAATGTAGCCAAAAATGAATAAGGTCATCCCAGCCAGAATTACAAGAAGCTTGTTAAAAAGTATAAGAGTTAATATAAGGTAAGTTATGGATTTTTGAAATATTTAGTTTGGCTTAAACAAAGATGACTTAGTTATAGACAAAATCAGAAATGCCAATTTACTCATTTTTGCTGGGTCCAGAGCTCCCTTTACTGAAAAAGGTATTTTTTATTTTGATTCCTAGAAATCAAATGCCTCGAAGAATATCTCAATAGTGGAGGCAATGTATTAATCTTATTCTCCGGATGGTGGTGAGAGTAAATCTACTAGCAACTTAAATGCATTCATTGAGAAATTTGGAATCTATGTGAACAATGATTGTGTTGTGAGAACATGCTATTTTAAATACTTTCATCCAAAAGAAGCATATATCTAATAAGGAGTTATCAATCAAGAAGTTTGAAAATATTTATTCTATTTAAGATAGTTCGAGTGATTAATGGTGAATAAAAAGAGACCAGAAAAAACAAGGCATCCACACCATACCTCTAAGGAGTCATCGAGATGGAAGATACTGAAATTAACAATCAAAGTGGCCTTGATTTTGTCTATCCCAATGGAGCCACTCTGATTGTGAAGGACAAGGCCTTCCCCATCCTATCCACTGGCCCTATGTCTTATCCATGCGAAAAACCTATCATGGCTGTCAATCAAGAAAAGGGTAAACTTGTAGTCATTGGCTCCACCGACATATTCAATGATGAGTACTTTGAGAAGGATGACAACCAAAAGATTTTTGACTTCCTTTTAAAGTTCTTCTTAACAAAAGAAGTTGAATTTGATAAGAAAACTCCCTTTGCTGAAAATGATTGCAAAAATGCACCTGATATAGCAGAATTATCTGATAAACTAAAGAGTTGCTTACAAGAAAGCGAAGAACTACCAAAAGATGTAACAACCTTGTTTGATTCGACCTTATTCAAATTTGATCTTGATCTCATTCCAGATGCAGTCAAGCTCTATGAAACTCTCTGTAATGTTCTTTCATATTCTAGAGGTTAAACATGAGCCACTCACACTTATTGTTCCCCAATTTGAAACCCCTTTATTAGGATTACAACCAGCGGTTTTTCCACCCATCCCAAGGGAATTACCCCCTCCTCCACTTGAGTTATTTGATTTAGATGAGGAATTCGCATCTGAAAAGTAACTCTATCTTTTTATATCTTCCTTAGAACTCGTTTGGCGTAATTGACAAACAAATGCACTAATGAAGATTTGGAATATTATGTCAAGGAAGCTGGAGATATCATAGGAATCACAGATAAATTAAAGAATAGACAAAAGGCATAGTCAGTAATTCATTATGTCCTAGAAAATTTAATCAATTTTAAAAAATTAAATTAAGGTTGAGCTTTATAATCAATAAATATGTAGACACATTTAATTTCAAATTTTTTTTTGTAGATTCACATACTGTTTTGTATATATATAATATATATAAATTAATTCATAGTTTTCTGGAAGAAAACTTTTTATTTGTTGAGTTTAAATCAACCTTATTTAAAGACGATGTTCTGATATGCTGTTATGAAAAATTGGAATGTTCCAACCGAAATTTCAATTTATTCCATAAATCTTCAATCAAGTTATACATTCTTGTATTTTGTTTAATTAATTTCAGCATCTCATTACTTTTTATAGCTCTATACAATATGTTTGATACTAGTTGCAATGACTCTTATGTCGACAACAATTCAGGTTCAATTATTTAGTCGTTTTACAGTATTTTTATTTACTCCATTAACTAAATCATATTCATTCAAATGTTTACTTCTTTCAATTTGATGTTGTGATGTTTCTTTAACTATATGATTTCTTCCTTTATATCCTAAACGTGGATCCAATCTTAAATCACTTAGAGTCTCTCGTTTTTATTGATCTTTATCGCTTCCTTCAGAACCTAAACTATATTATCCTACTCCACCTATGAAAATTAAGCCATCAACATTTAGATTGCATTGTTAATTTCATAATGATTAAGTTGTTGTTGCTTATTGTACAGTTATTAGAGTTCACTTGTTAATTACTTGATTTGCCAATTCTACTATTACATAGTTTGTTAATAAAACTATTCTTTTTCGTTTTACTCATTCATTAGCTCATTTATTTTGTTCTTCTATGCATTTATTTCAATTTCATATGATTTATTTTAAGAGATTAATAATCCATTCTCCTTTTTTATGGTCTTAATCTAATTGAAGATCTCCTCCTTCTGTAATTGTAATTGCATGACATTCTCTTGCAGAATCTCTAATTTTGGCTTGGGTAGTGTTTCAGTTTAGATTTCTTTGTTTTGTTAATTTATTTGGATTTTATTCAAAGATTGGGTAAAAATATCTTTTTTTGGCAAAGCAAAGGCAGATACTTCTTCATAATACCCTTAATATTGTCTACTATCTGCTGTAGTGATGCTATGCATATCCGTCGAACTTTTCGATCTATTTTATCTTGAGAGATCTTAGATTTACGACAATTCTTATTGAAAATATTCAAGTCTCTTAACCTACTCTCTGATTTTAGGTTTTTGAGTTTGAAAGCTGAAAATCATTTGCTTATCCATATTATTCAAATTTTAACAGTAATATATTGATTTAATTTCTTATAATTACAAATACAATATATTTTCATTCAATTCTATACCAAAAAAACAAACTAATATTTTGATTCTTTTTCGTCTTCATTACCAGAGCTTCTCTCTTTATAGATTAATTGAATTCACTTTTAAGTGTGCAAAGATTCTTAAATAATAATACTCGCTTGAGAATAAATTTGTATCAGATATAATAATTTCACTAAAGTCGTTTAGTATAACTAATCGTTATGGTTATATCTCTGCAAAAGTATCATTAAAGATTGACAATTAGTTTCTTAAATTGGCTTCCACTTTTAGAGATAGTGCATTTATCCATATTTTTAGAGATCATCTATTTTTGGTATATAATTTCATATTAATGGAATGCAATGATGAATTTACTATATTGTTTAAGGGATTATTAGTTTATTGAGAGACAGAAATAGACTCATCAATTTAATCAACATAATAAAATTAATTAATGTCAGAAACTTCTTTTGGTGTGGTGTCATTTACAATCATATTAATTTTGTTCATTTATGCTATTGCAGGATCATATTTTGAGCACAAACATGTACGATGAATTAATTAATAGGAGATTCACTTTATACATGAGACAGGATTGGGCATTATTTTAGGGGTTGTGGCTGGAGGGTTGTTTACATTGATTTACAGAGGAACATTGTATTATATTGTAAAGACAATTAATAACATAGTACGAATTTAATGAATCCTTCTTTTTCTACATTTTGTTACCAATAATCATTTTTGCAGGAGGATACAATTTAAATAAAAGAAGGTATATTAGTCTATACAATTTAGATTCTTTCAAAATTTTCTATATATTAATTTATTTGGATTGTTGGGTACATTATTGACTTTCCTACTGATAGTATGCTTCACATTTTTGATTAGTGATGGAGGTTTGAATTAATTTTTGATTCTATATAGATTTGATTCAAATTTGGGGAGGTGATACTACGATTAAATTGAAAACTGAATAAATAATGATATTTGCAGCTACAATCTGTGCTACTGATTCCGTGGCAGCATTGACGATGATCAAACCCAATAAATACCCAAAACTGTTTAGTGTAGTATTCGGAGAGGGCATGGTCAATGATGCTGTGTCTATCATTCTATATATTTCTGTAGATTTGTTATCTGGTAAACACGATACAATCTTTACAGTCTCTTTGGAGTTTTGCATCCTGTTCATATTGGAATTCTTTTGCAGTCTTGTAGTCGGATTACTCTTTGGAGTATTGGCTTCCATACTCTTCAAATATCTTAGATTCATCACCGAATCTGTAATTTTAGAAATGGCTATTATAATTTACATCGCCTATGGTAGTTTCACAATGTGCGAACTATTGGGACTGAGTGGGGTGCTATCAGTGTTAGCAACTGGAGCTCTGATGGCTTATTATAACATTTACAATTTGTCCAGTTTGGGCTAGGTTGCATCCAAGTAAATTGATATAGAATAATTATAGAATTACAGTCTCAACACTCTCTTTAATATGCGAGGCATTTATATACATCTATTTGGGATTGTCAATGTGGATATTGTCAGGATATCAGAATTCAGATGATTAGATTGAAAAGCCAAAATGCAGTTGGACATTCCTGGTGCTAGAACTATTGATATGCTTTTTCTCAAGAGGAGTATCCATGGCCATATTATCAGGGATGGCCTACTTGATTAAGGGGAAGGAGAAATTCAAACTATCTCTGTAAGAATTGAATATCATTTGGTTTGCTGGATTGATTAGAGGTTCCGTTGCATATGCCTTAATTACAAAATTATAGATCTCAAATCCTGAAGATCTAAATGAAAGATATTAAGTTGAAGTCATAAAAACAACTGTCTTATTTATGGTTATCATTACTACAATTCTACTTGGAGCAATGATGCCCTTCTATATTAATTTAAACCTGAAAAGGAAAGTAGAGGATGTCAATAGTAGGTTGCTATAAAACAATGAATTTGAAAGTGGGTATCGAAGATAAATTTAAAATAATTTTAAGTATCTTGATGATCATTACTTTAAATATTGGATGATTTTTAATTACTAAAATAGAAAATCAGAAATTCTAAAACAACAACAAGAAAAACAATAGGATGAAGAAAACCACAACAAGATCGGTCTAATTTCTTAATTCTAATCCAAGTTTACTGGAAATTAGAACATTGTATTCTACGTTGAAGCAAATAAAAGTATCCCTGCACACACAGAATCGTTGATCGAAGGAATAGATGACTTAGAAGAAAACGATTAATCAGATTAACCAAATTTGATGACTCACATATCCTAAAATTATAATGATCTATGAATGCATCATATTTTTAAATATTTTTCTATCTTAGATTATACCTCCGAAATGGGGAAGAAATATTGTGTATATTTATTGTAATTAAATTGTAGTTTATTTCTTATCAAATTATTATTATTACTTATACTAATGAAAGTTTAAGATGCTTCCGAGAAGCAAGCCAAACCAATCGATTCACGCTTAATGAATGGACCATTGTAAGATCGTCACTGCACTGATATCATATGTTGTTTGTTATTTATCGCATCGTTCATATTCATGTGGTAAGTTATTATTCTTAATCTAGGTATATTGCTATAACAGGATACTCTCTTGGAAAACCAGAAAGAATATTGGCAGCTTATGATTCTGATGGTACAGTTTATCTCAATTTAGGCAATGCATGTGATTTGGATTTACCAGATTATCCATTATTATACTTTCCTATCGTTCATCCTGATTACTATAACAAGACAGTCTGTGTGGAAAGATGTCCAGCAAATACATCAGACGCTGTTAAATGTTAAACAAACAAAAATATCACCTCCTGTCCTAGAGATTGTACAAAAGTTTCAATTGAAACATCTACTACTTTTGATTTTACTTCCATCGATTCGATGAAGACCTACGTGGACACAATAACAAGTTCAGTTAGTAACCCAGAAAATTGGATATGTCTCTATGGAAGTGAACCTATTTTTTCAAGAGCATGTTTCCCAAGCACTGCCTTAGAAATTTTGAATCAAACTTCTAATTTCAGTTCCTCAGTTGATTTGAATAGATTGACGTCTTGGTTGTATGACCTTTCTGTTGCAAAATACATCATTCTTGCATCTTTTTTTATAGCATTTGGTTTAGGGTAAGGAGTAAAATTTATAATTTTAGATTAATCTATATGGTAATTTTAAGATTTTTGGGAGGATTATTTGTATGGCTGACAATCTTGCTTTATTTTGTAGGAATTTCAGTTTTGGCAGGTTACACTTGGGATTAGCACTTATATTATTTAAAGTAAATATAATCATATATATATTTTAGTGATTCTCAATAATCAGGCTCTGCTGGTTCAACAAATGCCTCTGACAATGCCAAAGCCTTGGAATACATATTTTATATCGAAATCGCTTGGATTGCATTTTCAATTCTGGCATTTTTTTGCATTTTCAACAAAATTAGATTGGCCATAGGAGTAGTGAAGACAGCTACTCTCTATGTGAGAGATAACTTTTCAGTTATGATTGTACCTCCAGTAATTGGAGTTTGTTTAGGAGTCTTGTGGGTTTGGTGGATTGTTTCAGTTGTGTAATGAATATAATTAATTTATAAGATACATTGTTGGTCTTGGAAACATCAAAGGAGATGGCAGTACACCTTTTGCCTCTGTGACTTTTGACAACACAACTAGAAACATGGTGTATTACTTTATGTTTGGTGGATTATGGAAATAGGCCTTTTTGTTGGCTCTGAATCAATTCATAATTGGTTGTTCAGTGTGCATATGGTATTTCAATTAGGGACCAGGCTAATCCTATACTGGCAACTTATTCTAGAGTATATATTGGGCATTTCGTTATCATCTTGGATCATTGGCATTTGGTTCATTCATATTGGCAGTGGTTCAATTCATTCGATTGATGTTGGAATACGCAAAATATCAAGCAAAATAGATGGCAGGCGATAATAAATGTACTAAATGCATATTGGATTGTCTGTCTTGTTTGGTGGCTTGTTTTGAACGATTTATTGAATTCCTCAATAAAAATGCTTACATTCAAATTGCATTGACTAGCAAGAGTTTCTGTCCAGCTGCTAAAGATGCTTTTGAATCAATATGGGCTAATACCATGAGATACAGTCTAGTTTCTGGTATTGGTTCTATTTTCACATTCGTAATTCTTTATTTATATTCAAATAGATTGGTAAATTATTTGTTGGCTTTGCTACAGTTCTGTTCTCATATGAAATCTTTATCAATGTGGAACCGTATAAAACAGATCTGGCATCTCCAATTGTACCATCAATAGTGTGCTTTATTATTGCTTATATGGTGGCTATTCTGTTCATGAGTATCTATTAAATGGCATGTGATGCTGTGTTGACTTGTTTCATTTACGACGAAGAATTGAATAAGTAGAATGGAGGGATGTCAGCATAACATTGTCCAGAGACGTTAAGAGAATGGTTTGATAGCACTTAATCATCATGATATCAAATTTTAAAAACATAATATAATTAATAGAATTACTAACCATCAAACAATCATAAATTTTCTAATGCTTTATCTATTAACTTTCTCACTTTCTTTTTATATTCATCCGGTTTGTCTCTAAATTGGATTCCAGCATCGACATTGGCAGGTGAATTGATATTAGGTTCCGATAACATTGAAACTATTGAAATTAACACATCCTCAGGAGTCAATATGGGTCTCCATCTAAGAATATGGTAGATTAATCACCTTGTCTCTGGGGGTTCTTAATCATTAAACTCGTCCTATGCGTGCAGAATGGAAATGCAGACTCTCCCATCAGAGTAAACTATTGTCAGATGAAATAGGCTTACTATTTGGATGCCACATTTCAGTCAAGAATTTGAATGTTGGTGGAGAATTGGGATAGTCTTCTGGAAATTTCATTATCGCTTAGAAGTACCCCCCTTCATACAAAGTGTCTGATGGACCAGCAAAGCTAATGTTCCATTGGTATAAGCTATTCGATTCCAATCCCACTGAAACTCCCTCTATAGTCTTGCTTTCCTCCAATTCTAGGTTGTGTTAATTCAATCGTTACATCTGAGTTACTTTTTTAGCAAAGTAACTGTATAACTGGTTGAGGGAGCAGTTATCGGGTGAGATGACTATTGGGGTAACATCTGAATATAAATATTTAAAATTGATTATTAGCTTAACTTTTTTGCTATTATTTTAGATTAATAAATTGGACTATTCGATAATAAATGAAAAAGTAATCATCAGTCTAATCTACAGTTATTTATTAACTCTAGATTGCATATTGTGTGATTGCAAGTATATAAACAAATTTTCTTTTATAAATATATTTAATATAAATATAACACAATGCAATTCTTATTGTATTCAATATGCTTCCTATTGCTCCTCGTATAGGTTCAAACATAGGATGAGAATGAGATTAAGTGTGACTAATATTTTGTGAACATTACCACAGCCATACTCATGGGAAAAATGCCAACCAATCTGTCACCGTAAACAATTCTAAGCTCAGCAAAAGGACTTTAAGATTTAGGTTCCTATCTGGTTTGTAAGGATTCTGCGGATTTACATTACATTCATCTCAGAATGATGAGCGAAGGAAAACCTATGCATATGGGTTTTTGTTTACCCGAATATTGCGAATAGAGTCACCTCCAAAAATATAACACCCCAACCAAAGATCTCATCAACAATTTTACTGTACTTATCTCCATCTTAACCGTTAGATGCGTCTATATAACAAATCAATGGTCGACAGCGCTTCCTACTAAGATCCAGATTTAATTTATCCGTCATGGACTGTAGGAACCTATTTGACTCTAGTTCTGTTGATTGTCATAGTGGCACTCAATGTTATCGGAAGCATCTTTTCGATTATAGCAGAAAACAAAAAATAAGCGTATTAAGATGACCTGAAGACAGAGATCAAGAGGAAAGCAGCCCAGAAAATAAATGAGTCCCACTAGGATGAGAATTCATTAAAGGACTCCATATCTCAACTCTACAAGAGATCAGAATTGATTTGTAAATAAATAAATAAATTATATTTAGAAAATGAAATCATGGAGAATCAGGAATCTGCTTTCATGAGTGGCAAAGGTTAATTCGAAGAAATCAAATACAAGAAATACAAAGAACCATCTTGGGAAAGATTCGCTTTGAGTTTCTCCTTTATCCACAATTACCAAAAACTATTTAAGATTAATGAACCCAAAGGTGAGAATGCTGGATTTGTGATTTTTAATGGCATAAGATCATTGTCAATATTTTGGGTAATTTATGGTCACGATCAACTCATTCGAGGCTCCAATTCCTTCAATTTGATAGATATACCATACAAGATCACTGAAGCCGGATGGCTCACACTCACACCAGCTGCATACTTTGCTGTCGACACCTTCTTTTTTGTGGGAGGATTCTTGGCTGCTGTTTTACTTCTGGAAAAGTTGACCAAATTGAGGTCCATCAAGTTTTCATTGGTGCCAGCAATGTGGGTACATAGATTCTTAAGAATATGGCCTACATATGCATTTTGCATTCTAGTGTATTGGCAATTGACTGTTTATTGGTCAGATGGACCTATCTGGAATGAATATATAGAGTATACCTCCACTTGCAATACTTAATGGTGGAAGAATCTATTATTCATTGACAACATGTTTTCACATGATGCCAGTGGATTGAACTATTGTTTTGGTTGGGGTTGGTATCTATCCAACGATTTCCAGATCTTTCTTATCACTCCAATATTATTGATTATCTATGCTAAAAACAGAAAAATTGGATTAGCTCTTATTATTTCAATGCTAATCGGAAGCGTATTTTCAGCCTATTACATAGCTTATTCTCACGATTACCATTTATAAATGGCCACTCCTAATGCTAAACCACAGCCAGACTATCAAGATGTTTTCTACTTCAAACCTTGGATCAGGATCTCTCCCTACCTCATAGGCATCCTATTTGGATTCTTCTATTGCAATTACATTAGTGGTTAGAATTAAAAAATGGTTTAAGTGGCATAGAAAATTAAGGACAGCGTAGTTATCAGAACCCTATTCTATGTCTTCGGAATCGGGTTGACTTAAACGATCATTTGGATCATAGTCCCTCTTTAAAAGGACATGAATGCTTGGCCTCCTTAAGCCTAATATTTCTACTAAGCCTTTAACAGAGTGTTTTTTGTCATAGGTGTTGGATTGTGCATTACTCCTGCTCTTTTGGGTTGCAAAAATGATCCGTCAAGATTTATGTATACTTTGATAATAATTTAGACTCGGACATCCCTTTTGGCAACCCATAGCCAGAATATCGTTCTGCATGTACTTGACACATTTCATAGTGATTCTGTTCATGACCTTCAGCACCACTCAATTGGTTTATTATCAGTAATCACACATTCTCTATTTCACCCTCACTGACATTGTGTACACTATTATTATTGGGGGCCTCTTAAGTTTAGCCATTGAAGTAACGCTTTCATATAACGTAGGTGCCTTGCATGAATCTTGAGAAGATTCTGTTTGCTCCCAAGAAACAAGAAGCCGCAAAGATGAATGCCAATCAAGTAGAAAGTAGGAATGATTTATGATTAATTGTTATATGTGTTGATATATTTAGTATATCAATCGAATTGCTCTTCCAATTCCCCTCCCCCATATACTGTTTTACATATGATTCAATACATAAATATTAAATATTTAAAAAATGAAGCTTAAAAGGTTTCTTCTGAGATATTATCCTCCTGGCATAATTTTGGAGTACATTCGCAGTAATGGAGAATAAGAAACGAAATCTATTGACTTGCTAAATTTGAGCAATGAGTATAGTTTGAAGTCTAACATAATAGTACAGATGTAGATCAATTAGTTGAAGAAATAGTCATGGAAGAGCCAATCATTTCAGAGAGTCGGAAACCCTAACTCGCAGCTTTAATCAGAAGTAACACAAAATCTAAGCTTTATTAGAATTAATAGATAAAATTGAATCAAAAAAAGAGCAATAATTTGAATTATTCAAAACTCTTAAGGCTCATATGCTGCCTCTGACAAATTGTGCATTCAATAAAAATGGAGACAAGTACTTAGTTTGAGTTGATATATAAAATAGGTTTATCACAGGTAGCTATGACAGAACATGTAAAGTGTGGGATACTTTTACAGGAGAGGAAATAGTATCTCTGGAAGGTCATAAAAATGTTGTATATTGTATTGCATTTAACAATCCGTTTGGGGTATTAAAGAAGGAGATTATATTAATAGTGATCGGGTGGTAACAGGATCATTTGATAAGACTGCAAAAATATGGGATGTTAATTCGGGCAAATGTCTCTAGACTCTAGTAGGACATAATTACGAAATAGTGTGCACATCTTTTGATCCTCATTCTTTAATTGTGGCCACAGGATCAATGGATAAAACTGCTAGGTTGTGGGATGTAGAGAGTGGAAAGTAAATAGCAAGGCTAGATGGACATGATGGAGAAATTGTTAGTTTGCATTTCAATCCAGATGGAGATAAATTATTGACAGGTTCATTTGATAAAACTGCAATGATCTGGGATGTTAGATCAGGAGAGTGTATTCATATGTTGGATGAACACACAGGAGAAATATCAAGTACTTAATTCGAGTTTACAGGCGATTATTGTGCTACTGGATCTATTGATAAGTAAATTCATATATTTAATTAAATTAGGACTTGTAAAATATGGGATATCAAAACAGGTAAATGCATTGAAACCTTGAGAGGACACAAAGACGAAGTTTAAGATATCTGTTTCAACTCTACAGGTTCATCTATATACTTATTCTAGGCACTAGATTAGTGACAGTTTCAGCAGATGCTACAGGAAGAGTATACAATGTGCACACTGGAGAATGCATTGCGTAATTACTTGGTCACAAGGGAGAAATATCCAAGGTTCAATTTAACCCCTCTGGTAACAAGATCATTACTGCCAGCGCAGACAACACTGCCAGAATATTGTATGACTTTTAATTAATTCTTTAAATAGTTCAGAAACTGGTGAATGTTTGTAAGTACTTGAGGGACATACTGATGAAATATTTAGTTGCTCTTTTAATTATGAAGGAGACATTATCATTACTGGGTCTAAAGATAATACATGTAAAATATGGAAAGAAGCTAATTTGCCGGTCAAAAACAAGTGACAAATTCATTAATAATATATTTATTATTTTCATCAACTTTTATACAGTTTCAATTGATAAATTCATATGAGAATAATCAGAGAATAATTGTAATTTATGATTTTAAATAATCATATCCCAATCCTCATTTTATTAGTTTTTCTAATTCTCCCTTCTAGTCTAATTTACTATATCTGTGTATCCACCAACAAACTTTACTGAATATATATCATTGGACTAGTGCTCCATTTCAATTTAACTACGAATTCGTTCACTTCTCTTTCATGTTCCTTCTCCTTTGTGATATCCCTGTATTCATAAGGTATGTATTTAGACTCCAAAAGCGCTTTACTTTATGACAATATGGACAATAATCACCTCAATGTATTACCACTGATTTATCTGATTTGTTCCATAGATATGGTAATAATTGTATTATAAATAATTATAAATAATCACTTAATTTATACTTCTAACCACCAAGATATTATTTTAACTCAACTTTTATTTTATTGAACTAAATCTAAGTTGTTGAGCATTACCATAACTACTCCTTTATGAAGTTCAGTTCAAAAAAGTCAAATATTTGTAAGACATATTTTAAATTATTTCAATATATATATTTATATAAGATTTTTAAAGTTCTGAAAAACTATTGGTTTTTAATACAAATACTATTATTCTCAAATGAAATTCTTTAATGTAGGTCGACCTTCATCATATTTTTGATCAAGACACTTGCTGGATTATAATGGAGTTATATATTGTCTTTGGTCTTCAATTTTTCCAAATTATTAAGGAATAGGCTGAAATTGTTAATAGGGCATCTACCATCCTTGCATATTTATTGCTTACTGGGTTTGCAATTACATCAAATATTAGTTTAAATATTGGGTTCTAAAGAATTAAATTAATACTCTTACTGTTAAAGAAGCCTGTATGGATTCATGGACATACTAAGTTACATCATTTAAATTTATTAGTTTAGCTATAATTATAAGGATTGAAATTATAGATCGGCTGGTAAACATTGGGCAGATTAAACTGGAGCCAACTATTCTTTTGTTTTTTTGATTTCTTGAGGTTTTTCCAGTTGGGATTCCAATCTACAAGTACTCCTTCTCTAGCGAGTCTTCTTCTTGCCTACTCTTCCTTCCCTTCTGTAAGTTTGCAAAATAGCTTTAGAGGTACTAAACTTAATTCCAAATTCTTAGGCTGCCTACTTTATTGTTGACTGTTTTGATTAGACTCGTTTTATAAAAGCCATTCGCACTGAAGGAGTGATAACGTCGTACTTTTTCTTTGGCTAACTACCATCATTTAATGAATCCATAATTTTAATATTGAAAATTGATGAATTTATTTAAAGATAAATACTTACATATTACATTAAATCATTATTCATAAGAGATTTATATAATTGTATCATGTAAGCATTTTATATTAAATTAATCAATTATTTTATAATTCTCATCAATAAGATATTATTTATTATTATTATCAGGTCCAAAAATGGAGCTGAAGGCTAAATGTTTAAAATTTCTTTAGCCTTCTCCTACCCTCATTTTCAAAGACATTTTATATTAAAAATTATGTCCATAAGATTAGTGGCCATAAATTAAATTCTTGAATTAAACAATTGCGGACACCCAAATTATCAAATCTGATATAGAAATCCTAATAAGAAGTTATGAGACACAATTTTTATTAATTATTAAACTTTGTTACTTCCTTCAATTCTTGAATAAAATCAAGCTTCAATTGTTGAACTTATATAAGTAATTTACTTGGAATTCAATCCCCATCTACTATGTGGCCCCTATGAATGTCTAGAATGCAATGTTTCTGGGTAATTGGAAGTACCTTTAAAAATTTAAAAATTTATTTTATATTGTCCCTGCTTCTCTATGTCTTTCATACTTAATAAATAAAAATAAGATTTTCAAATTTAACAAATAGAGTTGCAGTAGCCTAATAAGAATTACAGAGATTAAACAGTAAGAGTTATAAAATAAGTGTGGACTGTTAAACAGATGTAATAATTATCTAATTTATTATTCCAGCAATACCATTACAAAAACATCTAATAAACTATTAATATCCTTTACAAATTATTTTGATAGTTAAAACTAGCTTCTTTTGTTAATGGGTTTGACTCTACAACAGTCACATTGAAATTAATGACAGTATTAGAATAGTAGATTATGTTTTTGAATTAAATATTTAAGTTACTAATATACAGAAAAAAAATTAAACTCAATAAACATATATTCGAATTCTCATCGCTGCTTAAAATAATAATATTCTTATGGTTTTGTTATTTTATTTAAGATTTCTCCAATTTAAGATAAGTATTTAAGTTTTTCTTGTTGACCACTTCTTAAGACATATGCAAAAGCATGTTTTTGATAAAATTCAATTGACAACTTTTAGAACAAGGCTTTAAATAGATCTTAGTATTATTATCCCTTAGGATCAGAATGACAGAGGATTAACATTTCTTAGATAGCCTTTAGTTCTAGTTAGGATAGCCATGTATTAAAGAGGGGCTTTAGATTAGTATTGTCTGCAAAATAATTGTCGATGATTTAGATAGCTTCTTCATTTGAATAAATAAAATTCATTTAATTTTAGATCAGAGCATTTTATATTTTTTTTTCTTCTATTATAAAAATATAACTATATTATATACCATCAATTGGGTAAAATCCTTTTTATTAAATTTGGATCTACTTGATTAGTTCCTCTACAGCATCATTTCTATTCTCTTCTACACGGAAGGAAGGATTATTAATTGCCCTCAACTGTTTATTGGAATACGCTTATTAAATTAATTGCTGTAGAAAGCTGAGAGGGATGGTGACAGTTGGATCTTGGCGAGTCTACTTCAAGACAGATAATTACGATGGATTCTTCAGAAAGTTGGAAGCGTAGATTTAACTAAGGGTATTTGCGTCTTTCCTCATTACTCACAATATCGTTGTGAATGATTTTGATGGGAGCATACTTTACATGTACATGGCCATTGCCATTGTGATGGTGATTGTTGTCGCTAGATTCCATGTTGAGTTTAGAAGGATGATAACGTTCAAAGCTCATTGTTATTAGAGCAATATATTATAAATAAATTATTATATAAATTATTATATAAAATATACACTAAAATTTCGAAGGAATTAAAGTTAATAATAATTATTATATATTTATAATTAAAATAAGTAATTCATCATTATTGTTTAACATTCTTATGAGACTATGAATATCACAAAAATAGATTACCAATAGAGTTGAAGTTTTTTGCTGAAGTAAAGTCGTTGGATACTTTTGATGAATTTACTCTTTGGAATCCACCAATTATTTGAGTGTTTTATAGATATTGACAGCCTCAACTATCTTGTAATCCCCAATTCTACTATTATTTTGGCTTCTGATGAAGGGATTCTCTTTGTTCTAATAAAACTAGGATTCGGATGGTAAATCTTACTTGTTGCGTGGTATTGGCTTTGGTTGAACTTAAATCGTAGGTATGATTGGAAGTTTATTTTAAAATAGTTTTGACAGGCGAGGTTTTCTCACTTTCTGAGTTTCTCTTTTAAGACAACTATTTTAATGGTGGCTTTGGGATTTTACGCTCACTAGATATCACTTTTTACTATTTGACAACATTGGCATCGATATTAACTGATTTGGTTTTTGGTTTGATGATTACTTTTTCAGATTGTGTTTTGATTTATAGAAAATCATAAGGTTTGGTTAAATCGTTAGTTTTTGGTTCTTCTCCCTTTCTTTGATTAGAATAATTGCGAATAGATTCTGCAAGTTTGGAATAAGAGTTTTCGGCTACCGAATTGATTTTATTAGATTTTTATCTATTTGTATAATAGCTCTGATTTCTATTTTAAATTGAGGTCTTCTATTCTGACTTGGATAATTCCGTTTAATTTATTGTTTTGGTCAGAATTTTAGAGTGGGAATATTATTTTTCCAGATATTAGGGTTTGTTTCTAATGGTGTGATATTCATCGGTCATTTTCTGTATTTCCATGTCAATATTCCCAATATCCTTCAAGAGCGAAGTCTTAACTATTTTTTTTAATTGGATTTCTTTAGAAGTCTCCAATGGACTTTCATTTGAAGGTTTGAGTTTCTCAATTAATTTTGATTGCTCATGCTTCGATATGATATTATTTTTCTATTGTGGCTGTTTCTTTTGGACTTTTGTATATTACTCTATTAGATTTCCAATGAGCTTTTTCTTTCTCTTGATAGAATATGAAGTGGTTACCTTTCCTCGAATATGAGAGCTGCCTCATCCTCATTCATTTTACTCAACTTCATCAGTGTCACTTAAGATATATATATATTTGTTATTTTAGTTATAATAATAAATATATACCAACATCGATCAAGAAGATTAAATAAACTGGCCAGATTTCCCCTCTTGATTGGATTGTTAAGTGCAATCGGTTTGAGATTCTTCCTCTGATCCAAAAAGAGACTGCTCCATTTCCTCGATGCATTCCTTCTGGCTTTTCGAACACCTCTCCTTCTCATATATCCTCCTTATTATTGCCCTCTTGTTTTATTTATTCGCATGAGAAATCTATGAATAAGTAGTCATCGCATCGTCATCCACTGTTGTTTTGTTAAGTTTCTATTGGAAGATTGAAGATATGTTCAAATCGGAATCCTTGAACACTCTGAAAATCACTCTCTCCTTTTGGGATTCCAAATACGCTTTCCCCACTGTATATTACTGCACATTCTTATTGAGTTGGTACTTCTTGTACACTACGATTAATAGTGAGGGAACACTTACATAAACTATCAAGGAAACTGATTTTCGGCTTAAGTTCACTTAAATCCAATTAAGGGAAATGCTTTCGACTTGCCCTCCCTTTGATCTCTGTTGGGCTTACTTCCTTACTCATTAATTTAAATATTGTTGTGTTCGATTTCTTGACTTCGAATTATATATATATTTTAAATATTCTACTAATTCAGATGCCAAAATTTGGTTTAATACACATGAGAATATTAAATATATATATAAATTAATTATGCGATATCAGCAATTAGTAACTCATGTAATCGACCTCATCAAATCTTACAATCCCATTATCCTGACTCCAGACTCTCACTGTGAACAATACATCCAAGAAAATTGCAAGAAACTCTTCGATACCGAAATCATGTTTTTGAAGCAAGTATAAAATTCGATCTCATTCCAAATAGGTCTTCTCTGGAGTGCAACGATACGAGGAGTTCCTTAAAATCCTCACCAAGACCATGTTCACTCTGCTGTCCAGCACAACCAATAGAAATGATGCGACCCTCTATCATATCTTCTCCTATCTCATTTTGTTCCGATTGGATGAATTACCCTACAACGAATTCAAGAAAATGGTCAACGAACAAGACCCAGTCAAGATGAATGTCCTATTGCAATTTCTATTTGACATCGATAAAATTACCACGCATATCAAACCCCTTTGGAATGACATCTATGATCCTCAATACATACAGGAAACTGTCATTGGAGGACTAGAATAACACTTCCCCATGATGAAAGATCTATTAAGTTCTCTGAGCTCAAGAGCCACTGGAAAACAAAGCGAACTCGTCCAAGAGGATGAGAGACCTGAATCAGCCACAAAAAAATAACCGACCAAAACTATGCCCTTCAAATTGAGTGAAACCAAGAAAAAGCCAGAACCACCTCCTCCTCCTAAACCAGAGTTATATAAAAGCAAACCTGTTCCAAGTAATCTCAATAAAAAAACTTTGCAATAGATTGAAGAAGACAATAAGCTTAGATTTGAGCAATCTAAAAAAAAGGTTCAAGAAACCTATAAGGATGCAAAGTAATTTGAATTCAAAACAGATCTTCGACCAAACAATTATGAAACTGTCAAAAAGGAAGTTGAAGACACTCTCAATCAATAATTATAGTTCAACATGAAAATCGCTAAGCCTGCCCCTGTTGACTTGGAGACAGCTGAAATCAAATTGAATGCAGCAGCCATCTTGAGGGAGGAAATGCTATTAAAGAAGAAACAAGAGATTGAAAGGGAGAGAGTCAAAAACTTAGAAGTTAATCTCAGAGATTCAGGAGAATTCGAAGAATGGAAGAGGTAGCAAGAGGAAGAAGAGTAAATAGCTAGAATGGAACACTAATAATAAAAGAAGATAGAAATGGAATTAGCAAGAGAGGCAGCTATGAGAGCGTAGGAGGAGAAATTTAAAGAGAATAGAATATTGGCTGAAAAAATGAAGGTTGAGGCTGTGGAACGATTAAAGGAAAGATAAGAATTGTAGTAAGAATAAGTTGAGTATAAAAAGTAATTAATTGAGCAAATTATGGAAGCTGAGAAGAAGGTGTATTTGTAAGTAGAAAAAGTGCAAGAAAAGAATAAGCAAATGGCTGAGGATTAGAAATTAGAAATGGCTAGGATGCTGGAATTAAAGAGACAGGAAGATGAGTAAATTAGAATTAAGAGAGAAGAATTAATTAAATAAATTAGGGAATTAGAAAGGTAACCAATCAAAAGGACCAAGGGATATGATCCTACTGAAACTATGGGTTATGGTCTATTGGAAGAAATGTCATTAGCTGAATTAAGAGATAGATTAGAAATCGTGAAGGCGGAGAGAAAGGCAGAAGAAGAGGACAAAAGAAAAGAGATTGTTACATAGAAGGATGAGTACTTATCATCAATGTAAAGGAAGGTACAGGAAATTAAAGCACATCGCTAAGCTGAATCATAGCAGAAAGACATGGAGAGGGAAGCCAAGAGGATGAAAAAGCAGAAGGAAGAAGAGCTGAGAAAAAGGATTAGGGAGGAACAATTGCTTTAAGTTTAAAATAAGATTAGCAGCAAAAAGCAAGTCAAGAGTGCTGAGGAATAAAGAATAGCAGCAGAAGTTAGAGAAACAAAACTTAGACAACAATATATGAATGCTAATAAAGCTATGGTGGAAATGAAGGCTTGGAAGTCTCAATAGGATGGTATGATAGAAGAATAATTGGTTAGGTTTGGAGAGAGAAATCAAGAATAGACAGAATGAGAAGTTGATTGTATAGGAGGGAGTCGAATCTGTTAATTTAAGAGAAAGGAAGATCTTGGCTGAGTAAGCTAAGAGATTGGTGAAGGCTAAGGTTGATTTCAATTAGGCATATGATCATGAATTGAAGACTGCTTATCAAATGAATGATTAGTTGCATTTAGATGAGGCTGAAAATAGAACGAAAATGCACAACATTCAAAGAGAATGGAAGGAAGAACATACTAAAAATATGATCACTAGAGATGAATATAAATAGAAAATCTCAGAAATTTCATTAAAAAATTCAAAAAAAAAACTATAAAATATAAAATAGGAGTTTAGTAGATAAATAGAATAACTACCTTCAGCTTAGTATTCTTGATGTTTCATCATATATTCAAACTAAAGATATTTGTTTATAATATAATATACTTGGTGATCTATTATATAAAAATCACATTCCAAGAAATCTTTTTGTTTTATTAATAGTTTCCGCTGCAGTCTTCTTTACCTTATCCATTACTGCTTCACTGGTTTGTCGTTGGAATGTTTATCTATTTTGTTATAATATGTAAAATACTATGGATCCTATTTCAAGAGTTTCTATGCATTTTTCAATACTAGCAATGTCTTCTTGATAGTATCTCTTTCGATTGTGATGTATTCAGGCTAAATCTAATTAATTCTTTTACTTCAGACATCAATCCCATAACTGATTAACTTTTCATGATTTCATTATATAATTAGAATTGCATTTGTTCTTAAGCAGCTCTAACCAAGAAATATCCTATTGCCTTAGGAATAGAATCTCTTAAGTTTCTTATGACTATTCTAAAGTATGCATCTAATCTTCTGCTCAATTCTTAAGCCAAAACCTTCTCAGGGTCTGTATCTTTATTGGATGCCTATGCAGCAGGTTTATTTGAAGTTGTGGTTGTGGTATTAGTATTGGTTGTGCCTGCAGCATTGTCACCAGGGGGAGCAGCAGCAGGATTTTTTTAATCCTCTTTATCCTCTTACTAATATGATATAGAAAATAGATAATTACTGGAATGATGCTAGCATTCATGGTTAAGTAATCTTAATCATTTGTGAAAATGTATCCTAATTCAGCATCAACCAAATTTTCAACTACTACTTTAGTTTTGTTCTTTTATTCTGTAAGTACTTAAGAACTAATATCTGAAATAGCATCTAAAATGGTTGGGAATCTATAAAACACTTTTTTTAAAATGCTATTAGACAGTGAGTCAACATAGGTAAACACTTCATTCAGAGTATCTATTGCAGGTTCTCTTAATTTCTCAAGTTGTGGCATAATTAAATATAAAAAGCTATCGAAAGATGGAAATCCTGGAATGGAATCCCCTTGATGTAATCTAATGGCTTCTTTGATTTCTCTATCTGTGTACTCTCGACTGACTCTGTAATTTTTGCCTGCTTATCTAAATCCTATTACTAATAGAATACTCATTATATAGATCATTCAAGTATAATTTCACTTAAGCTCCTCCAGAGATTTGAGTATCTTTCTGTAATGCTTATTTGACATCGAATTTTCCTCTTAATTTGTTATTTAGATTTTCTGTGTACTCAGTCAACATATTCCATATGACTTGCATTTTCTCCTTGTTATCTCTAGGCAATCCTGGACCAAGTTGAGCGAGTTTAACTTCGCAATCTTATACTTTTTGGTCGATTTCCCTAATGATCTGAGGCAAGGATGCTCGAATACTTTTATGATATTGAAGATAAATACTGTTTGAACAGAATATTAGTTAACTTCTGAATCAGAGCCTTTGTTCCCATGATATCTGGAGGCATCTGAGAGTACAAAGGGTGTTTTGCGAAGAAATCAGTCTCTCTTTACAATGCAACACCAACTCTGACCTTCTCGTTGATGTCTTTTTAATTTCTATTTTTGACACCAACAAAACCCAATTTCAATGGAATTATTTATCCTAACAATTCCTTTCTGCAATCTGTTCCTTGATCCATGATATCAATCTAGATTTACGATGAATTACTACCTTTGTAATCACACCCAAAGTTCTTGATCCTGTGGGATCTAATTTGATTGCTAATTGAAGTCCATCACTAGTTGATAAATCCTGATTGGCTGGACACACAGCCAAGATTATTGTTCTCTCATCTTAACAATAATGAGTGGCCATCTCTAAGGTGACTTTTTCAATGTCTTCTCTTTGTCCTTTGATTGCTATTCTTGTAATTCCTGGTAAATCGATCACTGTCAAGTCTGGACAATCACTTGAATAGACAGTCATTACTATAGGATCGGGGACGACATCTAGTTTATAATTATCATTCCAAAATACCTTTTGAATTTCCTGTTGCTTTATCTGTCAATTCTACAATGTATTCTCTAACCTTCTCAAAATCAAAGAATTTCTGATCTTTGCACACTTCGAACACTGCCCATGGTTTTAATGCATCAGGTTTATGAATCAATCTCATTTCCAAAGGTCTTCTTGTCACTATACCTTCTCCTCTTGGTAGGAAATCCAATCCGACAATGTTTTCCAAAAGACTACTTTTTCCTGCACTCTAACTTCCCAACACAGCTATTCTGGGTAACTTTATGTACTCCTAAACTCCTAAGTCTCTCAACTGATCGATGAGTGTAATCAAAGATCTTAAATTATCGAAAAGCTATCCCTATAATGAATTATCTTTTTATTCTGACATTATTTAATTTAATTTATATATATTAAAATCATTAATATTGAGATTTAAAGAAAATAAAATATTGTCAAGGCTTAGTATTTTATTGATACAAATCTCACAAATCAAAATAATAATTTTACAGTGATTTCATCTCTCATATGATATCATTCACTTTTATTATTACATACAATGCAAATAAGATTAGATTACAAAATATATGATCATTTGATATTTTTTTATATCTTTTTTATTTACTAATAGAGATTGGTGTATATTTGCAGGTTTTCTTAGTGTAATTCATCAATTGAATTAACAATAGCAGCAATACCTCAAATGTGATCTTCATGTCTAAGTTAACTAATTTGATAAATTGGATAAATAATTACCAACATAATGTAAACATGGCAATTCTTATCAATCTTCTCTTTTCGATATCAGTCAATTGAAATTTTATTTTAAAAGTATATCATCACTTGATTTAAATATATTATTAACATTTTTATCGTTCACTCTATTTAAGCCCGACTCATCACTCTTTTGTTTTTCCTTCCCCATCCGTCTCACCAGTAAATTATCTCTAGTCATTTCTATCGCATCCATCAATCTATTGACATTGCGATCACACCATAAGTCAACTACTCCCATAGAGCCATCGTTAGCCAACTCTCCAAAGGCTTCATGAACCTATTTGATAAGTGGCTACAAATAATAGTTGTTCTTTTTATCATGCGTTCCGAATCCAAATTTTAGGAATGTTAATTTTTTTCGTCTTTGATTTATTGTTTACCTTTCCATAAGTCGTCTCTTTTCTATTAAATTTCAGTTTTTGGAATGACATACGAGGTTTATGAAGCCATTTCCCTCGTATATGACCTAGAGCAAACTAATTCTTCACACTCTCCTATAAGATATCAAAATTAGGTATCATAGATGGTTCTGTCTTGGTTCTTTTAGATAAAAAATTTCTATGACTCGAAATCAGTTGGCCCTGACTCTGTAAATTCTCTCTTTAAGTTTGCATCAATTTATAATTAATAGTAAGAATTAATAAATTCAATATTGTCTTCTGTCCATCAAGATATTACTTAAATACGTTTTTGTTTATCTTAGTTCCTCAATCTATTACTGTTACTGTTAATTTTAGTATTTAAAGTATTGTACATCATTCCTTAGCAACTCGCATTCCTCCCTCAATTAAACACACTCTTCTTCCAAATTCATTTAATCCTATATTTAATCCTTCTCTTATGTCTGTCTAATCTAATCTCGTAAACCTGTGTATTCCAATTACACCTTTAGAAACATACTCTTCTCAACATTTAAAGCCTATTGCAATTCCGAAACCTATCTCTTTAAAGCTTGTTATTCCGATTTCAAATCCTCATTTTAGTTGTATAGTTTTTCGAATTCCACTTCTTTGTTTTAAGTGCAAGCCTGTAACCTCTCTTTCAAAATAGTCTCACTTTCAAGTTCCCCTCTTATTTCCATTATCTTATCTTAAAGTCTTTTAACCTAAGCAGTTAATTGTTTAACTTCGCTTTCATTGTCATTTTTGACCTACTTCTTGCTGTTTCTCATATCAATCAATAGGGTTTATTGTTCAATCAATTATTGACTAAATTGATTTATTTATTAATCCTTCTCCTACAATTATGCCTCCTAAGCTTTTACTATTACATTTAATTTATCGTATTTATTTTCCAAGTCAACCAATACTTAATTCTTATGTTCTATCCTCTTACTCAATTAATGAAACTATATGCAAATAATTAAATAAACATACTTCAGATTGATTGCCTTATTGTTGCAATTTAAAATCATTATAATCCTATTCCAATGATTCATACATCTTTGATATTTTCTTCATCTACAAAGATTGCTCATTATACTTTCTGTCCATTCTCTCAATATCATTAATAAGATCATTGTTCTTTTTCATCAATTAATCAACTACTTTATCTTTTTTGTTGCTCTCCCCTTTCAAACTTTCATTTTGTTGATATAAATTCTTTATGGTTGTCTCCTACTTGAATATGGTTCCTTTATACATGTCCTCGCATTCCTTTAGAGTTTACATGATATTGTTCAATTCATTATTTGATTCTGATAATTAATTTTATAATTTTTATTTCTCTTAATTTAGAATCTGTTCATTATATTTTAACTGTTTATTATTTTCACTCATAACTTGCATCTTTTGAGTTGCCTCATTAATTGCTTATTTCAGCATATTGTTATTTTTATTTAAGTCCTCTATTCGATTCTGTTATTGAATCATCAATGCATTCAATTCTTCCAATTAGGTAATCAAAATCTTAAGTTTTTATTCGCTCTGCTAAACATCTTTATTCTGCGTATTCAATAAGAATTAGTGTTCCTATTCCAAAGCCACATAAGCATGAGATAAGCGCTCAACCTCTGTAGAAACAAGCACAAAGTTTTTCATTATTGTCCATTTTTCAATCAAAGAGTCTTATTTTAATAATTCTTAGAGAGTATTTTCAATTTCAATTTTGTCCTAGCGTAATTGGGTGACTTCTGCTTGGAGATTTGTCTAATTGTAATTTTGCATTTATTGGAATAAATTATCTTTATTTTATAAGTGTAATGTATATTATGTAAATAAAATTAAGTTTATAAAATGGTGATCTAAATATTAATTTCTTTACCTAATTTAATTTATAATAATGCAATTAAAAACTAAGCTATTGCTAACTTAATTGATCTTGTCCAATTTAATTAGTTTGATAAGGTCAGGAAGCTAAGAAACCAAAGATTTGATGACGATTACTCTAAATTCAATTGGATTGTTATTGGATTTAATCATTTTTTGTTCGGAATATGCAAAACAAAAATAAAACCTTATTAACATTTAGATTCAAATAAACATTATTGTGTAACTGGAAACACTCTTTTACGATGTCTAAAACACCAATAATTACTTCACTGTCATATACCTGCTATTAATGCAAATTGATTTGAAAAAATAACATCAATGCTACTAATTTTTAACTCATACGATCTGCTTATATGTTTTTACTCGACTCGCTGCCTAATTCTATGTGTAATTTACTACTTCCTAGTTTATTCTCTTTGTTCTTTGGTAACCCCTTAATCATTTAATTTTATACAAAGAAAAGTCCTAAAATGAAATCCGAAAACCAAGTCCCACTTCTCAATCATAAAGACAACCTAATCACAATGCCCATTTCAGCTATATGGAATAATGTTAGTAGAATCTGATCGATGAGAATACCCCACATATCGATAGGAACATCAATGTAGCTCTCGATGAGGATCTACTCAACTATCTCCCCTACGGATTAGTTCTCATAGACACCAACCTTCAAGTCATAAAGCACAACGAGAAATTGATGAGTTACTTGATGATAAATCAAGCAGATTAAATTTTGAATCATTTAGATTAATTACTGTCCAAGTAACATTTATTCGTATGAATTAGTGCCTAACTGAATTCAATAAAATCTAGTCCGCATACAAAGCACAAACCGCATATTGTTCCCTTGAGGAAATTGAAATAAAATTCAGCCAGTCAATATTAATATAATACTGGCATCAAATCTAATAGCGCTAACTGGTTGTCGGATAGGCTGAAGGTCAACATCTAGAATAAAGGGTCCTTCAAATCGAGCATCTAAGAAGCAGGAACCCATTCCTATATTTAATTTGTCATGAGTGAATTTTTAAATAAAAGCTTCATTAAGATTAATCCTTCAGAAAATCTATCCATGGCATCTGATTAGACTCGCATGTTTAAGTTTCATGTAGTGAAAGATCTCAAGGTCAGAAAGAAGCACTTTTAGATTAAAGTTTATGAAGTAAAACTATAAACGAAAACAAAAGATATTGCATTCCTATTTATAATTGAAAATATTACAAATAAAGAGGAGTTGAAGGAATTGACTAGTAGATTCAAATTTCAATAAGCATTATTGAATTCATTCAGTCATGAATTACGAACACCTTTAAATAGTTCATTACCTTTATTGCAAATTTTAAGTAAAAAAATAGATGATACCCTCAATGATAACTACTTATAGTTAGCAATTGTCTCTTGTCGTAGATTACTGTTTTAAATAAACGACATATTAGATTATGCATAAATAGAATGCGAGGATTTTAAGTTGAATTCAAACAATTTTTTAGCAAGTGATATTTTTGATGATCTAAAAGAATTATTTTAATAAGAATGCTCATAAAAATAGATTGAATTAATTCTAAATTATAATTCTCAAATAACAATCTACAGTGACAAATTAAGAATAACCTAAATTTTAGTTAACTTATTAAACAATTCAATCAAATTCACAAAGTAAGGAGGCAGAATAGTTTTGTCTTTAAAAAAGAGAGTCTCTTAATGCATATTTTCAGTGTGGGATAATGGTGAAGGAATATCCAATGAAGAAATGTTGACACTCTCAAATTAATCCATGTACTATTAATTAGGATCGAATAAAATGGGATTGGGCTTGAGAGTTTCAAAAGGAATAGCAAAGTTTTTAGGTGGAGATGGCGAGTTGCAAATAAAGAGTGAAAAAGGATTTTACACAATTGTTAGCTTTTCGATAGAGGAGTCTGTCAGTACAATGATGAAAGATGAGGATTCATCAATACGGGACATAGAGGAATTAGGATCTGACACGAAGAACTCAGCATAAAGAGTATATATATCTTCAAGGAAATTCCTGAATCATTGTGAATGCAATCAAATTTTGATTGTTGATGATGTACCTTTCAATCATATCACTTTAATTGCATTACTTCAAAATTATGGATACAAGGCAGATAGTGCATACGATGGGGATTCTGCAATCAAGAAAGTGAGATAGAGATAGTAAAATATTTGTTGCAAAGCCTATAAAATAATATTTATGGACATTGAAATGCCAGGGAAGAATGGGTTTACTACTAGTAGTGAGGTATTATATTAAAAATCAATTAGAGATTTCTAAACTATTACAAAATGAACGATAAAAATCCATCATTGTGATGTGTTCTGCTTATAATGGGTTGGAAAATGCAGAGTTAGCACATTAGAGTGGAATGAATGAAATAATTTCGAAACCTATTTCATTGGATTCTCTATAAACACTTTTAGGGAAATACTTTTGTTGAATTTCTTAAACTTTTTTAATATATAATATAATCAAATTCCATTGAATTCTATGACCATTGGTTTAATGAGTTTATTAAGATTTATTTGGTGAAATGGGTTGTAATTAGAGGCTCGATATAATCCATATATCTTTTCGAAAATTGCCAATAAGTTTAATTTTTCTGTTCCTTGCTTGATAAATATGATCATTTTCAATTGTGTTATCGTTATATAAGCATGCACATCATAATCATTATTTGGCAAATAGATTGTATACAATACTCCTAAATAAGGTTCTGTTGTTGTCCCTCCATTCAATTTCTTTTATAAGATAGGACTAATTAGTTGTAGAGCTGTGTAAGTTTGAAATTTGAAATGCACTTGATCCTCAGTATCTATGTAATAATCAATAAAGTTTAGTTTGTCCTACGAATCTATTATAGCTATACAGGCAATAGACATTTTAATTTAATATTATATGATAATTGAAACAATTTACATATGGATAATCTGGTTGATTTTAAAAATACCTCAATTGGATGTTAAAGAGAAAATAGATGCAGAAGTCTATAATGAATTTGCAACTAGTAATGAAAAATTCAAATATTCTTTATTCAACTCCCTCTATTAGAATTTAGAACCAAAACCATTACCACGATTTAAAGTTATGCAATCTATGAATTATTTGATTGTAAATAATTCAACCATTATTGAATATGATAAAGAATGTATGCATTCATAGAGTATGAGATTTTAGAGTATAATAAATCAACAACGAGGATCAGAGCATTTGCCAGCAGAAGAGAAATCATACCTACATGAAAGAGTTACTATTAAGTTTTTAGGTCATCAACATTTCCAATTGTTCTATCTCATACAAACAATAATAAAATAGACTTAAGAGTAGTGATATAACATTGAAATCTATATAATGCAAAGATATGAAAGTGATTGATTAATTCAATTTCTTATAGAAAGGGAAAGTCCTTATACTTGCTTGTAGAATAATGGCATCAATAAGGTTGCACATACTCTTTTAAAAGAATAATGACACAAATTTGATTTAGCTTTACGAATAACAAATATCGCTGAAAGAATTGACAAATTTATTTGTTTTATATCAAGCACACTCATCCGAGAAGTTCATTTTGATTATTAATGCAAAATTATTATACTTTACATAGAATAAAATTGAATTTTACAAAATAGAACAAGTCGATGAAATATAATTCTCAGAAGACGGCACACAACTTTATGCAGTATATTATATAAAATATCAATAGATGAGAAAAAGCATTGTTTATTTTGTCAGATTATAAATTTCGAAAGTGCAATTGGTTGAATTGGTTGATCAATAGAGCAAAGTCATCAATAATAGACTTTTAGCATATAAATGTTGGAAATAAGGAGTATTACTATTAACTGATAAGGGATACTTGAGGTATCTTGAGGTAGACATTAAGGATTAAATACATAAAATTACTATTTATGATGGATTTGGAGTGATTATGATTATGTTTGCATTGGTTTCAATCAAAGTAAATTATTTTTGATAAATTGACATAAATTTTGCGAATTCATTTTTAATTAAAAATTAATTTTAAGAATAAAGAGTGGTATATTATGAAATAGAAGAATAAGAAACCTATCTCTGAACTCTTGAAGCAAAAAAGAATAGCTGAGCAATAATCATAGCAGCCTCAATAACCCGCTTCACCTCCATCTCGATCATCTTCTTCCTGTTCTTCTAAATCATCTGATCCATATGAAAATAGTAGCGATGCTGAGGATTACGAGGATTACAAAAAAGATGGTTATCATCCTGTATGTATTGGAGATAAATTTCACAATGGGAGATATTAAACTATTCAAAAACTTGGATGGGGGCACTTTTCAACTGTTTGGTTGGCGCATGATAAATAATCTGAAACACATGTTGCATTGAAAATTTAGAAAAGTAAACAGAGTTATTAAGAAAGTGCTATTGATGAATTAGAGCTTTTAAAGTATTCAAATCAAATATATATAGGGATTTGTAGAAGCATATAAAGGATGAAAAATGGATTTAGTATTAAGAATAATTATCACAGATTCCAAAATTAGATTATTCAACTCTTAAGTGGTGTGATCCAAACATTAAAAATACAGAATAGGATATGGATATTAAAGTGAAATTGAATGAAACATATTGTGTAGAAATGGTTGACAATTTTATTCATTATGGAATGCATGGAAAACATTATTGTACGGTTTTTGAAGTCCTAGGACCATCTTTATTAGATTTAATTATTCACTTTGATGATTATGATAAAAGAATGGGTATGTGGTTGGTAAAATAAATCACAAGGGAACTCTTAATTGGATTAGTATATATGCATGAAGTTTGTAACATAATTCACACTGATTTGAAGCCAGAAAATATTATGCTTTAATTGAAACCATAGAATTTTGGGGAATTTGTAGAATAAATGAAAATGGTCAAAAAAAAACCAATAAGCATGAAATTTTTGGAAAAATTAAAGAAATCGATGAAATCAACCAATAAAAAATAGGAAAAGAGAAAAAAGTAGAAATAAAAGAAGCTATAATAGTAATAAGAAAAAGATTAGTAGGTATAATAATCAACTGAATAATAATAAGATGTGTAATAATACCAGGATTAATAGTAATAATAATAATAATAATAATAATAATAATAATAATAATAATAATAACAATAATAAAATACATAAATACAACGAAATACAAATAATAATACTGTCTAAGAATAGATATAACAAGATTCATCAATATAATAAAAGAGTACTTAAATTAATGAAGACTAAAATTCTACAAATATTTAATCTGTTTAAAATACTGTTTAACTTGAACCAATAACAGATGAGGAATCTGAATAAATATCAAATATTGAAACTATATAGAATTAAGGCGAATAATAAAGTAATAAAGAACAAGAGAATTAAGAATTATTATAAAAAGAAGAGGTTCATCATGCCCATAAGCATAGAAATTTACAAAAGGAAAAAGAAAAAGCTTAAAAGGATAAAAAGAAAAGTCACAGTGAAGAAGAAGAAATTTCATCTGAAGAGGATGATTAAGATTGGAAATCAGAAGATCAAAGCGAAGAGTCAGAATCGGAAGAAGTAGATGAAGAAACTTTATACACTTTAAAGTATAATACTGTATTTATAAATTAGATGGAAAGAACATATCAAAATAAAGTTAGATAGAGATTTATCTATTAAAATTGTTGATTTTGGAAATGCCTGCTGGACTAATAAGCATTTTACGGATAATATACAGACTAGAGAATATAGAGCACCTGAAGCTATCTTGGGAATTGAATATGATACTAGTACTGATATTTGGAGTACTGCTTGCATTGTGTTTGAATTACTTACTAATGACTATTTATTCAAGCCGAAAAAGGGAAAAGGATTTAAGAAATCAGATGATCATTTAGCTTAAATGATGGAAGTTTTAGGAAAAATGAACAAAAAATGGGCATTGAGTGGTTCTAATAGCAGGGATTTCTTTAACAAAACAGGCTAGTTAATAAACATTAAAGTAGATAACTAAATTATTTATAGGATTTGCACCCAACATCTATTAGTAAAATATTAATGAGTGAATATGGTTTTTCATATTCAGATGCGAATCAAATTGATGATTTTCTTGTTCCAATGTTAGCATTTGAACCAAAGAAGAGAGTGACAGCCAGATAGGCACTTTAACATCCTTGGCTCTGGTCCAAATGATTTATTGAATGTGTTATATTATAAGAAATTACACTAAATAATCATTGAATAATTCATTTGGTTTTTCTTAGAATTAAAATTAAATCTTTTTTTATCCTTTTTTAATTATTACGTCAACAAATACACTATCATTCTTCTGTATACCATTTAATCTTCAAATTCATGTTAATAGTTAAGTTATAAATTTTTGGGATAACTCTTGCAAACAAATGATGATGATATCAAAAATGCACTGTTATTGATAAATGACTTTGATGTAAAATTTGAAATAATTGTTAAATGAAAAAGGAGAATGTTAATCTAATAGATTTAAAAAAATTATGTGATTTTCAAGGAATTTGCTTGAATTGGTATTGGTCCCATTTATTATTCATATTTTCAGAACACTAAAATTTATTTGGATAGTACAAGTTCTGAATCTAATTAATTGTCAAAGACCTGCGAAACAGATTGAACAGTGTAATTATTTATAATAATACTTTCAGTATATTGTTGACACCTAGAATCACTAATTTATTTTAGTAAATCTACTTGAAGATTCTTATAATCTCAATTTGATAGCCTACTTCTGATTCCTCAATTAGCAAAGGTTCATCATTTATGCATGGGTGCTCTTACAATTTCCAAACTTTATTGTCTAATGGAAACTGCTTTGAAGGTTTATTCTCAAATCTAAATTATGACATTAATTTAATATATTTATAAAACTATATAATCTAAATTCAAGTAGTCAAATCATCTACCAAAAATTTTTGTTTGTTTCTCATCACTCGTTTGGGTCTCATTCTGCTTTTTCGCTGGAACTGTTATAACCAAAAACTACCTCAAAAATAGGCTAATGATGGTACAGATAACCAAAAAATTGAATGTGATGAGCTTTAATATATAATTATTGATTAATAGAAATTGTACAGTTTTAGTTAAATTAAGTTTGAAAAAGAAAATATAATAAATTAATTAAGTATGAGAAGTCAACCAAAAAAAAATGTTAATCATCAAACACGTATGAGAGTTATCAAAATATTTACCAATAATAATGAATATCAACCAAATTGCAATTCTGATAAACTTATATTTACTACCAAGCATTAAATCTTGATATTAGAAGATAGTTAACATTATAATTTAAAAGTTCATTAAATGAAATATTTATAATTAATTTCCTCTATTTTCTAGATAAGGAGCTTAATAATCAACAGATTGTAATTAAATTTTTTTTTATAATTCTTATTTAAATTATAAATTATTATAAGGTTATGAACCCTGAAATTAATGAATAAGAATAGTTCATTATTTCTTTTAAATATTCAATCAAAAATTTATGTACTAACTATCATACTAAAGATAACAAGTACTTATTGGAAATAGTAGATAATGAAGTTAAAAAGTCTTATTAATATATTTTGTTGAATTTAGAATATTTCACGTTAGATTAAAATGATTATTTCTTTGGTTAACTCTTTTAGTTATTATTTAAGAATTATAGAGTTCCTTAAATAAAACCAATACTTCCATTTAGTATGACTACCTTGATTATTTTTAGAATTTGAATTTAATTAAAGATTATTCCTTCGTTGTTTAAATCCATTTGTTTTTTATAAAGAACTTTATAAATTGAATCTTTCGATTTCTAAATTAAGTTGCTCACAACATTCTTCTATCATAATGTTTTTATATAATATAAAAATTCAATTTATTGTAGAATATCCTAAATTGTATCATGTTTTTTCTCATTTACTATTTATATAAAGTCTCCAAAATCTAAGATTCTGATCATAATATAAATTTTAATAAATATATATATAAATATAAAGAGTCATTTGATCGAGTTAAGATAATTTGTAAAATTCTTGTAATATCTGAATGATCGATTGGCATAATTGTCATCAGATTATAAAAAGAGTTTCATTTTATTTTAACGATTAGCGCATTATTAAAACGAGTATATTTGTGAAATTTGCGATAGTAGTTTCTACTACTAGGAACTAAATGGACGGATATGTGATTACTTTTTAGGTTTTTCAAGGGATATATGTTGTATCTAATTATTTATTTATATAGTATGATTACTGATTATTCCATGTCTAGGATTTCAGATTTAGCCTTTTCAGAGATCGAGGCATTCATTGGTCTCTCAATGATATGCCATCTTTACCTCAATTCTCTTACATCTTTTAGATGATTACGATATTTAATAATGTGTTCGTCATTCCAATTCTCTTATTCATGAAAGCTTAGTTACTTTTTGGTTTTGGCCAGTCTATTTTCGAATTTGGATTTGTTCTAAGGACAAGTCAAGGGCGAGGCCTATACTTTCTAGTTACGCCAACAGTATGAAGTTTTCATTATTTTTATAAATTATATTGTCTTAAGCATAAATCATTTTTTATTGACTTTTTAATAGTATCCCGTTGATGATCTTCCCATTTATTATTGAACTATATTGTTAGCTGATTTATTGATTCCATTGTATTTTGAAGTCTACTAATTGTTATTTGGTTACTAAAATGGATAATAATATCCTTGTTTATATTGATTAGAATTGGCGACTATCGAGTTTGATTTATGATGAGTTTATTGGGTATGTTGTATCTGTTAAATTGAATTTTCTTAAGAAATAGTTCTGGCAACATCTTGGCTGTGTTGCCTAACTTAATTTCCAGATTGGGATTGCGGTCTCTAGTTTTTCTTTTATAACAAAGCCTATTGTTGCATTTGTTAATAATAAATCAATTGCAAATCGTCCACCTTATTTAAATCTATCAGATCATCTTGTCGTTTTGGACTGGGTTCTTTGTTTTTGAGCCTATAATATAGAATTACATCGATTACTTTTTATCATTCTCCTCTTCCAAATTGACACCCAATTGAGCTAAATACTTGTGCTGCCACTTTTTTCGTTGATCCTTCTTCCTCTTTGAAATGTCTGAGTACAATGACTCACGATAATCCTTGATGGTGAATTTCTTGTTGTCATTCATCGAAATTTTGAATGGCTGCAAACTCACAATCTCCTCATCTGGCTACGAGAATTCTATAACATATTTATGTTTTAAAGCTTGTTCTGCAGTCAATCTTGTTTTTGGGTTATAGCAAAGCAATCTCCTTATTAAATCAAGAGCTTCTTCTGTAGCCCCAGTAAAGAATTATGCAAAGGATTTCTTTTTCGAGATATTGATTGAAGCTAGAATATTAGCAGCCAATTGACTATCTAAAGATTCTAATTCATCTGCTTTTGGTTTCCCAAGGAGTTCAATTATACGTTCGATTTGATTCAAAGATGATGTCCCTGGAAAAATGGCTCTTCCAAGTATCAATTCTCCTACAATACAACCAACAGACCACATGTCTACTGCCTTGCTATACTTTGTAGAACCAAGTAAGATCTCTGGAGCCCGATACCAACGAGTAGCCACATATTCAGTGAGAAGAACCATTCCTATAAAAAATTATGTTATTATTCAAACCATCCTCTTCATTCTACACTAGACTTCTAGCTAAGCCAAAATCTGCAACCTTCACCAGACATTCAGAATTCAATAGGACATTTGATGGCTTCAGATCTCTGTGTATCAATTCGCCTGAATGTATAAACTTTAGAGCTTTTAAGATTTAATAAACAATATATTTCTTATGTATTTCTTCCAAAATATTGGCACGCTAATCTTCAAGAAGAACTTCTTACTATTACTGCATGTAGATCAGTCTCCATATAATCGAATACCAAATATAAGTCTTTATTATTCTCAGCCTTCATTATATTCAGCAAACGAACGACATTCTCATGTCCATTTAATTCCTGAAGAAACATGACTTCTCTAAAGGTTCTCTATGCATCAGTGGCATTATGAAATGCGTCAAAAACCTTCTTCAAAGCAACCACCTATTTGAAATTTCATTAGCAAAGGTACTTGTTTCAACTTCTTATCAATGGCTTTCCACACAATACCATATGCTCCTTTACCTAATTTCTGGATGATCTCAAATTTCTTAGCTATGTAGGGTTCAATCTCTTCACTCATTTTTAAAATTATAATAAATAATATAATATATGACAATCCTTAAATTATATTTATTTTATAACATATTTCATATATATATATTTAGTGTATTATATGAATTAAATTATAACATGTAAATTGGAATAATCATTAACTACACTTATAAGGAATAGGTACAAAGTTGTATCTTGATTGATTTTAGAAATTTTAATTGGTTTATATCCATTCTTATTTCAAATTATAATTGGAAGTCATTATTTCAGAAGAAAATCGATATATATATCATATTCTTCAGTTTATTTTTTTTTAAATAATTATCATTTATAATTGATGATTATGTAAGGTAAGTGAAAAACAACACTTGACAAATTTGAAATAGCACAGATCATAATAGCTAAAGAAATTTGAAATCATTGTATCAAAAACATATCCAAAATACATGGGGGTTAGATTTTATGTTTCTAAAGATTAGTATCTTTCTTGTAATTCTCTTAATTTATTCAAAATTTCATCTTTGTCGCTTTTTTTAATTGTTTCTTAGCTTTGAATTGTTCTTTTATTGTAATAAATTATTCTGTTTGTAATTTAGTACTTAGATTCCCAAGCTTTTATATATTTTTTAAGGGAATTGGGTTGCTTAGATACTATTCCATTAATGTATTGTAGATTCAGTTTCATTTAATTGATTTGATCGTTATTCAAAATCTTACTTGTGTTACTCCAACTCTTTCAATAAGGCTTGTAATTAATTCTTCAATTAATAGATTTCTTATTCAATTATTGTGTATTTGTAATAAATTTATTCTAAATTTTAATATTTTTTTTGCCATAACTTAATCAAATTCTCCGCTTCAGCCAAAGGTATAGAAAGATCAGGTCTTTCCTTCAATTCATCAATAAATTATTATTGCTCATTATCTGGCTTATTTAATTCATTAATTTTAACATCTCTTTATTCAATCTAAAACTTCTTTCTTTCAATTCTCAGTTGTTTGTAATTCCATTAGCTTACACAAGGTCATGTTCTAATTAATTCTATCACTAAATTATATTGGTTTGCCTCTTTACCGTAGTGTATCATTTCTCAATTAGCTAGATTTTAATTTTTGGTAACCAAAATTCTTAAATAATTTGATCCATCTTCTGATTTCTAACAAATTATCTACTAATTATTTAATTTGAAATCTCTTTCTTTGACCGATTCCAATCACAGATATTTAATTGTTCATTTTATCTACAAAACGAACATTTAAAAAATCAACTTAAGATTTTATTTATTATTTTCAGACTACTCCAAATATAACAGATTTTAGAACTCTATGCACTCATTGTTTTGGATATTGATTTTATAATAATAGATGGATATTTGAGAAATTAAATTATAAAATCACAATTAGATCCCTCTTACTGTAATTGATTATACCTTTCCACTTACAGGTCGATAGCGTTAACTCACTTTTACTTATTTGTTGACTGCACTTTAAGGTCTCAATCCTTAAGGTTTCGTCTTGACAATTACAGGACTTTTAGTATAAGTTTGACCATTAATCAATTTCATTATTTCAGCAAGATTGTCATAGATTTGCAAACTAGAGTGTTTGAATAATCTTTATTAATGTTAAGCCCCTTTAATTATTGTTGTATTTTAATGAAAACCACCTGTTAATTATTGCTCACTCTGCTTTGGAGAGAATAAACTACTCTTTACAGTTTGTTTTTCTATTATATTTTAATTCTTCGCTTCTTCGTCTTCAATAACATAAATTTCACTTTCTCCTTCTAAAGAAACCTTTTTTAAAGTTGAGTTATTCCGAATGACTTTTTAATTTGCTATTTAATAACTTATACAAAATAAGTTACTTTTATCTAATGTCTTTGTATTCCGAAAATGCTTTGCTTCTGAATGGTATGGTACTGATATCATTGCTTCATTCTCATCTATCTTCATCATGTGTTTCACTTACACATTCAATCCTGGTGCTGTTATTGGCCTCTATCTTGATGAATAGCTATGACTAGGCGATATTAATGCAGTCATCGGTCTTATTGACTTTTAAGGTCCTATCTCTATATCTTCTTACTCTTATTCCCTTCTCGCTTTAAATGCTTACTTCTATAACCCTTCTTTAGTTTTCCAAATGCCATAATTATGGTAGTCCTCTTAAAGACTTTATCTCAAGTACTCATGCTGCTTTTTACGATACATTACAGGATAGAAATACTCCTCTACTTGCTTTTCTTTCTACATCTATTCTCGATATATTATTTTGTTATATAATTATTATTAATTGTTAAATAGTTATGCTTATTGATCTATGAATTATTGTGACAATTTGTAATTCAAAGTAAAAACTGGAGATTGCTATGGTAAAGTGAAGATTCTCTTCTAAACAAAGAGTTTAATTGGATAGAAATAGACTATAAAAATTTATTGAAATAGTAATAACCTAAATAGTGATCATATTTTTATTTGTATAGTTAATGTAAGTCTAAATGATAAAGAAGATGAAACCAAACCTTGAATATTTAGTTAAAGAAAATAAAATACTATTAATTTGTATATTTATTCTTATGGTTTAAAAAATATTGAAAATACATTTCCAATTTAATGATGAAATCATGTTTTCTATTATGAAGTATTTAAGTCATAATTTTTGATCTGATATTTATTGTGTTTTATTACAATTATTATGGAATTTTGGTTAAAATTATGATTTGATGTTTTTTGAAATTATTTTATTTTTATATTGTCATTTTATTCTTAGATAAGTGTGAGTAGAAATTACTGATTACTTAATAAATCAAAAATTCATAAAATACATAAATTTATATTCACACTTTGAAATTCTTATTTGTTATCCATTTATCTTTTTAAATCACTCTAAAATGAGGTTATGAAGCAGTCCTTGGTATCCTGGGAGTAGTAATCTACTTTTGCTCTGTTAAGAAAGGAGTCGATTAACCCTCTTCACTAATTGTATTCTGAGTTTATTTCAAATATTTTTTAAGTTATCGACTTTGAGACAAATAACCAGGAACCCAAAGTGGTCTTGCATCAGGAAAAATGTTCTTATCAATAGTTGGATGGAGAAATTAAATAATCTCGGCACCTGTTTTATTGAATATTAGAGTTTATTCTTCAAAATTATGTTGTGGTTATGCGCTATATGTGCTTGGCTATCGATCTTAATCAGCCTGAAATGGTTGATTTGAAAGCGAAGAATTCTAATAAAAATAATTTGCTGATTTACTTAATCTAATAATCTGTCTAAATCTTTTGGATTCAATTTCTAAGTTGTTTATTTAAATTTCTTTTTTCCAATCGCATTATTCACTACAACATCTAATTGATTGGATTTCTTAGCAGCAAACCCTGCATGATGAAATTCTGTAATAACATTAAATTTGATTGTCTTTTAGTTGTTATATTTACTACGGCCTAAATGTTCTAAATAAATATCCATAGCATTGTCATTCTATTTAATAGAAGCAATTTCAATTGGAATCGTTTACGCCCTCCCAGAACATAATTTGGCTAGATAAATTATTAATATACTTAGTTAATATCCCATAAAATTACGGAGAATTTGAACTGTTTCCTTGTATTTAGAGCGTAGAGCGAATTGAGTAGCTATTATATTATCTGAAACTTAGATTATGAGAGGTCCTATTTATAATTAAAGAAGATGAACCTTTTTCACAATCAGCCAAAGTTTGGAATGTCTTCTTCGGATTCACAAAATTAAACGGATGAACATCCCATGAATTCTTAAATGGAACCACAAATTCAAAAGGCAAACTATTAAATAGATAATTATGCATGGAATTCTTTCTCAAAGAGCAAACGATCTCATTTTCTTTGGAAACATAAAGTTAATCGATTTCTTTCATTCTCGATACCTTGTATTGTGGAGCCTTAACAATATACTTGCCAATGGTTTTAAATTCTTCAGCAGCCCTTCTACTGTGTACACCAGCATTTCCCTTGCTGACCCATTCTTCAGTATCATAATTAAAACTGTATAAATCACCAGTTACATTATCAAGAAAGAAATCACTCATTCTGATTTCATTAAGAGGTTTCTTGATTTTAGAGAGGTCTCCCAATTATCCACCATTAAGTCCATTAATCACTGAGAATTACTAAAGTAAGTGTAAGTTTGTACACATTCAACATTAGATGCAATCAAAAAGACTAAGCCTTACATGGCAAATGATGAGGCAAATAGAATCTTATTGCTTCGCATGCACATCCTTAATAAAATCAAGAACTTGTAAGCATTAGGAGACCAAGGTCTAAGATTTGCGTCTCCTTCAAAAAAGATTAAATCGATAGAATCGAACATCTTTCCACATTCAACTCTCACAAAAGAACTGTCTATTTCATAAAGAAAGTCATCTATTGAATCTCGATCAGCAAAGAAGAATTCTAATTCTGTATCTATCATCTCTTTCTTACCTGTTAACACCTACATATAATTTTGATGAATACTTCTTTAATAATTTGTTTGTAATGTTCTTAACTCCTAAATCCTTTGATACATTTTCCATACCCATTAACTATTAAAATTTTCATTAATAATATATTAGTTATTTTATAACAATTTTAATTTATGCTTTCAATATCAATGCTTTTATAGAAATTCTCCCTCTCCATCCATTTTATCATTTTTCCACTGTCCAATAAGTTTGTCTCCATTTTTCCAATAATACACTCCTTTTCCTTATCTCTTTCCATCCTAAAACACACCTTCAAAATAATCACCATTCGCATATTCATATCTTCCTTTTCCATAACTTTTTCCATTTACCCATTCTCCAAAATAAACATCATTATTGACCATTTGCAATCTTCCTATTCCATTTCGTGTATCATTCTGATAATCTCCTTCAAACCTATCTCCATTAGAATAAGTATAAATTCCTTTGCCAGAACGTATTCCGTCCACAAAAGATCCTTCATATCTATCCCCATCAACATAATATAAAATTCCATGTCCAAATTAAGTATCATTCCTCCATTCTCCTTGATATTTAGCTCCATCTGAATATTAGTATAATCCTTATCCTTCTTTTAAACCTCCTTGCCATTCTCCTTCATATTTATCTCCATTTTAATACTCCATCACTCCCAATCCATTTGCTTTATCATCCAAGAATTCTCCCTCAAATCTTGTCCCATTTAAATACTCAAATACACCCTTCCCTGATTTAGCACCATCTCTCCAATCTCCAAAATATTTATCACCAGTTGTGTAGATGTACATACCCTTCCCATGTTTTTCTCCGTCAACCCATTATCCTTCAAATTTTTCGCTATTTACAAAGTATGTATATGTTCCCTAACCATTTTTTTTATCATTAGCCCATTCTCCCTCATATACGTTACCATTTTCATATAAATATATACCACGGCCATGTTTGATGCTTTCTCTCAAATCTCCATCATATCTCTCTCCATTTGCGAATAAATAAACTCCTTTTCCATGAAACCTACATTGTGCTTTCTGTTTTACCTATCGTCCTTCCATTCTCCCACATAAGTGTCACCATTACTATAATAATATATGCCTTTGCCACATCTTTTATCATTGTTTAATTCTCCCTCATACTTGCCCATGTCAATGTAATTTTTAATTTTAATTCCTTTCTTATATCTTGGAGGTTCTTCAGATTCCTTTATCCATTATTGCTAAAATCGCTAAATTATTTCCTTCTTCTCCTTTATCAATTTGGACTTATCAAATTCCTATGAATGAATTTTCAATTTTATATCTGCCATAATCAAAATTAAAATTATTAAATATAAACTAGTTCATTGTTTAAGTTAACTTGATTTCATCAACAATAACATTATTTCTTCCTCAGTATAAATGCATTCCTACTAACAATACCATTCTCCATACGAATTGATTGCATCATATTTGGTTTTCACTTTTCCACATCTCTTACAATTTACCTTAATTTAATTAAGACTTCATTACCTATATATCCTTCAAATACAATTATTTGCATTTTTCAGAGCATACCTTTCTCCCATAGCAATCTATGCTTTCAAAGATCAATTAAAAGCAAATCCAACAACATTCTTTTTAATCATTTTGCAAGTTCTATTCTATTTTTGGTGTTTTATTTGTTGGTTCTTTAGCCATCTTCTCAATCGCTTTCTCAATTTTAATCAAGTCTTTATACCTATAATTTAATCTGATATCCAAATGGTAAATCCTTTATATCTTTAAATGATCTGATCAATAAAATCATTAATTTACTTCATCTCAATAAGTTACTATAAATTATCATCGCAATGCTACGCTATCTTTCCATAAAATTACTGCAAATTTATTTATGTTAAAAAATCAAATAGTTCTTTATTCATCTTTTATTCTGACCATCTATGTTATCTCTATTATTATAATTAAGTCTTCAAATTGTTGATTGATTAAGTCTAAAATTTTACAACTATTTACAATGTTCTATTACATTTTCTGTTAACTATTCGCTCTTCTTTGTTAAGACATCTAATCAAATTTATTTAATAATAATATTGAATTCAAATAATTTATAATTAATTTATAATTTACTTCCCTCCAAACAATAGGCCAATCTTATTGTTACCCTTATACTCATGAAAGGATATTCTTAATCAACAATAATTTTTTTTAAAGTATGAGTTTTAGATACTATTTGATATCCTCATCCTTATTTGAATGTAAATTTATTAGTTTGAAATTATTGTAAAATTTAATATTTCTCTGAGATTAATATGTCAGAGTGAATTATTATTAGACTAAAACGAAGGGAGATTCTTCGTTTCTATGTCTTTATTATCTGATTTCCATATTTCAACTAATCTATAATAGAGTTTAAATACTTGGAGAAATATCATTTCTTCTCTAAACTACATTCTTTTAATTATCTTTTTGAATATGGTAACATCTGATGTGATCCATAGACTTTATTTTAGAAATATATTTTATTGGTTTCTTATTAAAAAATAGATTGGTTAATTTCTAATTTTGATAATCACATATATTATACATTTTATTTGAATAATGATAAGACTTGTTTGCAATTAATAAATTTAAGCAACTTAATCTATTGTAATTGTACTATTTGTTTTTTATAATTGGATTAAGAATTTGATATTCTAAAATAATTTATAGAAAATACGAAAATAAAGGAATTCTGATTTAACAATTCTTATATAAGAATAAAAATAGTAATATCAATTTAATCTAATAGTGGAAAATTTTAATTAAAAATTACAATAAAATTGAATATTGATTAATTGTAAATACTATAAGTTTAGGATAAGGAATAAGTTAAAATCTACTGCTACATATTTATATTATAGTAATTACTCGAATAGTTAATAATATTAGTTAATATTCTATGTTTCGAGAGTAGACATACTTTTTTAACGCTTCTAATATTTTTTACTATTTTTTATATATTTAGTTGGCATATTTTAGATTAGAAGGATCGATAATTATCGAAATATAGGGATCTGACAGGTTTAAGTATATGAATGCATTTTTGATTAGTATTTTAAGTTTTTAAGCAGGAGGTATAGTCAATGCCCATCAATCCTAAACAATAAAATTGTTGAATGAATAAGAAGATCGTGAACTTTAAAAATCATTTGTGTAATATTGGTTATTTATCATTAATAGAGATTGTAACATAGTGTAATATCAAAATAATTAACAACTTTAGGACTGGCAACAGCCCACTTTTTCTTTATCTTGATCTATGATATTAAAATTTTTCCAATTGTCCACTAATATAATGTCATACAATTTAGCTTTGGCTGTTACTTCATCTCTAAATGTTATTTAATATTATGTTTTTTTGTTTTTGAGTATCAAATTTCCCAGTTTGTCAAATCGTTATGCTCTTGGTGAAGTAATATAAGTATTTTTCTAGCACTCAAAACTTTGAATATCAGGATCAGTTATCTTGCTTATAGATTTGTGTAGTGGGGCCAAGTTTTATAATTCAAGGGAAGGACCATGCCTTATACTATCTTAAAGCATTTTTATATTATTTGATTATAATTTTAGATAAAACAAATCATAAATATGTATATTTGCATAAATATTGTGTTTAATGCACATGAAAAATATTATTTTATGTTAAAGTTAACTGATTGAAATTTGAGTTTAAGAGATTCCTTCTATTAAAGAAACTCAAAATAACTTAAAATATTATTAAAGGTTATTTTTGATTGTATCATCATGTTTATACTGATTTTTAAATCAGGATTTAAATGAACTTTGCCCTTAAATTTTCTATCATTCTTACATCTTTTACTTTGATAATATAATCTAGAGAATACTGATGTTTTAATAAGAATAATGAAACACCTAAATTTATTAATGAAATTAGTTCATTCTTACTTTCTAATGAATCTCCTTGTTAATTTATATCATTATAGTCCAATTTATGAGTTAGATCTAAATCAGTAGGCATTTTCAAAATCTCTTTGTTAAATTTATCTTGACAATTACTCTTTATTGAATTAATTTGCTAGGGTACGATAGTCTCATCAAGACTTTTTGAAAATGGCTATCTAGCTTAGTTCTTAGTATTAAATCATCTAAACCATTTTGTTTTATTTTAGAAGAGGATGATTAGTATTGATAATTATTTGACTGTTTTTATTGATATCTTTAACTGTAATCCCTACATTGTGAAGTTAGATAATTAAAGCAAATTTATACTTTTTATAATCTGATGCTACTATGAAAGGATCGTCAATACATTGTCTTTTAATCTAAACTTATAATGCGTGAGTATAAATTTGAATTTTTTGGATATTCCAATTAAGATCTGTAATCTTCATAAAAGAATTATTATTTGAAACAAATTCGTTCACTTATGTCTTTGATTCATTTCATTCATATATAATAATAATAAATATTCATGCGAATTTAGCTTTTATTAATCAAATATCAAACTTATTTTGATTTTAATAATTTTCAATTTTAAAATTTTTAATACAATTCAAATTGATTAGCGAATGGATAAAAAATCATTCTTTTTCTTTTACCTTATTAAACATTTAATCAATGAGACTTGATATTATTTTAAATGAGATCCAACATCAAGTAAACACACTATGTGCTCGACTTTTCTGATATTGAAGATATTTCAGATAATGAATCCGAATCTTCTTCACCTCAACACAATCAACCTCATGATTCACCTCCTAGGACTGACATTAAATCATTACAATAAGGTTCACTGCTTCAAGCTGTCAAAAAAGAAGCTGTAGAAATACCTTCTCTTATAATTTAACAAGAAGAAGACTAAATTCAAAGACGAAAGCCAGAAAATCTTATCTAAAGATGGGAAGTGAACTTTGATGAACTGTCAGAATATGAGGAGGCAGATGATACTCCAGTATCTATTCAATTAGAGAAAGAACCCAGTCCACAACCTCAACTTGAAGAACCTCAATACATAGAGTAATTTTTTGAAGACTAACATATCATGGAGGAGGTTGAAATAGATTAAGAATAATTGATATTGGAGAGAGTCAAGAATGTCTAGAAGCCAGCTCTAGTAACGAAATAAGAATGTAAATTAAAATCTTAAAAAAACCATTTAGAGAAAGTAAGCATTCGCATTGTGACCAACCCAATCAATAAATTACAAAAGGAATACGTAAATGATAGTACTACCACTCAAAAAAGGGATATCAATTAACATATTTAATAGTCCAAACCTAAATAAATTGTAAAGTAGAAATTTTACAATCCAAAGAACTCTCTTATATATTTAAGGTTGAGGGGTCGAGAAGACTTATATAAGAGAAATGATATTGTAGTAGATGAACCGCCGAAGCCATAGGAAGTTGATTAATTGCTTGAAGGCTTAGATTGCATAAATAATTTACTTATAGACTTATCAAATCTTAAAGAAAAAAAACAGAATACTGTTGAAAAAAAACAAATTACAATTAAAATACAAAAACGTAGGGTAGATGAAAATAATGTAAATTAGATAGAAAAACAAACTAACAAAATAGAGAAGAGTAATGAACAAATATAGGAAAAAGAAAAATAGTTAGAATAATAGTTAGAAATATAGTCATAAAAATAGTAAGAAAAATAGTTAGAAATATAAAAATTATAAGTTTAGAAATAGAGAGAATCTGCTTAGAAATAATAACTTTAATAAGAAGCAGCATTGGCTAGATAAATTAGACAAGAAAAACTGTAATAAGAGAAGGAAATGAAAAAATAACAAGAATAAAAGTTGGTTTACAAGATTCTAACCAAAAAATTGATTAATCAAGGAATGCCTTTGTATAGATGTTTATTAAGATAAAAACAGAGGGAATTTATTAAATGGTTGAGATTTTCAGAAATTGCATTAATAAATGAAGGGGAAAAAGAGATCTATAGATTTGAAAAAAGAATGTCAGATCAAATGTTTTTATAGATCCATAAATAGAATATGACATCAGTTACAATCACCAAATAATGTATGTTTAATCCCATAATTTTACATTATGTGTAAGCATAGGAGATTCCCTTAGAGAATCCATAAGAGAATAAATCTTTAGAAATAGAAAAATAAATTAAGCAAGAAGAATTTGATAAAAGTGTTAACAATAACAAAATTAATAGTGAGTGCAAGAAGCAAAAAGAAAAGAAATAACCAAAGTAAAAGAAACATAAAAAGAAAAATTCATCGGAATGTATTGAAATATTGTAGGAAGACAAAGAGAAAGATAAAGAAAAAGAGAATGAAAAATCATTGAAAATTGAAAAGGATAGGGGAATATAATCTAATAGTGAAGATGAAGATTTTGATTTGTTGAATGCCGATAGAATCTAAATCTTAAAAATAGTTATTGATAAACGAAAATATAATAATAGATAGCATCAATAATTACAGAATGTTTAATATCCAGATGAATCTAAATAACCTGATGATGGTGTGATGATTATATAAGGAATGGATCAATAAAATGAGCAGAAGTTTGAACAGGATTAATTACCTACTTAATTTTACTAGAAATAATACAAATATTTAAATACTCCAGCTAATAAATCAGGATAGGCGATTGAGAATTAGAATGAAGTTAAGTAGAAAAAAAATAGATCTTATAAATATACAGAATTACCATTGAGCAGATTGGAAACAAATGATGAAATAAAGAAGAAGGAAAAAATTAATGATAAAAAAAAGGAGAAAAAGAAGTAGGATTTTTTATAGTTGTTGAATGAGATTGAAATTGAATAAAAGTAACAACAGTTAAAGGAAGAACAATAAAAGAGAAAGTATAAATCCATATAGTAGAATAAGGATAAATAACTGCAAAAGAGTTATGAAAAAATGGTGGGATCAAATAATTTAGAATGGTTTTAATCAGCAGATGTAAACTCTAAGATCAAAAAGGAGCAGAAAATGAAAAAGTCGAAAAATGCCAATAGGATGACTAGATCAGAAGTGAAATAAGATATTTAAAGTGGAAATTCCTCGGTTGCAAGATCGTCTTCCATTGAGTAAGGAGTCTATTCCCCTAAGAGAGAGGAAGTAGAAAAGAAGCCAAGAAGGCTGAGGAGGAATGAAACTGATAGGGAGGATTCAGAGGAGATTGCATGTCTTGAAAGGAATAGAGATAATCAAAAAAGATTAAAGAGGTGATATTGATGTTGAACTATTATATATGTTATAAATTGAAATAATTGATGTTGTAATTAATCTATGTTTTAACTTTTTTATCAAATAGTTTTTTATGGGGAACTATATATATGATCTATTTGGCATTTTTCAAATTCTTTTGGAATCAGTCTAGATACTAGTTTGAATGCTTTTGAAAAAGAGTATTAAAGATTACGATTGAATTAGATGTAGTAGTGCCATATATCCGTTTTTATTATTATTTTTTTAATATGTTAAAATTAGTTAGCATATTGCTGCTGACATTGTTGTTAGTGAAATCAACGGAAATTCATGGAACCATCAATGTGAAAGTTATATTACCGAATTAAATTTCCGCATAAGAATCGAGTGGGGAACTTGATAAAGCATATAGATAGAATGAATTACGAGAGAATTCTGTAATGAAGGATATTGCTATGTATAAATGCATTCTATTCAGCTTAGAAGTTTTCTTGAAACAGGTAGGTCTGTTGAAGTGAACGAAGTAAAGGATAAATCCATTGAAATTTGGTCACAAAAATCATTGGAAATAGAATAGCAACCACTAATCAAAGCAGAATAGACAAATGAAAATGCAAAAACTATTGAAGTCTAATCTGATTAAGTAAATAAGGAATCAGGAAGCTAATAAAAGAAATTATCCATTAAAGTACAAAAAAAGGAAAATAAATCAGTTGAGTAATCAACTAGTGATGTTATTGCCAATCCAAATAATAATGTTGAAGCAAAAGACAATACAAACTAATCTGATAAATAAAAAGAAGCTTCAATATAGTAAAAGAAATTTTCAGTTTCTGTAAGCAAAAAGCAAAAATCAGAAGAGTAGAATGCTAGCCAATAGTAATAAGAAGTTTAGAATGAATAACTCTAAAATGAGAATAAAGAAAAAGTCCAAGAAGAGATTTAATAAAATACTTAAACAGCAAATACAGAAGCTGAAGTATTATCTAAAGACAGTACTTAATAATAAGATGCATCTGCTAATAATTAGGAGGTTGAGAATACTTAAACTGAATCTAAGAATATAGAAGCAACTAAATAAGTGGAATCTAGTAGTTCATCTTAAGAAATTAAGGTTGATGATTAATTGGAATAGAATAATGATTAAAACTAAGTTAAAACTGAAATCGACAATCAAAAAGAAACTTAAGCTGACACTGCAAGTGAATCAATTTAAGAATAACAAAATTAAATTCCAGCATAATAAAATGAAACGGAATAACAATAAAAGGAGAATGTTGTGTAAAAGGAATCTTCTGAAGTAGAAACTTAATAATAATAAGAATTGAATACTTTATAAGATAAAAACATTAATAAAATATCTGTTGAGAGCAAAAAAGATGAAATTGAATAGTTGGCAAAAGATGATGTTTAAAATGAGGTTGTGATTCAGGATATTAAAATAGAAACTTAACCAATTCAATAAGTAGATGACAAGTAATAATAAGCAGATACTAATAAAGTTGATGATTCAGAAATCTTAATCAAATCAGATGAAGAGATCAAAGTTGATCCAGTAGCATCAGATTCTAAAGATTAAGGAGAAAAAGAAGATTCTGCTGAGGAAGTTGAGGAGGAACATTCAAATAATACAGAAACTAAATAAAATTAAGATGATAAAGGATAAGCACCTGATAATTAGGATGATTAACATGATCAACCAATTGAAGAAAATACCTAATGTGATGGGGAAGAGTTAGATACTGTACATGCATAAGAAAGTTAAAAGGAAGCTTAAGTGAAAGCAGAAACTTAAAATACAATTGAATAAAAATAAGCAGAAGATGTTAAATAAGAAGAAGTAGTTAATTAATAAGAGGTAGTTTAATAATAAGAAGATATCAAATAAGAAGGAGTAGTTTAATAATAATAATAAGATGTATAATAATAAGAGATTAAAAAATAGTAAGATGTAAAATAATAAAAATAAGAGATCAAATAATAATAAAATGCCAATTAAGAGAAAAATAAGGATACTGATAAATAAAAGTAGGCTGAAGCACCTGATTTCATAGTCAAAAAGAAATAATTGACTAAGAAAATGAAGGAAGTTATTAATGATATGAAATAATCAGACAAAGCTCCTTAAAACAAATTGTACAGTTTGAATGTTTCAAATTTAGATCCTGATGATGTGATTGTCATAAAAGACACTGCCTACTTTGACACAGATGCTGAAATAACAGTTTAAGAAACAATTAATCCAGAATAATAATTAATTGGAGAAGTTGTAAAGGTTTAAGCTGAAATTGAGAAAGTTGATCTGAGCATATTCGCTGATGATAGTTCTGATTTAGTTCCAATTATTGTTGAAGACACAGACAATTATGTCTAATCTGAAATTATCACTGATGCAATCAAGGATGTCACTGAGAAGGAAATTGAAATAATGGAAGAGGATAAGAATTTAGGAGAAGCTGATGTTGATGTTTAATCCTTGATTTCTGATTAAGTAGAAATCAATGCTAATTAAATCACTAAGAATATTTAGGATGACTATACTTTGGATTATGATTAAATGGAGACTGATGTTATTTAAAATAATAGTTTAAATAATGATGGAACTAATTTCGATTAATTCCAATCCTAATTAGATGAATTAGCAAAGGAACTTGATAATCTTAGTTTGGAATAACCATCATAACCTACTTTGGAAGAACCATCTTAACCTGCTTTGGAATAACCATCTTAACTTACTTTTGAAGAACCTAAGGTTATTGACACACAACAGACTGAGGTTGCAAAAGAAGATCAACAATACTTAACCATTGTTACCAATAATGACTCTACAATTACCAACACTGCTTCTGATGATGATTATTATTTGGATGATTTAGATAATGAGTTAGATTAAATTATTTAATAATAGACAAATGTCTAATAGGAACCTGCAATTTAAGAATAGGTAGTTTAATAAAGCAATGATATTGAATAGAAAGATGAGGTGACATAAAGCTAAGAAGTTTAATAAAATGATTAAGTTGATGAATTAAATAATTAGGATGAATAATAAACTATTCAAATTAATGATGAAAGTAAGTCTAATCAAAATCTTGATGTTGATGAAAATCTTAACAATTATGATGATTATTATCAAATGGATAATTCAAATGAATAAGATGTTCAATCAGATGTATAATAAGAATAAACTGAAAAATAAGAAATTCAATAAGATGATGTTTAATAAGTAGAATAAGAATTAGAAAACGAAGAGATATACGAAAGTTAAGTTTAATCCAATGAAGAGGCTGTTGTTAGTGATGGAGTAATGGTCTACACTGGTGATTCTAATGTTAATGATCAGGAATCTGATATTAATAAGGATTATGATCTCTCATTTGAAGATTCAAATTCATAGGAAAATACAAACTAAGATGATTCAAGTAAAAAGTAGGATGCAAGCATTACATAAGATCAATAAACTTAAAATGTTGAAGCAAATTAAGAAATTAAAACATAAGTAAATGTAGATAAACCAGATTAATAATAAGAGGTAGTCTAAAATCAAGTGGTTGAGTAGTCAGATAATTAAGTAACTGAAAATAAGGTAGATGTTAATTAATAAGAGAATTAGGTAAGTGTTGATTAGTCTAATTCTGATGAACCTTAAAAATAACTAGAATCTTAATAAGAGAGTGTATCAGTATCAAAAGAAGAAACCGAGGCTTAATCTAACGTCTCTACTTAATAACCAGAACAACAGGCCTAATAATAAATAGAAGAATAAGTTGATGAATAAGAAAATGAAATTACTTTAGAAAATGCAGCTGCTTCTGAGGAAATCAAATCTGAAGATCTACCTAAGGTTGAGATCAAGAAGAAGTAATTGTTGAAAAAGAATATTACTATAAAAGAAGAAGCTGATAACACTATTACTAATGAAGACATCAATGGAGAAGGAACTGTTCAAGAGGATAATATTGAGGTTTTCTATAATGATTCTTAAATACCTTAAGCTGAAACAGATGAAAACTTAGACGTTAAATCTGAACCAGAAGTTATTGAGAATCTTGAAGACTTAAAAGATTGCATTGAAAATGATGAGGATGAGCATACTGTTGAAAATAAGGATGAGGTTGCATAGGAGAAGAACGAGAAAAAAGAAAAGCACTCCATAAAAGTGAGTAGGGAACAGATACCATAAAATAAGTAGTAGGATAAATCTTTGAAAATTGAGTAAAATGAAAAATAAACTAAATTTGAAGAATAATTACATCAGTAGATTATCAACAAAAAGTAAAAAGAGAAATAATAGTTGAGTAATGAGGAGTAATTTGATTAGATTGTGAATGAATTAGTTCATGAATTAGAAGCTACAACCAATAAAAGAGTTGAAACTAGAGAACAAGAATAATAAATTTATTAGGATATTAAAAAGAATGTGGAAGAACTTAGATAGATTCACAATAGTGATGATGTCATAGTTAAAAAGAGAGTAGATGTAGTTGAACAAGATGTAGATGCAGTTAATGATGAAAAAAATAAGGAGAAGGAATTCCAATAGAAAATTGAAGAACTATTGCGAACATAATAAGCTTAAGCTGCATCAAAGAACAAAATTAATGATGGTGAAAGGTATTATTTGGATAAGCCTGTTAATTAAGCAGTTAGTGATTATGAAAAAGAATTGAACTAAAGAAAATAGGAAGTTATGGAGAAAATTAAGAATGATTTGTAAATCAAGAAGGGTAGATTCTCATAGGATAACTAGAAATCAGATAATTTATCTCCTTATGAATTCGAAAGAATCTACTTGGATTGGACCCAAAATAAAAATGATATTATATCTAGTATGTTGTCTCATGCATCAGGTTCAGAAGTGTAATTGGAATCATCAATCTCAGAAGAACCAGTAGCCAAAGTTGAAAGAGTGTCTAAAAAGCAAGAAGTTGAATAAGAAATCCAAGAATTGTTCTCAAATTATAAACCAAATAAACAATAAATAAAGAAAAACGGAGGTATAATAAATATTATATAATCACTCTAGATTCATACGAAACAAGTTTTTTGGCAGTCAATCAACAAGTCAAGAAATCTAAGAATTTGCGAGGAAATAAAAAATGATGAAGAAATCGAATTTATAACATAAATAAAAGTATTTCATAAAAGCTTCGTCTCTAATTCTCACTAAATTCTAAACTATTTAAATATAATTTATATTAACAATAATAAATAATTTCCCTTGGAATAATTCGTTTTTACCATTATTGTTAATTAACTAAGGCAATTTATTTCTAATAGGAAAATATGAAGCACTTCAGATAAGAGGAATAAAGTCCATCTTACTTATAATTGTTAAGATGAAAGATAAAATTCAAAATTGTATTCAATAGAGAAATTGATATTTATATTTTTTATTGCATCCTTAATAAAATCTATATTTAATTTCTTACTAAAATATTAATATCTTAAAATGAGCTTGTTGATCTCAGAATTCTTTGATGATTAAAACGAACTATCAATTATGATATACAAGGACTTGGAATCGATTTTGGGATGTGCCCAAGAAATAGACTGCCTAATTGAGTATTTTCAAGGATCACAACCCTAACTTGTTAATCTGGGCTTGAATAAACTGTTTGCTATTTTTAACCAATCAAACTTGATGCATCTTGATATTAAGCAACAATAAGAAAGCACTGTTACAGCTCAATAAGCAGTTTAGGGAGCTAAAAGTGAATCCATTAAAATTGTTCTTGAAGTTTAAAAGTAAATCATAAACAAACAAATCCAATCAACCTTAAACTATTTCATAGATAAAAACCTCGCTTAATTCAATATACCTTATCAATTAAACTTAATTGACTTAGACTAGAGTAATATTTACTCTTAGGATTTGCTTCAAGACTTGTTTTCTTCAGATGATCAAATTCAACACTAGTTTATTTAAAGAAAGTCTAGTCTAAAAGAATCAACTCTATTAAGAAGATCATTAAGCATCAATCAAATCCAAACAAAAAAATCAGTAATTCTAGAAAAAATTGAGTAAAATCTAATGTTATACGTTATTTAGGTATAGAAAATAGGCTATGATCAAAAAGCTTGAACAACGATTTCCTAAGTTAGAAAGAGTAGAACCTATAATTCCATATATTTTGGGCCTATATGTCAATATAGAGAGCGAAGGACTAATTGGGGATTTTCAGTAGGCAAAGGAGATTTTGAAATCAATCCATCATACAGTCTTAAAATTGAGCTTTAGTAACCTCTTGCAATTACTTTCTACGGAATATGTGAAACTATTTGTGAAATTGGATATGTAGGAGATTATATAAGGAAATTTTAACACATAAATTTAAATATAATTTGATAAAATAATAACATAACAAAAATGGACCAAACTAGATAAATTCAAGATTTAAGAATTATTACAAAGTTCTAAATTTAATCAATCTTTCTAAATTGAATATCAAAAGCTCAAGCAATTGGAAGATTTAATAAGCCCATTAAATTCAAAAATACTCCTTCTTTTTTAATAAATTCTTCCTCATGAATAAGGAGGATTTGACAATAATCATTAGGTTGTAGACTAATTATTATAAGAGATCCAGTAGAACATTTCTGAAATCAGTAATTCCACAACACTCAATTAAGAGATTTCTCTCGCAATTAAGAAAATCCTCTAATAGATTATAAATGTATTACATAAATTTAAAGAAAATATTCAATCTAAATTAGGACTTACTACATTAAATAGATTGAAATTATTAATTATGCAAGATGATAACCATAAAAACATTAAATAACAATTACCTAGTAGATATCAATACAAGTGTGTACGTGAATTAGAAGATTCAGTAACAAACCTATTTAAAAGAAAAAAAATTATTCTTACTTCATCTGAACTTATTTCTTTGATTGTTGAATCCAATCAAAGAAGAGTAGACTTTGAAGGTATTTTAAGTGATTTAAAATATGGAAGTGCTACTTAAAGTGCAATACGTGAGATTTCTCAAATTTAAGATTATATCGTAAATGAAAGGGTGATATAGTTTCTTTCAAAGGTTGTTGATTATTTCTAGGATAGGATAAAAAAGAAGGATATAGATTTCAGTCTCTCTGAAATATAACTAACTTAACATGATGAATAAATGTTAAAATCCATTAATAATTAATATTTAATAAAATATGTAAAGGAAAACCGAAGACTTTTTAGAACAATCTCCAATTACATATTGGCTAATGATCCCTCAGTAAGTTTGAATCTTAGATAATATTCATCCTTATAGGAATTATCTATTTTTGCCCTTAAGTTTTGTAAAGATTCATGTTTAAATGAGTTTTTCAGACTTTTTAGAGAAATAGATTCATAATAAATTAAATTAAAATACTAATTAAATTCAACTGAATTGTAAGAGTGGAAAAACATCATATAGTTATTTGAATGATTTAGTTCATGATATAAAGATTTTGAATTATGTTTAAATTGTTTTCCATACAAATAATAATTTATGAGATAGTTAAATTATAATTAATTCATAGTTCTGATCAATATATACTTTTATTCTCATTCTTCTTAAAAGATACCATTAATCCATTTTCCTGCAATTTTATTACCTTCCTAAGTTAAGAACACTCCAGTTCCATTTACCACTCCATTTCTGAAAAGTCCAGTATAGATTTCTTAATTAGATAATGTCAATTGACCATATCCATCCTGTTTCCCTTACTAGAAATCTCCATCATATTTTATCCACATATTTCCCAATTAATTGAAATCCTTGTAATTGAATGGCGTTTACAACTGTTATGGGTTTTAATTTTTAAGAACTCCTGTACGATGAAATCTGATCTAATATTTTATATAAAATTTACTGATTTTCATAAAAGTACCCTTCATAAATAATCTCATTATCATCATTAATCAACTTACCCAACCCTTGCTTTTTGCCACCCTAAAATATTCCTTCATAAGTTAATCCATTGGATAATGATTCCACTCCAAATCCGTCTTAAGTAATGAGTTTCTTACTGCCTCCTTTGGAAGCCTGTTCAGTTTCAAACTTTTTAAACAAATTCTTTTTTTGTGTTTAAGGTGAATATGATTCTCTCTTTTAAATAATAGACTTAATTAAGAGATAATATTTATACACTTGAGGCTTTTGATTCTTTTGAATTCTTAGACAAGACTTATCGAAGGGATAAGTGTGAGCCTTTTTGCAATAATGACTAATTAGACATTTAGGATTGAACTTCAGGATGGACAAGAGAATGTTGCTTTGTTGTAAAATGGACCTAATAGATTATTTCTCATAGTTTATACTCTTTTTTCGACTAAACTATATTAGAAATCTTCATTTGTCCAAATTTGAACTAGTCTTTTGCCATTTAATAATTGTGACAAATTCAATAAATCATCTAACTATAAGAAGTCGCATCTCACTTTGGGATCATAATATAACATGGCTTCTAAAAGCAAAGGCAATGCTTCTCCATATCGATCTGATAATTTGTTGATTTATTCATTTAAAAGATTCTGATCTATCATGTAATCTTAATACAAACTTACACTTTGTCGAACAGAACACAATTCCAAAGTCATCTAATTAAATAGAATTATAATTTACTAAACCCAGTACGAAAACATTGCTCTTGAAAACATCATAGGGCTCGAACTTCTTATTATGAATCATTTGCCATTGCTCGGGACTCAAGTATGTGTAATCCTGCAATCTGACTTACTCACCATTTAGGATTTTATCATATAAAGTTTTGAACTCTAACTCTTGTTCAGTTGAATCAAATAAAGGACTTTAGACTTTTAATGCTATTGCTCCATTAAGCAGATGAGAGAGATAGATTTTATCAAATTTAAGTGCTGGCAAAGCATGGCCTTTAGATTAGAGAAATGCCTGACTACCAATTAGAGAATCAAGAAAGAATAATATTTCACTTTCTTCAAAATACATTTTCTTTCTGTATCCTAATTCCTAAGCAAGAGTAGTTTCATAGTAATCTAGAAAGAGTGACAATTTGTATTGGGTGTTAAAGAATTGATCTATCTATTTGTATTACATTGCTATTTTAAGATAATGATGCAATACCATGTATTATTAAGAGATTAGGATGATTGAATCCATAAAATTTGGCTTCATAATATTGCAATGCTTATTGAAACTCTTCTTGCTCTGCAAATGTAATAAGTTTATGTACTAATTTAAAATCAAATTTTTTGAGTTCCTTGTATTCAAGTATATTCACTTAACCATACAAAGGATGCTAATAATCATCTTACACTACTATAAAATCATTGCTAAGTTAGTCAATGATGGTGAGATTGTTGATATCAAGATGCGATTTGCACTATTAACATGTTCCCATTAATTAAATGAACAAGACTGTTATAATAATTGCTTAATAATCAATTTATTAAATATATTAAGTTACTCCATTTGAGATGAAGACATACAAATCAGAATTGAATTTTATTATATTCGTCTGAATTGAATGGAGTCATTTAATTGAAATACCCATTATTCATAAATACAAATTCATCTTATAATTAAATCCCTTGCACTCTTTGAAGTTAAATTTACAACGATATCTTTATTGGGTTAGGTTTCCACATTTTCAGTGTCCACTATCAAAGGAATATCAGATTGCTGCGTATTCTCACTTCTTGTTTTCATCCTCTGCACAAATGGATTAACTCTGCTAGTTTCTCTTAAACTGATATCATTATTAAAACTAATCCATGGTTTGCTTTTTATGTTCTGTTCTATAAATTCTTTTCGACACAAAGGACAACACTTCTGTGTCTGTAACCATTTGAATAGACAATGCTAATGAAATAGATGATAACATGGAGTCAGTGAGCAATGATCTATATGATCTCTTTCTGTCAATTTGCCTTATTGAGGAGGAGCCATAGATTCTAAACAAACCACACATTCAACGAATTCACTTAATTGGGGATATTTGTCTATTAAATCCAAGTAATAAAACTGTGGGAAATACGTTTGGATAAATTCCAACTTAAACCCTTTCAGAATATCCTCATTTTATTATTGCTGCATTCTTCTTCTCCTTCTGTTGACTCTAAACTCTCGTTGCACTAATCTGATTTACTCTCTTTGTTGTTTTTATCTTATCTTCCGAAATATCAGATAGGTGATCAATATGAAACAAGTGAGAAAGATAGATTGAAGGATGATCTATAGATGATAGGGATCACTTTCTAGCAATTATTCCTTATCATACAATTCAAAATAGAACAAGATTGGAAATGAATGTTAATTGTAAAATCCAATATTCAAAAATGAGCAATTCTCACACATCTACTGATAATAGATTAGATCGCCCTTTAATTAGTATATCTATTACTGTATTTTCTTTGGAATCATATAAGCATCATAGTGGACATTAGGAACTTCATGATTTTCTATTCCCTCCATTCCCAATCCCATCAACATCTCAGATGACTGATCCCTTATTCTCAACTTTAAAGTGTCATTCAAATTCAATTATTTGGTTTCAAAACCAATGTATATCCATTCAAGAGGTTTAATGATAATATCATATTACATTTGCAAGACAGCAATGGTTCTCTAGAGTTAACAAAACTTCCCAAAATAGCCAGACTTGCACAAACACTACTTGTTAATTGAATTACATGTATTACCTTGTTGAATACAAAAGGAAGAGCATTCTCCAGATTGATTCTTGATTAGGATTGAGAAATTAGAGTATTGATTATATGATTGATTTAAGTACCCTGCATATATGTACAAATCGATAGCAGACTCAGTAAATATGACGTGGACATCGTTGTTTGTGATGAATGACTCATGATCATAATTCAAAGACTGTATTTTATCCTATCCTTCTACATAATAGATATTTTCAAATTATTTATTTGATGATGCCAAAATAAATGGCTGATGCAAATGCGAATGTAATGTTACTTGAATTTCGAGTGCAGATTGGTTGAAAAGGTAAAGAAAATTAGTTTAGTTTTGTTATGCTTAAGTCAATAGGATTTATAAAATAATAAATAACATTAATAATTCAAAGAAATAGTTATTAAGTTTATAAATTTTCTAAAAATTGTTTAAATTCTTGCATATTTTTATTAGCCCCCTCCAGAGTCTCCTTAATTTGATCCCACTTTTGAGATTTCTGACTATTATGAAATTTGCTGCATTTGTATGAATTAGGCTCAGTCTTTAATTTTGGAGTAAAATGTCTATTCAAAATCACCCCCAAAGGTTTCCTTGGAGACTGGGGTTACTGAACTTGTTTGAGTTTCTACCAAACCTGTTGGGGCTTACTATTAAATCAAAAATCGATTACAACATCGAATTTGTCCAATCTCGGCAATGGCCCATCTGGAGGCACTCCTCTAAAGGGTTTGTCTAATTATTTTTCAAGAGTCATCTCCAATAGAACACGAGCATATAATAAAGAATTCTATTTCCAAATAAAATTGTGAGTTGGAGTTCTCACTTTATCTAGCCATTGCAATATCCTTATTCTGAGATGTTTATCATTGATCTTCTAACAACTATTGTAGATCTTGTTGATAGTGTCACTTAATTCTAAATCCAGAGTTTCTGCTCTTGGAGAATTCATTAATTTAACGGATAATATTAATAATTTATCAATCCTCTGCGATCCAACTCCTCCACAATATAATTATTAATGATCTCTTCCTTGGGTATTTCTAAGGGCAAGGGTCTCAACAGCAAAGCCAATCCTTTCTTCTGACTTTAATGATAGACCTTTCGAAAAGCATCAAAATCTTGATTCCATTTCTGCAACACATTCGTAAATAATTTCTTATATATAAACATTATAAATTATCTATTAAAATGATAATAATAAATGCTATACTAATCATGAATTAAGTAATGAAGGGGATCCCTCTTGTTCTTGTTCTTTTCCTGCTGCTACTATTGTTAAAGGGGCAGTTGCGAGATTGATTGCTATTTCATCCTCAAGATGTCCCCATAGATTTGTTTGCATTGATGGGATATGGCTATCTTCATCTATGCCATGAATTCCAACCTTTTGTTCTTGTGTCTAACAAGCATGTTTATACATTTTTTAACTAATTCTAAATGATCACTTACTTAGATTAACAGTGTGCAGCCCTTTTGTGACTGTATAATGGCTTCTGATGTTTTATCTGAGGATTTCGATGACGATATTGTTGCTTTTTTACTTAACTTTATCTTTCTGACTATGGATGCAAATCTACATACTCAATTAGCAGAGCAACAAGGCTCTTAATTTAATTTTAGGTCCTTGATGTTAAATGTTATTTTTAATTTTGTTGATGAATTGCATAGTCAATATTTGTTTCCTCATATTTTTTTCAGATATGCGTTTTTGTACTTTAATGTAATTACTGATGGATGGTACTATGTAATTGACTAAGATGACAATCTAAATCCATTTCTTACATACCCATTCTTTATGCATTTATCTACATTTATCAGTATAACAGATTACTTTAGTTGTATGTTCATCTATTTTTACTTGATTTCTTTGGCAACATCATGCAAAGCTATCTAGGCAATTCGTTTTAAACTTTACTCCTTCTATATAATTGTCTATTTAAATTTAATTTCTTTTTATCTCTCAGTGTTACAGGGAGATTCAATTCTTAATTTTCTCGGCAGTGATCTATTAAGGTTAATGAAATTTAAGGATTTCTGTCTTAGCTTACGTTTTCGGATGATTAAATCAGCTAGCTCTTCTATATCTGAACAGAATTCATCTTTTTTTTTTATTTAAGGTATTTTCCTAGGTATTGGAGGCTTGGCAAACTCATTTTTGATAGTAATTACCACATCATTATGTGCTAATATGGCAACGTAAAGTGTAGGATCAAAAAAAGTTGTGCCTTCTTTAGAGTGATATTTGAGCACTCGACCATAAGTTTCGATTTCTGCATTGAAACGATTGGGTTATTAGAATTTCACGGAACAAAACAATCGCATTTTAGTATTGGGATCACCTTTTTTTACGTAGATGAATAAGACTACTGGTGAATATTTTTCATGGATATCTAGGGAGGTATAAAGGAATTGATTTCTATAGAGAGTGAAGGTAGTTTCACCCCAAACATCCAATTTGTTATTCTAAATGAAGTGTTTCTTTCTGCTTGGCAATTCTCTTTGAGTCAGATTATATTCTTTGATATCAAAGGCTCGATGGCTGAATTGATCAAGTAATGCAAATTTACTATTCAGATTGAGCTTTTCCTCACTTAGTATGCGAGAATCTAAAATAAGGGAATCAGCTGCACTCGGAGGTTCCGTTGTGAAAATCGAAGGAACAACCGATTTTAGATGTTTAGGTTTATAATATAACATATAATTATCAGTCGATTTTATTTTCTCTTTCTTCTTGTCTGCTTAGTTCTATGAATTTGTCCTCTACTCTTCTGTAGAGTTCATTGTACTCTTTGAAAATGACTTTGCAAATTCTGTATGCCTTTCTATAATAGCCTGTGTTGCCAACTTTAAGTTTGACATCTGTAATTTTGTCTTGATTCAAGAGTGCTTCTCTCTTCGCTCCTGTTTTGATTTACATTTAGGTATCAAAGTCTAAAAGGATAGTTTGTTTTTTGGTGAGTCTCTGCTTGTTCATGGAAATTCTCTCTTGTTGTTTTCTTTCTGTGAATTTTTATAGTTTTTATAGCAAATACACTTCGAATCCATTGTTTTTGTAATCATCGAAATACTTCCCTAATTGTTCATTACGTAAATAGATTTGGACAGTAATCTTATATCTCTGGTCGTAAGTCAAGGTATTGAATAGACTATGAGAAGGACAATCCAGTATGATTTTGATGTTGTCTTCTTAAACTCTTTCCAGATTTTCACAGAGTAAGGCATACCCTTCATAAATCATGACCCCATATGGATGTTCACAGGTGGGACACAACTATAAGATAAGGGATGAAGATATTTACCTTTTCTAGATTGGATAATGATCTATCCAACATGATTTATGCTTGATACAGTCTGTTGGCTATGAATGCTATTCTGTATTAGAGGATATCGCAGTAGACAATGCTAAAATGTTCAGTGACATTTACGGAGTTGAAATATTCTTTATAGAACCTATAACATTGATCTAGCAAATCGAAAGTCCATTGTGTGATGAGTGTTTCACTGAGCCTCTCTTCAATATCATCTGGTGTATAGAATTTATATGGGAGATGAGATTTGTAAACATAGGGTTCAAAGAATTCTGCCTCTCTTCTTGTAAAGAAGTATTGACTTTTGAATGCCATTTTAAAGGACTAGAATCCATTATATCCTCTTTCTTTGTGAATGAGTATAAATTCAGCATAGATCATGAGAGCATCTACGTAGAGTATACTCTTCCTTCCCATTGTTTTAC